GGAAAAGCAGAGAAAATAGGACAGATGGTAACACATATTTATTGTAGTAAAAGCGTCTTTTCTGTAAAATGTGCAACTTTTGGAAGTGGGAACAAGGCAATATTTGTTACTAAATTTCTAAGGAACATTTTAAAATCATTTTCAGGTAGTTACCTGATGTGCGCTACGGAACTGAAAGATAAATGGCCTCGGCTCGCGGCCTATTATAAATGGTGTGAGCAAGGACAAAAGAATTTTTTCCACAGGATTCCTTCAGAATGTGAGATTTATCATAATCAGTCGATAATGGCGATGTAGCCTGAAAAACAAGAAAACAATCTGCGAGTAGGTGTTTAAATGAATGATTATCTGGAAACATGGTGTCCTCTTATTTATTTAGAGATGAATGAAAATGTTACCACCGGATTCTGTGTTCAACCTGTTCACTGCACTGTATTTCCAAAAAATATGCAATTATTGTTTTGTGGCAATGCCAATAAATCTCTCTCCCAGCTGCAAAGAGTATGTTGGCTCAAAGCGTATATATATAATGGCCCTTTCCCCAACCTTTGACCCCCGACAAATTCTTCCTATACTTTACCAAAATTTTCGGGGCTATTTTAACCCTTTCCGTGCGGTGGGCACGTATACGTACCCACGACAAAACTCGCTAGTTTGCGGCGGGTACGTTGATGTACTCCACTGTTTTATTTAGCAATCGGTCGCAAACTGTTGGTCTAGTTTTTCCGGGTTTTAGTTTATTGATAAGAAGTCTTCTTCGAGATTAACATAAGCGACGGTAAATCTCGCTTTCGTTTACCATGGGAATTTTATTTGCGGCAGAACGAGGGAGTGTTTTGAAATTTATGCAAATTTCGGTGTTTTTTGGGTGGTAATAGAAGACATATTATCCCTTCCATCTACCAAAGTATTTTGAGTTAGATAACGAAATTGCTACAGCAATATTATGCTATTGTTTGCCAACCAAGAAGCGGTAACAGTAAAGGATTTAGCGAATATTTCTATTTTTTATCACGGTTTGAAGTTTCAACACCCAAGAAAAAAAATGCCTTTTTTCTATCCGGTTTGTGACTCAGACCACCCCTTTAAAAAAAAAAAAAAATTTTCAATCGCCAATTGCAAGCTCTTTAAATAAGCTTTCCAACGAGCCGTCAGTGGGCAGCAGAGGATCATTACTTTTTCGTTAGTCGATCGATTAGTTGTGGGGGTACAAATGCATAAAGTCGGCGTAGCAAATACGATTATTTAATAAAAAATAAAAATCGCATGGAAAGGGTTAAGAGTGCTTTTGCGAAATGCCGCTTGTAAAATGGGGTATGTGTTTCGAACCAGCGTTATGATTCATCGCATACAATAATCTGTATTTTTAAAAGTACCGGTAGAGAATTTTAGCCCAGTCTATCACAGCTATTTCCACACTAATATTTCATTACTGCGATTGAATTGAAACTCCCAGAAAGAAGAGTGATCATTGAATTATCTGATTTATATTTAAATTTCCGAAACACAACTGAAAACTAACGAATAGAGTTCAGAAACACGAAAACGAGGTTATGTTCACGACCACGTTTGAAAATCTGTCTGAGCGGATGCTAAGATGGAGCATTGTTACGTCACTCTTTGAATCTTGCTCATTGGCCAATGTCCCGAAGTAAACAAGGAAGTCGATGCTTGGGAAAAGGTCCATACTGGCTGGGTTTCCTCTGTTTTGCATACCGCCATACCGGTAGCCGTCTCCAAGTTTTTTGCGGTATCTCACATTGCTGTCTTGGCTTGTTATTATTAATGCGGTTTTTACCGGTATCTCACATTGCTGTCTTGGCTTGTTATTATTAATGCGGTTTTGTTAAAGTGAATATAGTCACTTTGGTTTTGTTAGAAACGGACATCTGCCAGAATGTACCGGTCTACCTGAAGTGTTGCTGCGCGAGTGCAAAGTGACTACCGTATCGACTGAACCTAAACACAGAAACAGGATCGGTCGTTGCTGTTTTGCGAGCTTTTTTGTGGTACCGGTACCGTAATTTTCTGGTTTACACTAGTTCAGTAATTACAGAATTAGATACCGCAGTAGACTACGGTACCGTTACCGGTAGGTTTTCACAAATAATAAAGTACGGTACTGTTTGCACTTGTAAGACTTGTAGTAACTTTTATGTCAATTTGTTAGAGAGTTTAGTTAGTTACGGTAACTGTTTAATTAGTTAACTGTCAAAATGGCGGATGCACTCAGCCTTCTACGAGAGTACAATATGGCGAAGAAGAAGATTGAAGAACATGATGGCTATATCACGTTCGGAGACTTCTCATGGCCCAAAAATATAAAAACTAATTATCCAATTTGGGGGTGAGTGACTTGTTTATGATTTTTCAATATGCTGCATAATAAATTTCAAAATGCTTGATTGATTAGTTTAATTTTGTATTTTATTAATCTCTAATGTCAGAATGTTAAAATTCCATGTACATTTATTGGAGCTCGAAACTATATTATATATACTTATAAATTGTTGTTCATGAATTTCTTTTTTCAATTCCTTTTCAATTATTTTATTTTCACGAGAGTGTTTAATGGTGTATTGCAGGGGTCGGCAACCTTTTGAACTCCGCGTGCCATTTTATGAATAATGAGCACCTTCGCGTGCCAAACATTTTTATGTGTTTGGTTTGCAGAATCAACTACCTGATTTGAATAGTCGGAATCGGCTCAATTATTATTATTTATCGCCTCAAAATCCCTGCGGCTTTTTCGACGGATAATATATAATGATTTTTCTGTTGTGCAAAGCAATCAATCCATGACCGATACGGCCATATTTAAAATGTCTTGCTATATTATAATTTACTCGTATTCAATTTAACCTGCAGTTGCGTCGACAATATAAACGCATACGCATCACTACCCTAAAATACCACATCAATCCGCGGACATAAAAATGTGTGGTAAACTTCTCGGTTATATCTAGTTTTGATCCGTATTTTACCAATTTTGCGAATTCGACGAATCTGAGCTGTACTTGCAAAAATGACTCCGTTCTATCGCAATGCTGCCACTCAGATTTTGTTTTTGATGATGAAACCGTTAGAAAAATTCCTAAATCTGCTATAAAAGCTCACAGAGTAAAATTTATTTTGGTACAATAAAAATTGATTGAATATACTTTAATTAATTATCTTATATCTCAACACGACTCGATCGGGAAAAAGTCACGTTTCCAACCTTATAATATGAAATGTATAATATTAACACGAAAATTCCCGACGGCAATTTAAAGTAATTGATAAAAAGGTAAATCCGCGCAACATTTAACCGTGTTTCTATTCTAATGGCCGCTCAAACTTATGTGTGCAATAGGCACACGAAATTTTACAATGCCTAAAGAAGCGTTTTTAATCTGTCACGGGCCTCGTACAACAAATTATTTACGGTTCTATTTTTAGTATTTTATATTGCCGCTTTTCAATAAAAAAATTTGCGTCGCTGCTCCACTCCTTTTAGACTTAAAGCAACTCGCTGCCGATTATTGTATAATAACTCTCATCCAATTCACAATTCTGGGCGAATACAAAAATAAAATAGTTATTATCGTTGACGTGAAATACTTTTTGTGATTCTGGGAGAATAAACATCGACTTAAAAGTGTTTACGGTTAGAATAACACGTCACGCTGACAAAAATAATCGACGATTTTAGCAAAAAGCTGTACGAATCGCCCAAAAGTATGAATTGATGAAATAATATTCAATATTTCACGATTATCAAAGGGCAAAAAGTAACCCAACAATAGTATAAAAAGTTGCTAGTAGGTGAACGAGTAGTTTCAGGTAGCGAAGCGTTTCTGAAGTAGCCAAATCTGGCACCGCTGCACCGCATATGCTTATCTACACTGAAATCCCGTACAGATTTAGGTCTCTGATCCATCGCTTTTCCGAAAGTAACGAAAAGTGGCAACAATTTCGGCAGTTAAACATCACATGTTTTTTCAAAGGATTTGTCGAATTGTTAATTTTTGTTCAAATGTAGAATTTTGGTCGAACTACTAAAATAAATATCTGATCTGCATCAAATCACTTGGCGTGCAATGAGAAATCCTCTCACGTGCCAGGGGTTGCCTGGTGTATTGCTTGCATCATTCATTTCCATACTTCATTGATCTGCATAACTGACGCTTTTAGGCATATGTTTTTTATACTCATATAGAATAAGTAGCCGGAAAATATGAATATATTATGAAGAATGTCTACTATTTCTTCTAAAAATGACATTTATTCACATGATTGTCTCATTATTTTAATAGCATTGTTAATTTTTAGTAAGAAAAGTATGCTTCAATTATTGCATATCAGAGTGGGGATAGCTATTTATCATATATTAGTTGTGTATTATTAAATTCTCATTTTGTATTCTATTTGCAATATACAAATTCTCAAAATTTCTCATTATTTTCTGCCTTATCAGAACTGGTAAGGATGGAAATGCAAAGGAATATTACACTTTGGACTCAATCCTCTTCCTTCTGAAGAATATTAAATTGTCACATCCCCTGTACGTACGTCATGCTGCTGCAGAAGATATTCCTGTTGTCCGAAGACCAGACAGAAAAGATCTTCTCAGTTACCTGGATGGAGAAATTTGTAATTGTTATTTTTTCACATTATCTATCGGTTTGAAAAAAAAAAATTCCAGGAATATTCATATATAACAATTCTATTTTTGCTGCTAGTCAAAATTATTTAAATCGTCTTAATTCGTAGATTGATTACGCTCAGTAAAACCTTTGGTTCTGATATGAATAAGCCATCTTATCGAATTTCCTCACTCTGGGATAGATGTGATAATCCTATGCTTTTACATTATGGGATGTTACAATGTTAATATATCTATTATGAATAATCTAACATTCATTAAGATCTGAGACATCCTCAATGCCTAAAAAAACTAATTTTGTTATTATTCATCTCAAAACTTGTTTATAACTATACTCTCTGGGTATTTCTAGCTACATCAAATAATATCGATAAAAGTGCACCTTTGGAAATCACAATGCAGAGACCGAGCAAAGTAAAACGACCAGTTGCAAGTAGCGCTGGTACGACGGATGATGGGTCAAGTCAAGAACCCGGAGCGAAGCGTGCAAGAACAGAAGACGCAACTAAAATAATAAGAGATAGGGTATGTTTTCACAGCGTATTTCATTAACTTCCTTATTTACTCATTACTTTGCTATTTACTGTAAACCGACTTACTGGGACCAACTGAGATTTCGTGCTATGAAAATTAAAAATAATAATGGACTTCATTTAAATGTGACAGAGAATGAAGTCTTTAAAACTTACAATCCATGTTAAAAAAATTTGGTTGAAGTAAATTTGCACATTTTAGTGAATCAATTTATAATATCTTAAATAGATATGAATTGAAATCAATGATTAATTATATATCCTGCTTGTCAACAGAATTGTGTAAAATGTACACCTGACCCCCACAAAATGACACAAAGGTTCCCTCTTAATAAGGCTCTTAGTTGACAAAGAAAAATTTGATTTCTGTTCCTGACAACCAAATCTTGGCGATAAAGACTTATCCACAGAAATATGCAAGCCTGCTTTAATTTTCTGTATAAAAAATACTTTGACTTTTATTATCACCAATAAAAATCTAAAATTAGACTCCAACTGACTCGACTTTCTTGCTCGGGCAAAGATTGATATAGATGGACAGGCAGATTTTGTTGTTTCTTTTGTCAACAATGCCGTTTACAAAGGCTAACAATATCAAATTTGGCTGATCTTGATTTAAATTTTTTTGTACAGCAAAGACTTGTTGAGAGGCTTGAAGCAAGAGGTAGTGACAAAACTGTAACAACAGAACAAATTAAATCTCTTTCCGACACAATATCAGTAGAAAAAATTGCTGCAATCAAAGCTAAAATTATGGCGAGAAAAAGAAAAACTATCCGACAAGTCGGTGAACCAGAAGAGGAGTTTGGTTAGTTTATTTCTCTATGATGCTTTAAATTACGACGCCTTTGGTTTATTGGGGCTTCTTTTGGAAATATTAAAATCTTTATTTTTGTATGACAGGCCCATTGAATATTAGTATATCAGTATTTTTACTCAAATCTTCATTGTTGCTGTATCCTGTATGTAGTTATGAATAGTACTTGATTCACATCAATTACTTATTGCTAATAGTTGACTTCATTGTGATTCATGAATCAGTTAGTCATACTTTGTTTTTGTCAGCGGTTAAGGCATTATAATTAGCTGTGATGGCATCGTAGGTTACACATTCAGATTCAAAGCCCATGCTACCAACTCAACCAATGTATAATAAATTAGGCAAGCAATGCCGAACTGGAAAGATTAGTAGCGTTTAATAAAATTTAAAGATATCAGTGGGAGCTTGTACAGGCCCTTTTTCAGGGTGAAAGTTTATATTAGGCGTTGTATGAAAAATTGGCATTTTGCCTTACTGCTCTTTATTATTGGCTTACACTTCTTTCTTTAAATTCTTTTTCTAATGATATTTGTAGTTTTTTGTGAAATAGGCACTCTTGTTTCTATTTAGCTGTATATTTTGAATTTTTCACAAATGTGGTATTACACTCCTAATTGACCTGAGTCATTTGCTTGAACGTTATCTAGCTATGGGATCTGATAATAGTAGACTATATTCCAGTGAAAGCCCTGACAAAATTTGCAATAGGTAAATATTCATTTCTCCAGTTGCATAGAATAATCAATTATATTTTAAAATAAATATATTTAGGAACGGTTAACGAAGTATACCTCAACTTTTTCTCTTCTTTTTTGTATGCCATATTTATACACCTTCTACTCTGAACGAGGCTATGCACAAAGAGGCACTGCTTGGTAAGGGGCGACTATAGTTTGAAAGGGCCGCACGCAATCTTTATGGTTCGTTATTGCCTACCCAATTTATTACGCTCTGGGATATGAACCCGATATTTTACCCCAACTAAAAGTCATGATAGTTAAAAATGCTTGAACCACTAGGCCACAGCACCCATCACAAACAACATGAAATTCTCGAACTGCATGATCAAATATACATTGAATTTTTCAGGAGTCCAAGCGCCGGATGGAGGATTTGCAGACGAACCAGAATCTTTTGACTTGACGTCTGAAATAGTATCCAGAGAAAGAAGATGGAGAACAAGATCGACTGTGTTACAAAGTGCTGGAAAAGATTTCAGCAAAAACGTTTTTTCTATTTTGTCATCAATTAAAGCTCGAGAAGAAGGAAGATCAGCAAATGACAGAGAAACAAGTGTCAATAATGTTTCATCTTCATCAAATTCACAAAGCTCATCAAGGCAGGCAGCTGCTGTGAGTTTTTTTCCATGTTCAGTTTTTTAAAAAAAAAAGTGGTTTCAAGTATTAAATCAAATTTTAATATGCGTTTCTTTGAGTTCAGAAAATTTTTATTTTGTTCAATGAAGGGAAATTTGAAAATTTTCTAGATATCGATATTACTTAATAATGAACAATGACTTCATACTTTAATACCATACATCCTCGCATATAAGCCGATTTTGAAACTCAAAAAAAAAATTGCTAACTAAACAAAACTTCTCTTATGCAACCATTTGCTGTGATAGGTGCGTACGACGTGTTACGATTTGTAGGGTCAGCTTATATGCAAATTTTCATAAATTTATAGTTTTAGTGCCGTTTTTAGGGTGTCGGCTTATATGCGAGGGTATATAGTGATTGCAAATGTGAATTAATTCATTTAGTTTACTTATTACATGACTTAGCATCATGTTTTATCCCCTGATTTAGAAGATTTTGAACAAAACAACAAAGAACTACTGGTAGATTATTATTCTAAATCTAACTTTGGGTTCTATAAATGCCAATCTGCTAGATATTATAATGTACTTGCAATTATCTAAGATGCACAATATTTACAGGCATTGAGAAAGCCAAGTGCACCTGCGCCTGGATACAGCAGATATGATCAAGAACGGTTCAGGGGTGGAAAAGAAGAAACTTTGGGATTCAGGATTGATACTATGGGTTCCTATCACGACATGAGTTTAAAATCTGTAATGGTGGGTACATGATTTATATTCTATCAAATACTCGGCTGTTTTTATGTTATCTGGTTAAAATTTGGACTTGTAACGAATTGAGTCAGGACTCGGCTCAGATTTTATTTAGAGATTTTATGTTAATTTTGGAATTACTAAGCTAATTTACCTGAAGAGTCAACTTGTACTAAACTGTAATTTGTTTCATTCGTGGTCGGTTATAACTGAAATTTTTTCCGAATTCTACCAAGTTATCTATTTTTCAAGTAAGCCTGTCATCGGCTAGACTTGTTTAGTGGTTGTTGATAATTCCTCACATATTACTGTGTTCATGTACTGGATGTTTGATAAGTCAAGATTTTTGCAAAGTGAATTTATATAGGTCATTGGCCCCTACTAGTGTATTAAATAAGGTAAAAAACTTAAACAAAGACTAATTAAAACAAAGATTTAAATTTTAAAGCTTTATTACCGTATTTGCCGGTTAAGATATATTGAAACCTGACATCATAATGAAATTGAAATTGCAGCAAGACTTCATAAACACCCTGTACTGTAAATTCATATTACTTTCACAGGAAGGTGCAGCAGCGAGAAAAAGTACAAGTTCATCGTTGCCTAGAGCGATTTCAAGACCAACTCCTAAACCTGCCACTCAACCTCAAAAACCCCAGAAACGAACGTCTCGAACACCTATTATCGTACTTCCTGCTGCTCTATCATCTCTTATTACATTATATAATGCTAAAGATTTATTACAAGATTTGAAGGTGAATTAATTTTTTCTACAAGAAGTACAATTGAATTGGTTGCCTTTATTAGTGAATAGTGTTACTATATTTGATGAATACAAGAACTCACCGATTGTCAGCATTGCTTACAATTTGTCACAAAGGGGCAGTGATACTCAAACTTTTACGACCCGTGGAACCCATCCAAAGATTTCAAACACTTGTGCCTCCTGCTCTTCTATAGAAATTCATAGTCTTGCTTTCAATGGAATTCCTTCATTTGTTTCATTCAACATTTTCAATAATGAGAAATCCAACAATCGAAAGCAGAGGAATAAATGCATTACGGTCAAAGAATTAAACAAATCAAATTTAATTAACGTAGTCACCGCAAATGGTATTTAGTAGTCCTCTGTGTTCGTGGCCGCAAGAGAAACGCTCTGCGGCCCCCCTAGAGGGCCGATTACTCGATTAAATTTGATGTTTTTTCATAGTATGTGAGTATGGCAGACAAGAAAGCACAAGGCGCAAGACGGGATAATGAAGTGCTAATACAAAGGCAAAAAGACAATGGAGCTCTAACTGTCCCTTACAGAGTTATTGATAATATTTCTAAGTTACAAGGACATGAGGACTGGTTTGTACTTTTTAATATTGTGTATATCATATGTTCTTATCGGTATGTCTCTATACTGTGAGATTGGAAATTGAAACTTATTTTGTGATGAACTTTGGTTTATTGCTATTTAGGACCAATTTCCTACATCCTCGTATAAAGACTATCATTTTGCTGTACTAAACATTCGTAATGAATATGAAATCTGACGTGAAATTTTTTAAACTATGAGTATTGCACCAAATATCTCAATACTCTTGTTATTATGCCCAAGCCAAATGCTCTTGGTATTATGCTTAATCCGACGATCAAGTCAAGTTTATTTTTTCCAACCCGTAATAAAATCAATCTACAATAAAATCGAAATACAAGATAAAAGATGATCGCACAATTTTACTGGGAAAAAGAAGCCACTGGGAACCAAAGCTGGTTGTAGGCAATACTTCAAAAAGTCTTAAACCCATGAAACTATGAATTTAGGCAGAGAGTATATTATGCTGATTATATTTCAATTGCTGTTTGACATCATGTCCATGAATATAACTAAATATCTTTTTCTTGTAGGGAGCGTGTTGTGGGAGTGTTTGTACAAGGTCCAGCATGGCAGTTCAAAGGTTGGCCGTGGTTATTGCAAGATGGTTCCCCTGTTGATATTTTTTCACGAAGTAAGACAATTTGAATTATTTCTAATCACAGTTTCATGCTCTCATGTTCTTTCCTTTGTTAATATAGGATTTTTGTTGTGGAATTTGGCTAGTAAGGGAAATTTTTGATAGGTTTTTTCATGTTGTGATATTGTCACTTGTTCTCAACCTTTCATGATCCATTGCTCTTTCTAAAGACTTTCAACGCTTGCTGCTCTATGCTCTTCTTCTATATTCAAAAGAATGAATGCATTGCAGCCAAATGATTAAAATTTAAATTATTATAGTCATCGAAATGGTACCTGGTGAAGGCATTTGCTTGTGGCCCTCAGAGAACCGCTTCGTGCCCTGGCCTAAAGGGCTGAGTGCCCAGTTTGAAAAAACCTGGTTTTGAAGTTCGCCACAAGAGATCTGCGTTAAATGTGTATTGATAAGTTTTGTATTAAAAGTTTATACTCGTCTTTTATTACTTGAATCGGCTATTTATATTGATATAATGATTAATGATGTTATTATATTCATATAAGGATTGATATATTAAATATTCCATTAATTCCAACAATTTTCTTGAATGCTTCCATTGTTTGTGTAGTTGTATGATTGAGTGGGATTTCTCATACTTCAACACTCTGGTATTGCTTTTTAGTTCAAGCCTTTCACATAAAGTTTTTGGAACAGAGGATGGATACCAATGTTGGAAAATGGAATGTTCATGTTATTAATTTAAGTGAAACTAAACGTCACATGGACCGAGCAGCATTGTTAAAATTTTGGGAGGTACTTGATAGGTAAGATGCAATGATTTTCAGTTAATTGTCTTGATAGACCACTAGTACTGCATTTGTTATCATCTTAATGAAATACTCCAGACTTGAGTTACTGCTAGACAGACTTGACTCGGCACCCAAAAGAAAATTTTCTTCAAGTTTCTGAAATAGAAAAAAAATTATGATTTAACGTGTAGATTAATGCTGCCAACTACTTGCATCATAATCTCAAAGAAGCAGTGCTGATGTTGAGTTAAAATGTTGTCAATACTAGTTTGTTTCTCAATGTTATGTTCGTTTAACACAAGATGGAAGTCTTAATGTATATGTGATTCTTATTTATCCATTTTACTCTTTTTTATAGTATTCAGTTACAAAAGTGTTGTTTAGTATTTTAAACCTTCTTACTCCTTCAGGTATATGATAAAAAATAAGCCTCACTTGCGCTTCTGAGAAGTCTTCATTCGGAAAGATGTAACATTTGAGCGTTTGACAATGGTAATCATGACAGATGTACTCAAAATCGAGATACATATTTGCGGGAGAATATACTGCCACCTGACAAGAAGATCGAATTTTGTCTACAAGTGATCATTGAGTTAGTTATGACTGCAGGTAGTTTCAAATTCACCAGTTATTTAAGAATGATTCATGGCTCGGAGAATGGAAAGAATGGAATTTCGAGATGCAATGAATGATTATATTGTTGCTGTCGTGTCACAGCATAAACTGTTATTGTATAACCTCTGTTGCACGCCATTTTTTCTATTTTATTCATTACACATATATGTCTAAATTTAATAAATGAAAAGTACATTGTAGTGCAGGATGAATCAACATGGGCATGCTTTATGTTGTATTGTTTTTTCAAGGTTTATTTCAATAGCGTTAAATTCAATAAGTGTGAAACCATCTTAGTTGTGTTATTTTGAGCTTCGCTTACCGCGATATCGACTACTTAATGAGCCAAAACTGCTCACCTTAAGAGTCTGGGTATATTTGGCAGTAAAACTTGATGCATATGTGATATTCCATTAGCCATGTAATGGAGAAGTGTTCAATCTCAACAAAATAAAATATTTAATACTTATGAAGTCTCTATTTTTTAAATGATGTCTCACTGCTTGCATTATGGATCATGTTTTTGTTTTGTATGATTCAACATGCTCTTTTTCTGCAAAATATTTGTAATATTCATGATACGGTTTGAAATAAATACTGTTCAAAATTATTTTGTGGTCATTGCAAAAAACTTTACTCATGTCGTAGATATCAATTAAGAAATAGTTGAGAGAAAGTTGAAAATCAATTCAAAGACTAGAATGCACTTCATTGAAATTGGGTGTCTATGGTTTTAGTTATCTGCTGTCCAAATTTGATGGATCGAAAGTAAAGACTGGTGAAATGTGACATGAGAAACATCGTTCATAGTTATTGTTTGGCAACGAAGATTTTTTTATTTCGTATTTTCTCCAATGCAGTCAATATGTTAGGACAGGATTTTCATAAGAAGGCGGACAACTGCTTTCGTAGTTGTGCGTGCTTGGACTTGTTTCCAAATTTGAATGTACGCCCAATACTCATGATCATTTATCCTCCGAGAAGTTATAGTTTACTGATTGTAATTAAAAATCAGTGTCAAAAATCTGCAATATGTTAAAAATAACGATTAACTATGTTTTTTTTCCAATGACAAAAAATATACCAAATAATAATGATGTTTATGAACACTTAAACAAGTTTGTAAGCATAAAAACGAGAAAAAACACAACCATAGCAAGCATAAATAAATGCAAGTAGCGTTAAAAAAAACATTTTTTCGGGGTCAAAGGTCGGAAAAACATCTACGGGAATATAAAACACAAAGTTCGTGATATTCACATGTGCGTTGTTTGTGAGTGCCAAAGTCGTTTTAGAGGAATGGCATCAGCAATTGTGCCAAGAGTCGTGCGAGCTGTGGTGGGAGATTTGATTAAAATTGCTGATAAGACACCAAACTTGAAATCTGTTTCAAAAATTAACATTTCTATGTGCCCGTGGGACAAAAATACGGAATCTACAAAAGAGTTGTGGATGCGAGTATCTGGCGAAGAAGTGCGTGATTCCAATAGAAAATGTGCAGTAACCACCAACATGAAACATGATGGATCCGAACCTGTTGTGAACATTGAATTTATGGACGGAGAAAAGTTAATTCTCAAGGGTGAACATTTGAAATGGGAGGAACTTATGTACCATTTTAATGCATTTTGTCACCATAAAGAGCAAGCGATGGTTGACTTGCCTCAAAAGTTGTTTTGATTTTATTGATAAATGCAAAAAGAAAAAAAAAGATGTTTTGAAAAAAATCGGCGCGAAATGAAATTCTTGGCAGACACGTTTAGTCAATATAAAATCCTCCTAATTTTCAACTAAGAAAGTATATTCAGTGGTGGGATTCAAGAGGTTCGCACCAGTTCTACAGAACCGTCTCACGGAATTGTATGAGATCAGTGACCTGGTTAGCTTTACTGGTTACTGTCAATTTTCTGTTTGTAACAGAACCGGTTGAAAAATATGACTTTTGTGATGGAACCGGCTGACAATAATTTGAATCCCACCACTGGGTTATCCCGTGCCAAATAGCGTTTCGTGTGAGACTGAATGTGTTTTTACATCACATTTTTGTTTGGGTAACCATATATATTATGTTTATATACAACTCTCCAAGCTTAAAATTGAATTCTTTTTTATATTTTACCTACCGGTATTTATTGAACATTTAACCTCATGTACAGAAAAGTCGATCTGAGGAAGTCAAATGCTGTGTTAAACCTTTTTTTGCTAGGGTACAATGTGACCAAGTCACTGAAAAACTTTCCAAATATATAGGTATAACTAGTCTGGAGACATGGTAAAGAGTTTCAAATAGGTATATGACAACAATTTTGTAATCCAGGCAAAGGCTATAATATTCAAGTATTTCCTATTTATTATAGATTACATTGTGAATAAAAGGTATAATCTAAGAGATACTTTATAAGGTCCTGAGGTCTAAAAATATTTGATTTTGAACATGTAGTGTTATACATTTCTAGCTGACACCAGATGGTTTTGGTTGCAATGAAACAATGACATCATAATGATTGATCTCCTATCTTGTGTTAATATGATTTTTCTTCATTGGAAAGAATTCAAGGTGTAATGAAATGTATTCTTTTTGAGGTACATAGAAATATCCTTATTGAAAATGATGGTTTTTTACCTTGAGTCTTGTTATGTTAGTTTTTCAGTTTTCGATTCTTACAGTGTCTTTTATGAAGGCTGTTTGATTTTGATTGAAATTTCTAAAATCTACACCCTAAATTTACAAGGAAATATTTTAACCTACCTTTACCAAAATTCAAAAATTTTGTTGTTATATCTGTGACACATTGAACTTATTTGTATATTTTGTTACAGTATTAAAAATAATTAGATTCTAATTGTTACATCTATATTTTAAATGAAAATATGGTGTCAACACGTTCACAAAATTCGCCTAGGAAGCCATCCACCCCTGTGAGGAAAAAGAGACCTAGAAAAAAACTGTCTGACGAAATCATCAGCGATGAAGACAGTGACACAGAACTAAGAGTCCGGGAGGATCAAATTCCATCTGAAAATCTAGAAACAATAAATGAAGAGAACGAAGAGATTGAAATGAGCAAAAATGATGACGACATCAAAACAACAGTTAAATTTAATGATTTGAGACAGAAACGGTTGCCACAAGATGACTTTTCACACACAATAAATAAGATGCCTATCAAGTTATTAGAAACAATTACTGAAGAGACTGCTCATGATGATAGTGGTAGGGTTGGTGCAGAGATTGGGGCAGATGAAATTCAAGTTAATATTGAATCGTCATCTTCAGAATCTGTAAAAGTGGATTCAAATGATTCTAGTACAAAAAAGAAGCATAGATTTCATTTTCCCTCCTCTAAATTATTGGTACCAGCAAATATAACGTAAGTAATTATGGAATTTATATTCCTTATATTGATATATATATATATAGACTGGTATTTGCTCAGGCTATATTCACATATAGTTTTAGTAATATTATTGTATACTTCTAGAAATAATACTTTCAAATGATAATGAGTGTCAATAATGGATTGAACACTATTATGGTAAAAGTTGATGAAGCCCTTGTTTACTTGGATTGTAGACGCTATGACGCTATGCTATAAATAAATTGCCAACTCAAATCATAATGTTTTTCATGTGGTGTTTTCACACTGTCACTCCAGACAAGGCTTTGTACGAGCACCCACTAATACATGGGAAGGTACTAGTTTTGGAAGGACAAAAACATCTTTACTCGCATTGCCTAGTTAGCATAGAATTTGAATCCGAAATCTTCAACGTGCTGAGATTGAGTATGACCTAATTTCTTAATGGTTTTTATTTATCAGTAATCAGTAGTTTATTTTATCACCACATCGAAAATACACTTTTTACATACGAGATCAGGAAAAAAGTTGAAAAGTTGCATTCCGCGGTGAAAGGAGTCGCGATAAACCAGTAGTGGTTATCGAGCAGCGACACCCATATTTACGTCAATTCCGTCATCTATATTTGCATTTTTTTATATTCCAGCCCAACGAGCATAGATGTTGGCATGGAAATGCAAGATACTTATATAGATGTCAAATCAGCAAAACAGGGGAAGAAAAAAATAGAAAGCTTATTTGCAGAAGTTACTGTTAACAAAAAAGACTCTCAGCTTAAAGATTCTGTAATTACTCCAGATTTTGAAACTAAATTAGCTATTCCGTCTGAAAAATCTTTGCAACAACAACGCAAAGAAAGAAAAGAACAACAAGAATCAAGTGCTGGGAAAGACTGGTTTAATATGAAACCACCTGAAATGACGAGAGATGTTAAACGAGACTTGGAAATATTGCGAATGAGAGGTGTCCTGGATCCTAAAAGATTTTACAAACATAATGACAGACAAACTATACCACGATACTTTCAGGTATTTTTTTTTTAATTAGTTGTTTGAACATATTTATATTCTTCAAATTCCTGTGAATTGCAAAACAAAAATGAAACCCAAAGTGCATGGAAAATTACAATTTTCATGAGGCCTTTTTATATATTCACTTCGATGGAGGCTCGACAAGAAGCTCCTGTCATGTATAATGTACTTTTTTGGAATGCTCAATCTTTTTATTATCGCAGTGCCTGACGAATTTATGGCACACTGAACAAGATGGTTTGCAATAGGTATTGAACCCAATGTCTCCAAGCTTGATGCCAACGTGCCTTTAACCCTGACATGGGCAAACCACGGCTTGCGGGCCAAATCCGGCCTGTTGAGTAATTCAATCTGGCCCAGCTTGATCAAACTAAAACCAAATTCTGATATTTTGGCTAAAAAGGAATTTGTTTAGATTGGAATTAAATTTAGTTTTGGCACGGGGCTTATTGTTTTCAACCTTTGCTTCTATACACTGTAAATATTGTTCATGAAATGTAAATTTGTACGTCACTTACATGGCCCGCCAGTCTAGGCGGACAAAATCTTCGGCCCCTGGTACAAAAACCTTGCCCGTCGCTGCTTTAACCACTGGTCCATTGCTCCCATCATGTTTGCTTGTGCCACAGTATGTTTGATGTGAGCTAATGGAAAATGTCAATGTCAATACGAAATATTAACATGTTGCGGTGTGATTCCAATTAGTTAATCGAAGATTATTCTTTAGATTGGTAAAGTTATGGATAGCCCTGCTGATTTCTATTCATCTCGCGTTCCTAAGAAGCAAAGAAAACCAAATCTTACTGAAGAGCTCCTTGCAGATGCAGAATTTCAGCAGTATCAAAAACGAAAGTAAGATTTTTTCAAACTCTTTTTTTACTTTTTTCATACCTCAATGCAATTATTTTTACATTTATTCTGTCTTCTTCATTTTAAAAAGGGATTGCAAAGCTATGTGACAATTTACTTAATGCTCCCATGGCTCAACCAGTCATTTTGGTGAGCATGGCTTGACCTCAAACTTATATCAATATAGGTTAAACAAGGTCCAATCTTACTTTTTGCTGCCTGTGACCATGATATGCTTTATCAAAGCACCTCATTTACTTCGAGGACATGGGAATAGTCTTCAAATTCTCTTAGAATATTGAAAATTACTTTTTTCAACTATTTCGCTTTAAATGCTTTTGTTAAGTGGCTTCACAGTGTGCTCATCTATATGTGTGTGAAGGTACCAGTGACATCTTCCCATATATCTGAGCTCTTTGCTCATGCTTATAATGGAAAGATTCAGATATTTTGTTTTTATCATGCAAGAGTCAATGGCTGACCGAAATTCCCAGTACTGTAACTGTATACATGACATTCATCCTTCTTTTAAGATACAATGAAATTCAAATGAAGAAGAAAGCTCTTGGTGCTAAGCATCGTAGGATGAAACGAGGGAAATTTTCTAGAAGAAACAAAGATGACTGAATTATGGAAGCTTTGATCATATTTGGATAAGAAACGGCTAGTTTTCCTCATAGGAGTCTTTTAGGTAACTCAATTTTTTCAACTATTCTGTCTGACATGAAATATAAGTGGAAAGGCATCAACCCCCAATCAATTCAGCAAAGAACAGGTGAGCAGCAGGTCATTGGAGATCGCTGAAACTGAATACTGCTGCAGACAAGTGTTCTATTCAAAAAAGCTGTTGATTGTATATTGGAATTGAGTATACTACAATGCTGCTCTCTATCGCCCAAATTGTACCTCGTCTGCACGTCAGCCAACGCTGAATTTGTATATTTCTCTGCTTCACAATCTGCAATAAATTAAATTAATGGAATGCCTGGGTTTTGTTGTCATGAGTTTCGATTCCTTACAAGTAGGGCTGGGAATGATTAACCGGTTAACCGATTTTAGATGGTTAACGGTTTCGATTTATTTTTAACTGTTAACTGACATCTCGGGTACAAATCATCTTTATAATGTACAATTCTTTCAAAAATGATTACGTCATCGCAAATTTATCTCCTGTGGCCTTTAATTCAAAAGAATATCGCTAGCTGTGTTGGTGAGGACCTAATAAATGGGAAAAATAATTGAAGTACCAAGATTGCTGATTATGAAAATTTAACAATAATTAATTATGAATCAGTTTTTCGGTCGAAATATATTGTTCACGATTTTATTTCAAAATCATACATTCAATGTCTACCAACAAGTGCGTAGTTGATGCTGTTTTTCTTTATAAATCTCAAAGTAGAATTTGCACATCAAACGCAGAAAATTTGTCACATAAATGACATTTAGTAACGGAATCGGGTTTTACTAAAATACTTCCATATTTCCTACCCACGCTACAGATCTCTTGTAGCAGAGCGATCACGAAACTATATCGATTCGTGAATAATTTTGAGCGATACCGGGATAAGGTCACGCGAAATTGCTTTGTAAACATTGTGACGTAACAAGCTAAAATTAAGAATTATTATGTGAAACGTCACGCTGCGGTTAACCGATTAATTTTACCCGGTTAACGGTGAAAGTGTTTTCCCTGGAATTCCCAGCCCTACTTACAAGTGATATATACACAAGAGATCCACAAAAATGGCAATTGCATTTTATCAGATACTTTAAAATGAGATTTTCTACGTACAATGCTTGATGTAACACACGGCACAATTATCAGAATATTTTGAACTCAGTATGTGACAAAGCCAGTTCAGACATAGTTCATTATGTGTATACATATATTGTTATATGTCATTGGTGAATGCAAGTAATTTTAGATTGTCACGCAAGGCATTTTACCGGTTATCGTCTTCACCAGTAGCTATAGTGCAGGCCAGCAGGGGTGGCCAACCCGCGGCTCTTTCTCCGGTTTCATGCGGCTCTTTTCGTCTTGGTTATTTTAAGGAAAAAATAATTCGCGAACTACGGTTCGTCATGTTTCGATTAATCATCGTGCATCCTTCTTTCACGAATTTACGTCAAAAATACACAAACGCCTTCGTTCACTCCACCACTCAATCGTCCATGATTACGTCACAATCAAATTCTTTGTTGTGAGACGTTTATTGCACTACAACGGCTGTCGTAATCGTATCGAAAACGAAGTTCGGCGGAAAACGCGCAGTTTTCCATTTGGGTGAAGTAATTGAAGTGCAGATAAAACGCCCCAGATTACGTCGTCGAGGACTCATTTAATTCTGAGACGGATTGTTTGAAATCCCCCCTAGTCGCAGTTGACCTCCACCATCAAGTCTATGCTTCCGAAAACAAATAACTGGCTAAGTAATCCCATACCCGACCTGGACTGGTAACCGGACGAGAGGCCGTGGTTTGCCATATGATTAAGCCGTCTTATCGGCTTTCCTCTCCCCCGGAATAAATATGTAAATCCTAAATCCTTGAGGCTGCGACTGAGTTGAAGATGGTCAATCTTTATGAGGAAGACCCACTAAAATGAGCTTAATAGGAAGAAACCATTGAGTTGCGCTTAGGATATTGTCAATGTTCGGGCGACATACGTCTGCGAATATGTGTTTTCTACCCTAAAACACGTGAACTCAAAGCATTGATCTGTTCTGACTGACACCAATGTAAAAGAACCGCTCCGATTGGCTACAACGACATACAAGCCAAATTTAAAGAGGTTTGTTCAATCCATGAAGTCCCACTAAGAAGCATGTATTACAATAAATGACTTGTAAATTTCTGTCATAATCATGTTGGTATGTGACATTTAAAATAAACATATCTGGTAAATCATTGAAAAATAGCCTGCAACTGAAACAAGCATAATTATTTTTATTGATGAGCAACTAAGATTTATAATAACTGAAAAAGCTTACTAATATTTAATAAGCAACTACAAAAATTTAGGATTGAATGTAAATTTTGATCGTATACTATTCTTGCAAAAAAGTATGATTCGACAAATGAAATGATAGTTACTATAATGTTCATGCCATCACCATGCTATTTAAATCAATGAGAAATATTTGCTAATTGCTATACACATATATATGTTACTTTGACATGCGTCGGTATGGACATTGATCACTGTAGTCATTTGGTGTTTTGCCGAAAACAATTATGACAGATTTACAAATTAATTGCAAGCTATCGTAAAGGGGTTTACTATAAAATGGTATGTCTAAACTGCAGTGATTAGTAGCGAACCTGGACTCAAGAAATTTGGATAGGGAAACATAGTTATATGTTAAAATACACTGGAGATTTTAATTGTTACAGTAATGTTTTTGACCTATGGGCGTTCTAGTAACAAGTAAGAACAGCTCGGTCAAACCAAGTTGTAGTGCATAGATGTATTTTGCACGTTCTATTATGAGAACAATAGCTCACAGTGAATTGCAAGAAAGTGAAACAAAAAATAATGAAAACGGTTGATAAAATTGATTTTAAATCTGATATAATATAATCTATTATTTACAAATATTAACAATGTTGGTGGATAATTGAATGTAAAAACTTAATAGAATCTGTAAGGGCGTATTCATAACTTAATGTTGCTGACTTCGCCGGGGCTAAAAAAATTCAAAGAGAATCATAATGAGACTAGGTGCGTTATGCTAATTAAAGTATTCGTCAATCAATTTTTGTAAATTGGAATTTTTTGTTAAATAACCAATCTTATCTCTGGAATGAAAAGTCCGACTGGGTCTTATTAATTATGACTTTTATACAAAGCAAAAACATAAGACTTAAATGTATAGGTATCATTTTGTAGTGCCCTGCTGAAAGTAAAAGAAAAAATGTATTGCTTTGTTCATTTACATGATTATTTTGGTAATACCAGTCCCCAATATAATGATGTCACCCATACGAATGTATAATATTTTTAATTTATTTTTTGGAACAGTGAAAAATTCTGCCTTCCACCAGTGGCCAAATTTGCCACCTTACATCTTCATAACTTTTCTGTCGTTCTTTTAAAAGTTTAAAATTATTTCTGTTTCCTTCAATTGCTTCTCTCCGTTTCACCTCAAAAGAATCGGTTATTTTTTTCGACTCGTCAAATATCCCATCGCGGTTTATTTCAAGCAAATGTTGCATATGCATCGCTCGTCTATCATAGAGTGCGTCACTGACATCATTCACAAAATCGCGCTTTCTTGAAAGCTCACTGTCGCGTCGTTTTCTGTTGCCATTTATGTCGAGGTCTTTTGGTAATATGTCCTCCATTGATTTCTGAAGTTTATGAACTGGTGAATCTTCAAAGCTAGCCGAATATACTTCGTGTAAATGCCCACTTGCTGATATAATTTTTTTTCCACATTCAGTGACCCTCAGCTGAAAAATGTAAAAAATATGGGTTTAGTTAACATCCCAATTAGCCGAAATGCATAAACAAACAATGTGCGTCCTTGTTTTTGATTTTGTATGCATTTGATAAAACTTACTTACAATTTTTAGTTCCATCAAATGCATATAAAATCAATTCTACACGTTGGTTTAGAATAAAAAATATTGTTCACAAAATGAATGAATGCGCCAATGAATGGTACCCGATAAGACGACATATTCCGACTACCATATTAGATATGGAAGGCAGCTAATTAGTCAAATATTTCGAATGCACGCTGCCATCTACATGGCAGCACTATGTAGGAAGTCTTTGAAGAGACATATTGACCATATATCTACTTCTAACTCACAAACCTTTTCTCCTGTTCTTTCTTGATGTTTGAGCAATTGAGCCACATTGGAAATGTGATTCCTTACCACCGTCGATACGATCGGGCCACTGTCAGGATCGTTGAAAAGCCTGCACGAACGAAAGCATTCATATCCATCTCGCCCTCTTGCCACATAAGCTTTAGTAGCAAGCTTATAAAATCTTTCCAAGTCCAAGGGTTCCCCGTGGATCTTCACACTCTCGCGAACCACGCGTTTTCCTGGAGATGCTTTAGGATCGAATCCGAAACAAAACCCAGAGACCTAAAAATGAGATAGTGCAAATGAATTATAAACGCTGGATTTTTCCAGACGGGAAGTAAACATCGATGCGAGCTATGTACCAGCACGGGTCAAAGGCCACTATATAACAATCGGTTCAGAAATATGGTTAAACGACGACACCTTACCTGAGCAAATCTTCCTTCATGTCTTGGGTATTTACAAACGGCATTCTCTAAGCCTCGTAAAAGCTGTTGACCCGTGACCTCTAGAATGACAACGTTATCGTGTATTGGAAGGATTGACATGAGGTCTCGTACGCGGAACTCTTCATCACTGTGAACTGTGTTTGATCGGAAAGTGCCAGAGTTAATGAGAACGATGTCTGCTCTCGTTGTCATTCTCATAACATCGGCGACAAAATTTCCAAGATTGGTTTCACGACTTCTCACGTGTTTGTACAGCCCGTCCAATGACGTCTGAAAATTTATAGAAGTGAGTGTTGCTCATTGTGTTATTAGTGGCTAATGCATATGACAAGATATGAATTCTTAATTCAGTAGGTCTTTTTCGCAGGCTAGTCTTAGCATATATATCGAAAAAGGCCCGTTACGGTCTGTTTTGAGTAAGAAAGGAACATTTATATGTAAAGCCCGAAAAATCGACACCCTTGCCCGAAAGGGTGCCGCCGCTCGATAACCAGTTTTGGTTTTCGGCGTCTACTTTCACCCTGGAATGCGATTTTTTCGTATTTTCTTTAATTCGTGTATTAAAGTTCGTACTTTCAGCATAGTGAAGAAATAAAGTACTGATTAATGATCGCAAATAATGAATACAATTAAGATTTTATTAACAATATCAAATTTTCGTCAGTTTAGCTCAAAAGTAATGACTTTTGAACAGTTATCTGGTACCGCAGGCTAAAAACGAATGAATTAAATTAATTAATCATTTTTGCAAATCATGAGTGACTGTGCATGCGGTACCCCTTTTGTGGTTTAGAAGAACATTGGCTTATCCCGAATAGGTCATTAAAACAGTGTTATATTGAGCACAATACCCTTAGTGGTCCGATTGATTCCTGCAGTTGCCTTTCTAATACAGTCATATAACGGTTAACGATATTTTCCATATCTACAGCTGGTTCAATCTTGGAGGTTACATCGTATCTGGTAACGCTCACGTCGAAGTCTCCGCCATTTTTTAGAAACAGATCAACGCGGGAAAATGTTTGAAATTCACAGCCACTTTTTACTATGACGCAATCTAGAGATAAAATAATGGTTTCATATTCCTGCATTAACACATCATTATAATGATGATTGATGGCCGACAATATATGAGTTACGTTACTACGCAATCATGGTACGTTGACTGCACAATGATTAATAGTACGGTTTTTCGATTTATTGTCATGATGCGTGTCCTCATCAATGTGACTCCTGCAGTGATATAACAAATGATAATAAAAATAGAGCATAAACGTATCAAAATGATTACTATTTGAAACCGCATTACGCATAAAATTATTAAACTTCTCGACGTTTTGAACTTTGGTGGGCGTATCAAAACATTTACAAACTATATTATATGGTGCAAGTTTTACGAGTTTACACTGTTTAGACTTTATAATTCAGAGTCTATTTGAAAGGAGCTGTTTTTTGTTCATTTTATCTTGTGATACTTAGTTTATCCGCGTTAATAAAACAACGAAAGAGATAATTACCATCCACAAGTTTGACTCCGTACTCATGGTCATGCCCTCCGAGAATTATGTCGATATTTTTCACCTCCTGGGCAAGACGAATGTCGTTCGGCCAACGCATATGCGTTAACGCGATAACCAGATTTGCACCTTTTGTCTTCAAATCACTCGCAAGCTCGTTTCCTCGTGTGACGTAGTCTTCAAAACAGAGCTCTGATTTGTCCACAGTTGTCAACGTGTCTAACCATTCTTCTTCAATCAAACCAATGAGGCCAATCTGAGAAGACACACAGTGAAAAAAACTGGGATACACAACAAGAGTAGTTTTAAATTATTTTCCTGTGTAGTTATAGAAGATATGTTTAGAATCATGACAGTAATTGTCTTCTCCGATATCCCGAACATATGGAGTGCATAATATCAATTTTAAAATCCTGGTGGTATAAGTAATTAATTATATAGTTTATAATTTGGTAATAAAGGATATAATTGATTAATTGGCCTACCTTCAAACCGTTCCATGGCATGATTCTACTGATAACTCCATCGCCAAAAGGTTCCCCGTTGTCTTTTTCTGTGACGTTACTAAGAAACCAAGGGAAATTCATGCTTTTCGCGCAGTCTGCTGCATGTTCCACACCGAAGTCAAACTCGTGATTTCCAAATACTGCTGCGTTTACCTAGGTTTTGAAATAGATATATATATATATAAAACTTAAAATTACAAATTTGAATTCTCGAATTCATTTGACTCGCATTAACACATGCCGATTTTTCTAAGTGACAGTTCATAAATATTTCACCTTTATATGATTAAGAACTTCGATCATGTGCCTTCCCTTTGTGGCACTAGACAGGATGGATGGATTGAGACAGTCGCCGCCAAAAGCAATAAAGGGTTTCTCTCCGTTACAATCTTTTTTTGCAACTTCGAATATTTGTTGAAAAAGGTTTGAAAATCTAGCAGCGCCACCCACTGGTTCCTTTTTTCGCTCCGTAAGTTCGTAAACATCATTGAAATGCAGAATACTGAACCTTTTTGTAACCTGTTAAAGTAAGTTATTGCACAAGTTAATATACCGACATTTTGGATAGAAGCCGTAATATCCCGTTATCGATTATGCTGAGAAAAATATTATTCAATATAATAAACTCACATCGGCAGGAAGTGAACAGATACTATGTGTCCGACTGCTGGTTGAAACAATGGATTGTTCCTGAGATGGTTTTAATCTGATATCTAGTATTGATCCTTTCTCTGGAAAATCAGCAATTGTTTTATTTTCGCTGTTGATAGTGGAGTCGTCATTTTGATAAATATCACGCTTTGCTTGTGCGTTATTAGAGTTTGTAATGTCGGAAAAATGACTGCGGATCCACCTATCTTCAAGTCCTGCATTGTCGTTGCACTTTTCGCTTCTTTGCGATTTTATAAGATCAGCGTCGCTTGCTGTTGCACATCCTTTCACTTCCAAGGCTCTTACTGTGGGATCTTCGTCGCTGCTGCTTGACTCGGTGCTGATCGCTTTTTCGACTATTCTATGTTGATTATGTGGATTTCCAGCCGTTACTACCCCATTTTGTTTATCCGTTGTTTGACTAATATTGGATCTTGTTGGGGACTGGGCAACACTTTGAGAGCATCCCATAGTGTCTTTAGTATTTATCGATGATTCGTCATAACTTCCTCTGAAATATATATACATAAAACGAGTTAATTACTCTTAAAATGGCGAGGTAAACGGCACAATACAAAAGTGGGCAATCTAAGCACCTCCATCATTTTAAAGTTATATAACTTACCTAGGACTGGGAAGGCCGGGCTTCGAGTTATTGGAATCGCTGTCACTAAATCCGAAACACGCGTAGCAACCAACGACGTCGTCATCACTTGAATTCTCACTGCATACTTTTTCTGTAAAAATAGACAAATTACAAACAACTTTATTCCGTGAATTTTATGAAACGACGAGGGTTTGTTACCGGTACTGCAGCTAGGAAACGAAATTTAGCAAGTTCGCAGTTAACGCAAAGCTCAAAATTGTCTTCACTAAAGGGCGAACCCTTTTTTTCAATCAGCTAAAAAAATACGGTTAGAGCAAAATAGCCTTAGCCAGTTTCAATAAAAGCGAAATCCTTTCAATTCGGCAACATTTAATTCGAAATTGCATGATCTTCTCTTCGAATTTACGGAGACTGTGCAATTCTACACCGAACGATTTCAAAGAGGCAACGAAGAAGTTTCACAGTGGCATGAGCAGGCGCAATGTGTATTGAATATTTTAACGTACTCGTGTGACCTGCATTCCGTTAAATACACTCAGTGAAAGTATGAAAATTCCATTACTGTATAATTATTAATGGCAGAGGTACGGAACGAGCGACCATGGTGAATTAGCTCTGTGTGAAAACGGCCTATTCAGTTTCGATATATTATTGTTTTTTACAACACACGCTATGAAGGTCGATGTCACCTTATTTTGCGATAGTTCTCTATCGATATCTGGTGACTACGAATCCGCGCGTTGCCAAAGTGAAAGCGTTCGTTGGCACTCACGAATATCAACAGGAATCCGAGAGCGTGGTATCGCATTGAGGTATTTGTTGAAGGTGAGACAGATATATGAATAATAAATGGGTCGGGTTTCTCTGGCTATGTATTGGCCCAGGGAAACCGCACGCTGCAAAATCCGAGGCCAGTCGATACTTTGTTCTCCATTGAAATATTTGCGGGAACTCGCCCCCGTAAACATATATGCTATGCAATTAAAAAGCTGCTATCTCATAAAATTAAAATAATAGTAACACCGATCGGCCGGTATCGTTTTACGTCAATACCATGGTATTTTTGAATTTTAAGGTTTAAAATTTTGCATGCACCTATATCGAATCAGAAAATAATTATGGCTTCACTATACGCGGCATTCGGATCCATTGATGGTGTATTTTGTTATAGAGGCGCGGAATCAAATCATGCTTGACAAACTTTTCACATATATCTTTCGCATTGTAAGTCTTTTAACGTTGTAAAAATAAACAAAGAAAATAACCAACGATAATACTAACTTACGAGACTTAATACCACCAGGACGCGCAAGCCCGTGAGCTGCGTTCCCGAGGTGAGCAATGACTCCCCGAACCCGTGTGCATAGCATATTAGTCCACTAATATGAGACTTGTTCACCCTAATAACAGGTCTAAACTTTCAAATAAAAACACAATATGCACCTACCGGCTGACTTTACCTCAAAGAAAAATCTTTTCGCAAAATATCCAAAGCGATATCTATCTTGCTGGCAGCGGGCAGAAAACTTCACACTTTTTGAATGCGTGTTATAGTCATTTATTTCGATTATTATGATGTCATAAATCCTAACTAAATTGATTTCCAGAATACACTCAATCAACCACGGGAGGTAAATTAATCAAGCTTTTCAATGGGTTCGTCAACGGTATAAGAGTCGCGATTGCATCTCTGAAAGTGTCAGGTCGAGCGATTTGAAAATAGAATATGCCGATAGCAGGTAATACGGAGGCGGCAATCGATTTTACACATTTACGACCGACATACTATTGAAATACGACAGTGCAAGCTTTGCCCAGTGCGCGGCATTCAAAGTCGTTGGACTTGAACATGAAATACTCATAGAACTGCCTTCCATAATTTGCCCAGGGGTGTATTCAACCTCATCATTTACTGAATAAAGTTAATCGATACACTGCCTACGATATTATGTACAAAGTGCTACTTCTGAAAAACCTTTCCTTGTACCGAATGTTTTATTGATATCTACGACATATTGACATACCTTGAAAGCGTTCCCGTACCGCCGTCGTGTAGTCCTTTTCCACTGTCTTCGGCATTTTTATAACCTATAGTTTACTATATTAGAAATAACATTACATTCCAAAAGCTGTAAATACAAAAAAAAGACAAGTTATTCTGGTATACCGCGTCTGACAAAACGAAAGGAAGAAAGTGGGTCTCTATTTTGACCTTATATATTGTGTCTTTTACGTGGGACTGCGACATAATAAAACTGTTCAAATACACACGCAAAATGTACACACAAACGTATTCCAACGCCGAATTGTGTGAGAATACCATCGAAGGTATATTAAGCCTTCAAGACATAATTTTATCTAAGCCAGTTCGTTGGGTATGTATTTGAACGTATATTACAAGCATAGGTTTGCTCATATCATACAACTTGTTTCGTTTCGAAGCAATACTGAACCACCATACAGTATTATAAAGCATTATCGATTGACGTAACAAAAGCCTGCGTAACGAAGGGACAAAGAAGGAACTCGCCCTAGCGCGTTTAGCCTTTTTATTGATGAAACGTTCAGGTTGTGCCTTTTTCTCGCTGTAAGTACACGGCGCGTCACCATTTGTAGCTGAAACCATTTTATTTCTGTGATATTTATGAAATTTGGAAAGATTGATGAATTTTCAATAACATAATTTCAATATTTCATAAATATATTTTTGAAATAAAAGTTAGTAAAATGCTAATAGCAACCGCTTTATTGAGATGACAAGGAAATCGTCACGGCATGTAAAAACAGCTGATTTCTGTTGCCAAATACGAGTGTTGTGCTCAATAGTACACTTCGCTATGCGCGTGCGTAATGCATATACACAAGGCGGAAGTATGAGCTGCAAGCGTTTTCCCACTCAAGCTGTAACTTCAGGTTATTATTCTTTATATGATTTAAAGACGCGTTAATTTATTTCGTTTCTGAAATACACGGCCACCTATTTAAAATTCTGTACTACTGGTTGCAATTGTGTAAATATATGAAAAATTTATCTTTTTTTTTGTTTGCTGGCGTGACGGGCTATTTATTTCAGTGCTGAAACCAGTATTAAAAAGGCTGTTTTAAAGTGACATCTCGTTGATAAATTCTCGATTAACACATCTAACATTTACTGCTTATGCTCAGCGTGCTTTCACCGCAATTTTACCCATGGCGGATTTGAAATAGATTATCTGTTCTCATCTAAGAAGTGTTGATAAAACAAAAGCTACGACCGAAAACATGTGCATGAATCGCAAGACAGTTGTTGCTTTGGCTACAGGTTGATATTTTCCAAAACCATCTTAGCTTTACATTGTTCTATGCTATTTTTGCTCCTGCATTTTTCCACAAACTCGAGTGTCTCACTAGGTAACTTATTTGTAGAACAATTGTGTCTGGTAAATTATATAAATGAGCAAACATTCACATTTGGCATACATGACAAGGGAGACAATATCCCACATATTTGTCATTTTATTGACTCAAACACCCAGCAACAGCGCATTACAACATCACAATCAGGGTTCAGATTATGCACCAATAACATGTTTTCAAAGTATTGTATTATAGTGAATACGACATCCTGACCATTGACACATCTGAGGCAAACATGACTGCATAAATATGTTTTAGAAATAACTGAAACTTTCTTCAATTGCAAGTACAACAGTATATAAAAGGAGTTACAATAGATGGAAAACTAGTTTACATCTTAACTGTCGCTAGCGTTTACCATATCTTTGTCGTAAATGAACTTACAGCAGGAAAAAAAGATTGGGATTATAAACAAGAAAATTAAATCTTCTAATAAAAGATTAGATAATGAATTTATTGAGGAAAAAAAAACGAGAAAATTGAACCTTGTAACAAAAAATGGATGAAACAAATCTTTCTAAAGTAAAGTATATTTGAAATACTGTGGTGATTGAAGAGCCAATGAATGGGCTTCCTTCCGATCCTCCTCCTTTTCAAGACATTATGACTTGATTGCAAATATTCTGAGGGTTTGAAATAAAGCCATTAAAAGAGTAGTTTTACTTTTTGAGATGCTTGAATTGTTATCGGATTCACGAATAGTGATAGGGCTGGAAGTAGTTTCACTTTCTTCCGATTCATTCAAATTCACGGTTTCATTACCGCAACTGTTGCTCTCTTTCGATGAGTGATATTTCTCTATAAGTTTTGAGAAAGTATCAACAATAGCATTACAGAAATCGGTTTGATGCATCAAAAATCCACCTATATGTCCTGTGTTGAGTAGCCTCACCTGCAATAAGAAATATTAACAGTCAGACAGCTTCAATGACTTGCAACTTCACAAAATATATTTTGAATTCATATTGCTAAAATAATTTAAAAAAAAAGAAAAAAAATATTCCTCTCTAATCATGAATGGCAAAATTCAAACAATTTGATATTCAAAATACAATTTGAAAGTATACTCTGAATTATCAATTGGGTCATAATATAAACAAGCTGGTAGGCGCCCAGTATGGATCTCCGCCATTGCTTGAGCCTTGAAGCCCAAGTCATTTCGGGTTTATCAACTGGTAATAGGTAATAGGGAGACGCCATTGTACCAAAATTGCCAGGTCATTGTGAGCACTGTGCGTCTCATCAGTTTCAATCAGCGAAAGTTATGCTGTGGTTAATAATTAAAGCATGTTCAGTGAAACTCCTCAAGCTTTCTCAGTTTATGGACTACCGAGATGAAAGACTTGTTCTTTGGATTGTTCGAAAAAGTATTTATTTCCGCAGAGGGTAGCATTCGCGAAATTTTAATATTCAAATTGGTTGAGGAAAAAGGCGAAAATTTATGAAAATAATCGGAATATTTTTAACGATTGGCACATTTTTCACTGCTGCCATGGAAACAAAACATCAATCTCGGCTTTCGGTGAAACGCACATTACTAGGGTGACAGCATTACTCGCGTTAGAAATTTGATACAGATCAGTCCAGCCGTTAAGAAGCTACAGTTTCGACACACAGACAGGACAGAATGACTGAGAAAAAGGGTACGTATGTTCAAAAGATTAATTCTAAAAACACATGAAATTCCAGATACAAGAGTTTGATGAAGCCATTTTGAATCTGCCTATCACATTTTAATCAGTACATAACATTACAAGCAGAAATATTCCAAATTGAGGAGTATCCAATATGACTATTTTTATTCAAATATTTGATTCACTTGGGAATTTGATCATAAAAAAATTTCTGAATCTTACCTCACAACCAGGCCAGACCTCATTCATTGGTCGTAAACTATGTATCGGATAATACGCATCAGCTTTCGCGATTACGAATGTTGCCATTGATGGGTCAATTGGAACTGAAAAATTTTGGAGATCTGTCACTTGATCCATAACACCTTTCATAAATCTAAGGGTCTGTTTCCGCCTTCTCTCTCTGTCATCCTTCTCCGATACCTGATCCCCAGCAACATTTTTCATTACATATGTCGGTTTCAGAGCACCTTTATCTTTCACATAGTCTTTACCTAATTCATAGGAATCCACAGTGTTATATTTAATCAGGTCATTGATTTGGGTCTCATAATTTGGATCTTTTGCATATTGAGATTCCAACACCCTCCATGGTATGGCGTTACTAAGAACCCCTTCTGTCCAAACTACAGAAGAAGAAGTCCAAGACATGCAAGGTACAACAGCGACGGGTTTAGGTGAAGTTGTGGCTGCTAATGAAGCCATATGTCCACCCATTGATATACCAGTAAGACCGAACGGCCCAAAACCTTCTTTTTCAAGCCATTTTAGCAGAACTTGAGTTTCTAAAATAAGGCATAGACCCATTAAAAATAGGTCTTTGACATGTAGCAAACCGGAACGAGATTGATCTTTTGGTTTTCGTAAACCATAGTACGGATTTTCCAACAATAAAGAAGAAATTCCATGCGACAATAACGGCTTAGCGATGAGTTCTCGTCTTCTAGAAAACCCATGGTCGCCCGTTCCAGCCATATGAATGCACAGCGGATTTAAGTCAAGTTGCTTTATTCTTCTTTTCAAAGAAGTAATACTATCTGGTTTGGATTTCCTTAGAGTTGCAGGTAACACCATTTGGAAGTGTGACGTCTTACATTCTTCTGGTAGCTGTTTGGGTAAAAGTTTACAGACTGGAGAAACGAAACTACCATCGACAGTCACGCACCCATTGCTTGAGACTGGATTTTCCAAGGTCACATTAGATTCAGATATGTGATCATTAACATAATCCAAACATGAATCCCTGTTGGAAATCACACCATGGACCTTCAATATTTCCTGCAGTTCTTCTGGTTTACCCCATCCTCTGGTATAGAATTTTGTTAAGATGAGCCTTCGGTAGAATAAATCCAACTTGCTTAAATTCATTTTGCCACTCCTCGGCCCTCACACTTTTAATCAAATACTTTATATTATGTCATTATTCTGCAAAAAATTTATTGTAAAAAGAAATTGCAGCAACACAACTTACAATTTTACACCCTAGAAAAATCACTTGCATGAAAGATTTCATATGCAAAAAAGATTTTCCAATCAACACCAAGGTCATAAGCATAAAGCCTGTACACAACAAAAAATGCAAGTTCAAATCTGAATTACAGGTAAAATTAAATTGAAAAAACACTTCCAAGAGCTCAAAATCCAGTCAATTTTAATTCCAGTATAAAAGCATGCATATTCAGTTGTAGCAGTTCACCAATAAATCATGAAACATTTTTAGCATAATCTAATAGAGAGCATGTAGTTTTGAGTTTCTTGCACAAACCATATTAAAAAAGGTATTCATGGGCATCCTCTAGTTAGGATAGGTTTATCAGGTCCAGGGATTTCCAAGATGAATCAAAAACATTCAAAATTGGATATATTTAAAATAGCAAGTATTGATTAAGGAATTATTTCCATCTATCATTTAAAACATTTGACATCCAATAGTCAGACAAAAATAGACTTCAGTTAACTTTTATTAAGAATAAATCCCAGTAATGTTTATTCCAACTATCCTGTATTAACAAATTTGAGTGAAGTCGTCGATGAACAAGACACAATTTAGACACATTCGAAATTTACATCCAAAATATTGTTTCAGAATAATTTATATAACTTTAGCTATCCTTGAATTTCAGCCTGTTACGTACTTGACTAGTGGGGGGTGGTTGGGCTAATATCACACTTGGAAGTGGGAGTGAGACGTTTCTTTTTCCCTAGTTTTACTAAGGCCAAAACTTGTTAGTGTAAAGTGATATGATTCACATTTTAGCAAAAAAGTATGAACTATCTTCCAACTGTTATTATACTACCAATTTGAACAGTAGATTGAGACATTCCAGCCTAGATTAATATTTTGAGGTTTCGCTCAATTAAAAACGGTCACTCACTCAGTTACTCCAGCCCTGATTTACTGTAAAACAAGTCATAGACGGAAAACTGTGGGAACAGAGTTCTTTAGTCATCGACGTGAAAGTGTCTCGATTTCACTTAAGCTTATAGGAAGCTGACCTAAAAATGAAATCTAAATAATCATGACAGCTTTCAGTAAAAATGAACAGTGACAGTCAACAGCATTAAAAGTGTCAAACCCGATAATTAAAGTACTAAACCCAACGTGGAGCTAAAAGTTTTTTTGTCTTTACTCAAAATGTTTTTATCAACAATAACAAACTAAGTGCTCATGGCGTTACGGCTTTCATCCGCATTTGGCAGTATGGAGTGTAAAGGCTTATCAATGCCTTTATGTCAATGAATCATCTTTATTCTTCTACAGTAGGCAACCAAAATGCCATGTTAGAGCATGTTGACGCAATCATCATATATCTCGGATTAAATTGTACGCACTGAAGTGGGCCTGGATGTTTTCCATCTAAAACAGCCGTCTTGCTTCCGTCTTCAGTACTCCAAACATGGATTCGACCATCTTGTGATCCAGATAGAATATACTGTGCATCTGGGCTGAAACTGGCCTCTAAATATAAACCTTTAGTGTTAATATGACCCATAAAAGTTTGCAGTGGCTCGCCATGAAAAGCATCAATCAATCGTAATGTTGAACCATTGGTTGAAATTAGGATCATTTTTCCATCGGAGCTGAATTTTAATCTGGTCCAGTCACAGTCTTTATCAGGAGTTAGTCGAAACGTTGTAAATGGACCTTTATCAAATGATCTCAAATCATATAATTTAATCATTTCAGAATTTATTCCAGCTGCAAAAATCAAACCCTCTGGATCGAAAGAAGCGCATGGTCGGCCAGGGAGATGCATTAAACCCTGGCAATTTGGAGATCTCAAGTCCCATAAACGTATTGTCTTGTCCAATGATCCAGATAAGAATGTGTCATCCACAGGGGACATACTTAAGGTCACTACTCTTTTTGTGTGTCCAGTGAAATAACGAAGATACTTATTATCATGTAATGATTGATATCGAATTGCGTCATCAACTTTGTTTGAAGCATAAATTACAGTGTTTCCAGCATGAGTGTAGTTTATGTGATCGACACCATATTTTTTACTGTACAATGTTCTCTTTGGTTTTCCTTCTGTACAGCAATCATAAATTACAATCGAATCGTCATCGCTAGCTGATATCAAATTTTCACCATTTGGTGCAAAATCGACGCTGTTTATTTTTTCATTATTTTCACGAAAAACTTTGGCAACTCGAAAACTTTTTACTACAGAATCCAGTAGCTTCATTATAATATTTTTATATTCCAACTGAAAGTTACCAACTAAAAATAAAATGATACAATAGTTTCATCATAACATGAACTAAATGGGGTATAGGAATACAGAATAACTAACCAGATGGCATGGCTGATGTAAACAATAAAAATTTACAAGTTTAAGCGTCTAATTACAAGTCTAATTTTACAAGAACCACACTTCATGAATTAAGATGGCATGAACTTCTTTTTAATGTCTATACTAGTTATATAAAAGGGGGTAAATTTCCCGGTCATATTTTAGAAAACATTATTTCGTTCGTTATCCTGAGTCCCTGGGAGAATGACAAATGTTATGTGTTCGTTCACACTCTTTACTGCATGTCACAAGGAGTGTTTACATTTTATTTACTGCATTGCTAAAGGGTAATTACAACTCAGGGTAACAAGGGAATAGGGGGCAAATTTTATCCTAATTGTTTAAAATGCAACGCAGAAAATATTAATTACTGATATCTGATTAGTGATTTTACGATTAAACTGACAATGAACAGCTAGAGTGGAGTCTAATACCAATAAGTTTAGGATATAAATCTCTAAGTAATTAGAATTGACCATATAACCAACATTGCACTTTGATCACTATCCGACTAATTTTCAGAAGCAGAGAATATGCAAAATAATATAGACAAAGATCCTGCTGTACAAATTTGATTTTGTGCTGAGAGTTGCCACATTTTACCAGTCAATATGCCAATTTCAAGTGGATTCAAAAACTGAAAAGATGGACAATAAATTCACAAACTGTAGGCCTAAATCTCTTTGTGTTAGGAAAAATTATTTATGAAAAAATATGGCACCTCTCTATGGCTAAAAAATCAGAACATTTTTTTCAGAGTGTCTGAAATTTCAAGATCTTCTCAGTTTATACTAAAGATGCCGTATTTTACCACTGAGAGTAAAATATTTCTAAATGTATTGGATAAAATGATTGACTTATATTATTGTTCATTGCGATACAGCAATATGAAAATGCAAATGAAATGGAACTCAAATCGATATGAAATAGTAAAATAAATAGATAATCGAATTACTTGAAACGGTGCCTATAAATTGCCTGGTTTTAGGGAGACCCTATTGAGTTTTTTTTAAAAATTGAGGTTTTGAGGAGGAGGAGGAGGAGCAAAGACAACACATTTTTAACATATCTAAAAATATTATAGTTTATAAGAGCATTTGTTAAAACTATTTAATGATAGCATTGAGCTATTGAGTTGTTCAATACAATTCATGTCAATCTTAAAATATTCTATGAAGACGGATTTTTTTCTTTTACTTCAAGATTGTGCTAAATTTGATTGGTGATCATTGATATGTGAGTTTGTGTATTTGAACCAAATGTTGGGACATCAGAGAACTGCGCCCTACTGTTAGAGAGTCAAATGTTAATCATACATATATATTTATGGTGGGATTTCCGGCATTACTAATTTATGTACGGTAGTTGAGAGGCTAATAACATTGTGAGTATAATTTTATTGAGACTCCATACTGCCATAACCAGCATCACAGACCTTAAATTAATAAAAACATGCAAAAAAAAACTGATTACAAAATCAGTAGAGCAAACAAAACCTTGAGCGAGGTTTAAAAGGTAGGCTACATAATTCAAATAAACAATCTGTTGCCTAAAAGTGGTCGGTGTTCACTCATCTAGTATTTACCACCAAAGTCAATGCACACAATCAACGTCATTTCAGCATGTCATGACTGCATGAGGTACAGTGTCAGAGTGACTCAACTCACCTGACTGATCCAGCCTGACTCAACCAAAAATGGAAGTGTGGGCTACAGCAACGATGGCATGAAAATATACTTTATATCGGTTCACCAGAAAACTTATGTAATATATGAATATTATGTTGAAACTGCCACAAGATTTCTCATTCCTACATTCGCTACCGCTGTAATTGAACATCCTTTGCACCAAAGTTACCCCAGCCCACACTCGCTCAGCCTGACGTCAAGGGGTTAACCAACTATTTTACCACTTTATAAACGTTAATACATAAAAACTTGGTGGCTATGACAATATAGAGACCATATGTGATATACACAACGCAAATGCAATACCAAGCCCGGCCCAGTTACCCCTAGTATGGCCTGTCAAAAACGAGTGTGGGCTAGCGTCTCGAGTGTGGGCTGGGGTACCGTATTTTTGGTTCCTTTGCGACCCTCACAGCCTTATGAATAATTCGAGTTCAAAACATGACACACTATAACTAACTCGCTCACGGAGTATTGAACATAAAAGTTTACTAAACACTACTGTACTCTACATTAAAATACATTATCCTAAAATATCTTCACCAGGAAGCAAAACCATAATGCATGCCAGCCATGCCGACGCAAACACCTGCGAGACGCGACACGCACGTGATACTTATTAGCATATTATGCATTTTGAATTCATGATAAGTGGCGTGATGCTGTTTGTACGCCTACACACAGTCTTTGCATTCTAAGATAATTCAAAGATTGATATTTGACTAAATTCAACTGTTTCATTAAGACTGACCAATTTATGAGTTATTTTTTCACTTTGCGTGCGTTCATGAATAACTATACGCACTCGTGATATTTCAATGAGTGCAGGGGAGATGCATCATTTGTTCATCGTGAAGCCAGAGTTCTGATATTAGTGTTCTATAGCAAAATTTACTTGTATATCCAGAAATTTAAATAAAAATACGACTTGCCTTTTTCATCTGATTGGCACGCGTGCAACACGATTGGTGATTTGCCAAACGTATCGATGCCGCATATACGATACTGGTGCCATTATAGACGATGCCCTGTTACCACGTAAGGCTTATCAGTGATTTCCCTACACCCCCCCCTATAGGGGGTGAACACCCCCCCTAAAATTTCAAACACCCCCCCTAATTTTGAGGTGCGATTCCACACTGAGGGGTTCTAAACCGCAGTCTGCGGGCCAATTACGGCCCGCGTGACGATTTAAAATGGCCCGCCGAACTTGAGTGAAATAGTTTAATCCTTCATGTGGTACCTTTTGAGTTTTAGATACCGTCTATTGTTACATCATTATCACAGTTTAAGCACGTTTATTTCGTAACAATTGATTTATTCCGGTATCTTATGTATACGTATGGGTATTAGGATTACACACTGCAGTATTTTAGATATCAGCCGTATATTAAGAAAGCTTAAAGATGTCACAAAACGAAAACTAGGCACTGAAAACAGACTTTTTTTAGATGAATGACAGCGTTGTTTATTTCTTTATTGAAAAGAATCAAACTTCAGCGATTTGTCTTCTTACCAACAAAATATTTCAGTTCTGAAGGAATACAACATTATGCGACATTATGATCAGTTGACAAGCTTATTCCAAAATTTAATTCATACAAAAGTCAAACAAACATGTTCAAAAAAATTAGAAATGTGTAACAAAACAAGCCATAAGTAGCCATTCATACAATGCCAGATGAGCAAGTAACTTCATTAGTCACTATCAGTTGCAACTTGCAAACTACTTGTTGAAACGTAGTAGTATATATTTACGGTTGAAAGCCGTGCTTGTTATCTATTCCCCGGGAATTCTATCAGCTAAATATTATAATTATTGATTTCATTACATAACAAACTGCGATGTTAGGTGTATCTAAAATCAAGCTTAGAGCCTATTTTGGTGCCTATTTCTCAAAATTTACTCAGGGCGCTTAAGCGCGCCCTGAACCCCAGCCGTATCGTCCCGCACTTTTCCTCGCTCCCCTTTTCTGGCCCTACAATTACATTCTGCTGTGGATTTTGGCTCGCGTCAATCAACTTGGGGGGCCCCATGTAGCCTACATCGTTTCTTAAATACATACCATTTTTTTAAGAATACAAATAGCCTAGTTTTATATCTAACAGCAAATTATTTACCACCCCCTAAATTTTGAAACACCCCCCCTAAAAAGAAAAGCTGGGGAACATACTGCTTATATAGCTTAGATTAGAACGATTTGCCGCAACAAGACATATGCATAATCTTGTTCGTTTTATTCCGTGACATCCCATTAGACGTGTACCGATATTTCACAGCTTCCCGCGATACCTTCTTCATTTGGATCTAACATAGGCGATATTGAATATTCTTATTGAAAAAATCAAGATCCATCAAATTACTGCAATTCATATTTGACATGAATGGTCCCAGCTGAAGATTATCACATGAAAATACTATTCTTGTCAATTCCTATCTTTTGCCGATACAATCAGGCGTTTACCATTAAAACAATTGCGACGGCCGATATTTCAGAGTAAAAAAGCTGTGGGAAGAGGCAGCTTTTTTCCTTTCAATCTCACAATCTTTTACTAGCTGAGGCACCAACAAGAACTTGTGAGCATCTCACACGATTAGGCAAAATTAATATATTTAAATCAATCAAACAATATAAACAAATATTAAACGGTGAAACTCTTGACTAGATCTATTGCATTTTCACTGAATTCCAAATAGAAAACTATACCATATTCACACTCGAAAAATATCGGAAATATATAACCCATAGAGGCGGGAACTAAGGTTGGGCACTGAAAGTAAATAGGTGTGGATTATCTCCACTAGCACGCCAAATTTTAATCTTTTGAGAATGCAAAATGAAAATAAATTATTCGATGTAACAGTAATTACAGTATATCAGCTGAGGTTAATCCTGGTCTTGATATGAAACTCTTGGGTCTATGAGATAATACAGTTATCGATATCCAACTTGATATATAAATTAAATGTGTTGGTCTCCATACAATAAATTTGAGAAACTTTTTACAGCTTTGACAATTCACCCTGATTATCACCCACATTGTATTCCACCCAGTCTTGTGCGATTGGGGCAGAAAGCATTTCATCACTTAATTTGAATGATGAACAGAGATGAAGAGCATCAGGTGCAAGATCTCGACATGCTTCAGCTGCAACTTCATTTACCTGAGTATAGAAAGTTAATTTTACCGTATATTATAACCATTTAATTCTGCAATCCCTAGTGTTTTAAGTATGTCAAACACATGAGTGATAGGAGAGGAAATACATATTTATCTCATAGGATATGAAAGCTGATAAAACTGCTTAATCATATGCTGAAGCACGGACTCCCTATTACCAGACCATGTCTGGTATGGGATTAGTTAGCCATTTATTTGTTTCAGATACATGAACTTGATGGTGGAGGAAGCCGTAACCGATCACAGGTTATATGAACCACCCTATGGCAGTGTGAGGAGTCCAGAAACCACCGCAGGGTGATCATAGGTGCAATGTCAAGCATATTCCTAATGTTTAGCCCGGTGCGCCACACCGCCCAAGCCTGTTGTCACCATGTCAGATATGGTATATTTAACCAATTCAATTTGTTCCATGCATAGTTATGATTAGTAAAGGAAGTCATCTTTTTAATTTGTTACTTGAACCTTAAAGATTTTGCAGGTCTGAATGTAGTCAGAGTTGTTTATCTGAAATAGCCCACTTTTGAAAGATGTTTGAAATTACGATACAAGATACTTTACCTGCTTTGCTATTGAAGGCGTGATGACCTCATTTGCCGCAAACCATCCAAGATCACGTTGAATGGTATCAATCAAAAATAAGTGATATAATTTTGATAAGATGGTTTTGAGTGATGAATGAGTATCTGGAGAATCAATTGTAAACTTCACCCTTTCGCTAATCAACCTTTCTCCATAAGATCTTGCAGCATTCTGGATGAAAAACAGATTCAATAAGTAATCATTTGAGTAAAATATTCAAAAGCAGAGCGCAACCTAATCATATGGCGAACCACCGCCTCTTGTCCGGTTACCACTCGTATGGGATTAGTTAGCCAGATATTTTGTTTCCAGATGGACGAGCTTGATGTTGGAGGAAGGCGCAACCGACCAGCGGCTACATGAACCACCCTACGACGGCGAGGATAGAAAAATAGTCATTCAATTATCTTTTACAGTCTAAAAAATACAGTAAACAAACTTAGTACCTGCACAAGATCGCTCTCTTGTAACATCCATGTATCGAAGATTTTGTCCATTCCTCCTTTCATTAATTTCACTCCAAGTTCAGAGAACTGAGAAGTCTCCCTTAGTTGGAGTAGATAATGAAGATAAGCCGGGCTCTTCAAATCTGAAATAGAAACAAAGGAATAGTATGAATTTCAAAGTATACAAATTAATTCAAGCAATTACAAAAGGCAATTTGACAGCTCATAAATTCAGAATATTGATAACCTATTTTAAATAAAGCATAATAAAATGATAGCAGCACTTCTTGTTTAAATATATAATCATTATAAATATTGTTACCTGCTTCAACTGGTTCAAGTTTTTCAGGATTGAAAAGGTTTAATCTCTCTTTGGCAACTTTCTAAATGGTAAAGGCAAATTTGAGTCGCAATTAAACGAAAACCCGCATCAATTTTACCATCTTATGGCTATGCTTCATATGCCAGACATTTCAAAATCTCTACTCTACTAGTCAGCACCTGGTATAGTATGTTTAGGTTACACATAAATATAACAAGAAAAATTAACCTGCATGAGAACGCTGTTGTCTCCTTCCGCAGTAATGGAAGCATGACTCGATCCAATAAATGTACCAAATCTGTTAACACTGAGGTAGCCCTGAAAAAAGAAAATATGTGTAATAGAAGTAAATGTTTTATATTCAATCATTATTTATTACATGGTGGGCAAGAGAATTTTAAGTTGCGATGAAAACATAGCAGAGCTTTAATGCTTTAACCCAGGGGTCAATCACTTTCCAGGGTCGGTTCCAGATAACAGGGTTGGAGGATCAATATTAAATTATGAATAAAAACAATTTACGGTTTACAAAAACTAGCGTAACAGTTATGTACAACAAACATCTATTGTACCAAATGGCACAATGATTAACAGGACCTCTGTATCCTGCTGCCTGCGTCCAAGCAGCTTTGTTTTTGCTTTTATTAATCTTCATACTTGGAAATAATAATTCAGAGATAGGTGAATTTGAGATCGCTCCTTATGCACAATATATTAGGTCGAATAATGATAAGGCATTATGGTATTTATTTTAGCCGACGATTCGTTATTTCAATCGGTATTTTCAACGAAAATTTATATCCCTAAAAACCGTGTCATAATTTCAGCACGTACAAGTGGGCCGGATAAAATACTTTGGTGGGCTGTATCCAGCCCGCTTAAATTCTCTTTAAATCTCATATTAGTTTAATTCTCCAGTCTATTTTACTAGGATTTACCTGACCACCGCATCTCTCTCTTGCTACAGCAGCCATTTCCACAGCATGCCATCCGATGATTGCTTTGAGAGCACAGCACAAAGTCACAACATTGAGATGGCCGGTTTTATCAGTCGGTCTCTTGGCCCATTCTTCTTTGACATAATCAAGAGCAAGATTCATGGCGATTGTTCGAGCCATGAAAGGCATAAGTGATCGTTGTTGCAACTAAAATATATGACTAGGTTAGAGACTTCACTTGAAGAAAGGTTTATAAAGGCAAGGACAATTTGGTTGATAAGAGTAAATGTTGTTAAATGAGGATATATTATAAAACAAAGCCAATATAATTATCATACAAAGACTACTCAATGTAGCTCATCCTCCACAGTATATACAGGGTAGGGTGTCTCAAAAGTATGTATACACTATTAATTTTGATTTGCTCTTTAAATACTCATGATAGAGCGATCATTTCTTCAGAAAACATAGTACGAATGAGTAGTAAAATTTGGGTATTGTTTGCATTTTTCAACACCCACAGAATGACAAGGAGATTAACCCAAAAAATGAGGTGCAAAATTGCTGCTTGGTAATTAGGAATTAATTCGGCTCCTACACGACGAATAATTTATGTAATTCATCGTAAATTCATGGAAACTGGATCTGTAGTTGATGCAGAAAGATCAGGAAGACCAAGGAGCGGGCACTCTGAGAAAAACATTCAGAGCCAAATTAATTCCAAATTCTCTGTTAAAAAGAGTCACTGAGTTTGCCATACTGATTTATATGCAGCAATTTTGCGCCTTATTTCTTGGGTAATCTCCTTGTCATTCTGTGGGTTGTTCAAAAATGCAAACAATACCTAAATTTTACTTCTTATCCATACTTTGTTTCACGAATAAATGAAAGATCTATGACAGGTACCTAAAAAGAAAATCAATATTAAAAGTCTATACTTACTTTTGAGACACCCTGTATAATAAAAAACCAATTATCAGTGGCAAATCTGTAATAGGCAATTTGATTTGTTGGAAAAAATCATACAAACCGACTTACAGCGGCAATCTGACAAGCGGACACGAAATTAATTCTCAGTATAATTCATTTTGGAAAAAAGCTGTTCACTGCAATATGTTCTTCCAAACATTCACATTACACATTCTGTATTGTCATACAGATGAGTATACAAGTATAGGTGGATTTCTGGACATATTCATTATAAAGTTGCCAATCAGAACTGCACAATATATGGCAGACTTTTCTATGTTATCCAAACATTTTCATGCTTAACTTTAAAAATCAAAATAAACTAAACAGATAATTATACCAACGCCAGGCACATTTGGCAAGTATACGACATGCAACTGACATGTCCTTTCTCTCCTGCTACTTACTCCATTGTTATGACATAAAATGTGTGCAGATAATAATTAATGTATGAGCAATTTGTGTTTTTATGCATAAAGCATAAAAGTGGGGTCTCACAAAAAGTGAGGGCAACAAAAATTTTGTTTGCAGGCCGCAATTGGCCCGTGCCACCGCAATCAAGAACTAACCTGATACTGCAGAATTGCCATGTCAGATTTGCCTTGCGGACCAACAGTCATTCGAGTAGCTGCATACCGCATTGATATGGAAAGACCAGCTTTTGCACAACCGATTGCCATTGAAGCAATACAAATACGTCCGGATAACAATTGGTCAGCAACAGTGAGGAATCTCCCACGATTACTTTTAATTGAGGTAGTAAATGTCCCGTCCTCTGCTACATCCGAATACCTGTAGTAGAAGGATAGTAATTTTACATTTATATATTGGTGAGAGGAAAGTGTTAAGATGGGCTAAACATATGGAAAACTACAGCCTCTTGTCCAGTTACTTGTCCATCTTAGGTACTTAATTAGTTAATCAGTTTTTGATTCAGATTTATGGAATTGAAGGATATCATAACTGACCAGCAGTTACATTACCACTATGGTATGAGCCCATCAATCTTCTCGTACATACCCCTCCTCAATAGAGGTGCGATTGATTGCAAGCATATTTCTTATGCTTAGCATGATGAGAGAAACTAAGACAAGAAATACAAATTCCAAAAATGACTTTACAATAATTTGTTCTGAATTTCCTAAAATGGAATAAATGGGATTTTACCTTTATTATATAACATGTAAAAACGATATTATTAAACGTACATGGTAGACAACCCAGATTTATTCTTGATGTTTATATCGGATTGAATAACATGAACATAATTTTGCTAAAAAAAAAAATTTTTCCTACTTGTTTAGCAAGTTTTCTCTTGGAACTCGTACTTTGTCGAAGGATAATTTGGCATTATCAACCCCATTTAATCCCATCTTGTGGCCCATGTCTTCAACTATGACCCCTGGCATCACTTTCATGTCATTGTCACGAATTCGCACCAAGAAGCCATGTATTCCATGATGGGTGCCATCCACAGAAAGCTGATAGAAATGAAACATAATAATGTGAAATGACACAAAGCTGGGAAGTTACATGCTCTGAAACGGGTTTTCTTGCTTAATTTAAATCTGGGGTCAAATTTTATCTGCCTTGGGGGTAAATTTTGCAGGCCAGAAAAATCAGTTTTTGTTTTTACACAATGAAGCTACACATTTCACTTCATAAGATAACTAAATTTTGCAGAGTCATTAGGGCCCGCCGATGTGGCTCATCGTGCATAGCGTTTGGAATAAGCTCGACACCGCACCTCTGATTACTCTGCGTGGGTTCGCAGGTTCGAATCCCATGCAGGGATAGTTATGTGCGAGAGGATTGCTGGACTCCTCGCCACTGTAGGGTGGTTCACGTAAACGCTGGTCGGTTATGGCTTCCTCCACTATCCATGCGCCTGGGAACGAATAACTAACTGATAACTGACTAATAACACCGGACATGGAATGGTAACCGGATGAGAGGCTGTGGTTCGCCGTATGGTTAAGCCGTCTTATCGACTTTTCTCTCCCCGGGATAATTATATATTCTTATCGTTCATCATTTCTATATAGTATTTCTATAAGGTAAAGTATTTAAGGGATTTTCACTTTTGAAAATTTGAACCTTTAAAAGCTCTGTTCAGGCAGTCTTAATTATTTTTTATTGTAAATAACAATATTATTATCTAATTCATTCTTAATAATGCAGAATGTATCACTTATTGTATTGTATTATTGTAATCAGTATTCTCTGAAGAATGTGAGTTAATACAAGATAAAAAAGATCATCTATGCCCATAATGTGATTTTTGGGGAAATAATTCAAATAGCACACTAGACTAGATAGAGTCCAGCTAGATTCCTTATAATCATATATTCCCTCCTCACCTGAGACTTCTTATCCAAAATGTTATTAATGCAAGTGAAATATCATTGGCAACATATCACTGAATCTAATATTGAAAAGCACTGTTTCAAACATGACGGGACCATTGTTTGAATAAAGACAATAGCCAAACCCTTAATCACACAACTCTTAACGTTAATAATCAAGGTGAGCTTACCTGTGCAAATACAATAATGTGTTTGGCATGAATAGCACCGTTAGTAATCCAATATTTCTGAGCTAGTGTTGTTGGTGTATTAATTATGAATTCTTGCGTTGCCTGAAAGTGGAAAAAGGACAGAAATAATGATTTAGCAATCGAAATAATGCATCACGATACATGAAGATTGCTTTTCATATTAGGACATTTTCGAAAAAGACAAATTTTGCACAAAACAGCAAAACCGAACTTGACATAATATATTGAAGCCAGAAAACTGAATGTGTTATTTACGTTTAATTTAAGAATTATAACAAAAATTTTATCAATATGTCTTTCTGTGTATATTATTGGGTTTTTCTAAATTTGAAGATGGCATTTGATACATTCTGTTGCAAACCTTAACAATCTTTGAAAACGTCTATTACACTGGACTTGCTATCAATTTGTAACTAGCCAAATTTTGTTGAAATTTCGGTACTCCCGTAGTATGTGCACCAGGTTAGGCCATAATTTTATTCAGATTCTCCTTATTTTAGTTCTATACCTGTTCGGGTACTGTCTGTGTTAGCCAAGTGAATATCCTTATCCCCCCTGCCCGTCGGTTACAGTCCCTTTACACAACTTGATGTAAAGTAGGCAAACAAAATTAGTTACTTCCATATTGGTACGCATACCGTAGTTCTGGAGCGCCAACATTTTTATATTGAATAATAAACTGCCATTACACTTTTAATATTTTAGGTCTCAGAACATTAATGGCAGTTCACGATTTCTGATCAGTTGATCAAATTCTTTTTCGATTCTAAGTTCCTGCCCTGATCAACAAATACCACATATGCCTTAAAATTATGCCAAATTATGATTTCATACATGAATAAGGGTACTAAAAAGTGTAACTTAGATCTCTAATGAAATAACTACTAGGTTTATATATGGCAGCCACTATTCGAAAATCCTATTTGTTTTTCTGATACAAATTTACCTTGTCATATACTGCAGTTGTTTCCATCTCCACTGCGTTATTTCCGTAACCAAGTTCTGTCAGTCCAAAACATCCAATGTCATGAAGGCTATCGATACCTGAACAAAACAAAAATTGATTTTAACAACCCTAAGCATAACTTGCAGAGAGATGTGTTAATGGGAATATATGAAGAACAACATGTTGTTCTCACTGTTTTCCACTTCTCCTTCCCTTTATCACTACCTATCTTCAGAGCCATGATTCACGTCAAAAAAAGGCACTTAATCATAAAAATTTCTCAACACGTTTTATCCTGCTAATGTTCTGACTTGAACTTTCGCTTGTTAAATGGTCGAGAGCCAGCTGAGAAGCACAGCTCTTCATTTCACTTGGCCGTGTGCTCGGCTCGGGTGTTCAAGCTCCAAATTTCCATTCCACAGAATTTTTGACTCAAATTTTTTGGTTGACTACTGAATTGTTCAAGTCCTTCGACTACGGAGGTATAGGTAATAATGTATTCAGATTTGAAGTATTGATGCTTACCTTTGATAAGCATGTCATGATGTCGTTTTGTTCCAAGCATTACTATAGTTCCTCCAAACAAATTAAACTGCACTGTCATTTTTGTTGCCATTGCAGGATCTATGATAGCTGCAATCTCATGAGCTGCAAAAATTCTCAGTGGATTATGCCAGAAGTCAGTGACAGATATGAAACCAGCCTGTAAAACAGTAAAGATTTATAAAATTTGAGAGTAGTATTTATGATGCTTTTCAAGCATAATTCAGACAATCAATTCAAGAAAAAAATCTTAATCTCACATCACAAATTCTCTGCAATCGTTGTAAAGCAACATCTCTCTCCTCTTCAAGAGATATATTGTATCTTGGAGTCATACAAGGATCACTCATGAAGTCTCGAAACTTTGTTCGCATTTCATGATTGTCATGATCCAGTAACTTATTCATTTCATCAATGTCAAAAGATGGCTTGCTACCGCCATTCCAATTTGACCTGTGTTTTTGAAAAATGTTTACATTGTTGTAAGGTATGGCCCCCACAAGATTACATAATAACAATTTTTAATTAGTACTTGTACATATCAGCTCTTATTATCATAAGTTCAATTCAGATATGGTTACTGAAACAAATAACTGGTAACTATTCCCATAACCGACACTGACTGGTAGCCGGACGCGAGGCCATGATTGAGTTGTCTTATCGGTTTCCTCTATTCAGAGACAAATATGAAAATCCTAAAAGAACCCTTGCATGTGCATATTCAAGCCTTTGTCTCCCACATCCCACTGAACATGGCTATAGAGAAGTACATAGGGACCGTGTTTCCCGGAAAATAAGACTTACTCTGAATTTTAGAAAGGATTTTAATATAAGCCCTCCCCTAAAATAAGACCAAGTCAATGAAGAAAAAAAATTTTTTTTCGACCTAGTCGATAGCAATTTTATTTTGTAATTTTATTTTTGATATATGAAAATATAAGATAACCTCGGAAAATGAGCCCTAGAGTTATTTTTCGAAAGAAAATTAAAATAAGACCCAGTCTCATTTTCGAGGAAACATGGTGGGATTCTCGGGGAAACATGCACTGAATACATCAATTTTTATGATCAAATTTTTTGCACTGTGGAGATGGAGCCAGATCTAAATTCTTTCATTTGGTAATTCAGCAGGAGTTGCAATGGGGTAGGTATTGAAATTGAAAATTCCTCCGACCCCATAGCACAAGTATGTAAAGTTTGGAAAGAACGTGACTTGAACATAGAAACATAAGTTAATACTTACAAGATTTCAGGAGGGGTCATTTTGTTAGATAGAGTCTGATTCATAACCGCAGACGTACTACACAAAGTCTTTGTCATCAAATTGGAAGATTGATTTTGTTCGCAGAGATTCATCTGAAATTTAGTCATTAATTCATATAACAGTGTAAAGTACATATAGTGCATAATATAAGTATAAACTCACATTTTGGTTAAAAAAAAAATATATAGGCTATTTAAAAATTCATTATTTCATGAAACGAATAATATTCAATTGATCATTTTAATTCTGCCACCTTGGTGATACTCTTGATTATAACCTTACTAATAATGTAAAAATCCAAAAGTATAAATACAGAAATATCATTAGAGTATAAATATATACCAAACCAGTCTCAAATATTGAAATCTGCATACCTTCTGACCTGAAAAAAAATGAAATGCATTGTAGAAATATGTGCTATATACACACTAAAAGTTGACACAGTAAAGTGCCAGGGCAGCACGGTGATGATGGCAAATGTGCCTTAAACTTCTAATTTTGAAACAACAAAATTGCGTAATTCTGTACCGTAATTGAGGGGGGATTGTATAGTCTTGCAAGTACCGGTATACTGTTGCGTAAAATCTGAATATAGTCACAAACCTCACCTTTTGACATCGTTGATATCTGTCTAAAATTATTAACAGAATTGCAAGCTCTGAAAAACTGTCTGTAGTTAGCAAGAGAAATTCTTCCGGAAGACAGCATGGTCAAATAATACAAAAACTCGAGGTTAGCCTAAATTCTACAGAAAAAAGGTCTCAGCAACAGATTACTTGAAACCAGACAAACATCAAAGTCCAAAGGTCTGTACACTCTGCGGGAGACCGATTACAAACTTGATCAACACGATTAGTCCATGCATGGGCCAAATAAAAAAGATTTGGTGTCAATTTCCGACCCACTCGCAATCTGTGTTGATAGGAGTCAAGAATATCGTTACTTTAGCAGTGCATAACGTAACCCCGTTATCGTGAATTTACATTGTCATACTTTTATATTTTCCTTGTTTATTGGACCGCGTCAGTGTACATAACGATCGTCTCAATATAATATTGTTGTTGATGTTATTATTCTTCTCTTTCGTCATGATGAAATCTCTTTTCTCTTCGAATACAGGACCAATTGTTTTGAAATTTTCATCAGTTAAAGATTGATTTTTTTGCCAGAAAGCTATTACTTTTACCTATTTCAAAAATTTCTGTGGACTTTAGAGATTCGTTTGAGATGTGTCAGAATCAAAAATAGCGACACCTTGTGACATGTCCATATATTTGAGCACAACTCTCTTTTTCATTTAATATTAATTCTTGGATGTTTTGAATCAAAAAAGGGGAAATGATGCTTCTATTTTTATCAATCCCAAACAATCAAACAATACATGAAAAAATCCATGATGACTGTATTTTTTGGTTAACGAAATAATAAAACTCTCTATCTCTCTCCACGACTTAGGATAGGATAGGATTTACATATTCATCCCGGGGGAGAGGAAAGCCGATAAGACGGCTTATCCATATGGCGAACCCCGGCCTCTCGTCCGGTTACCATTTCAAGTCGGGTATGGGATTAGTTATATTGTTTGTTTTCGGAAGCATGGACTTGGTGGTGGAGGAAGCCGTAACCGTCCAGCGGTTACGTGAACCACCCAACGACGGCGAGGAGTCCAGCAATCCTCTCGCACATAATCATCCCTGCATGGGATTCGAACCTGTGAACCCACGCAGAGTAATTAGAGGTGCGGTGGCGAGCGTATTCCTAACGCTTAGCCCGTTGAGCCACACCGCCGGCTTCCTATTCATTCAATTCGTTTATCACGGTAAGCCGCGGCCTCTCGTCCGGTAACCAGTTCATGCCGGGTATGAGAATAGTTTATCATATATTTATTTCAGATGCGTGGACTTGATGGTGGAGGAAGTTGTAACCGACACAAATACAGCAATCAAAAATGTTCGTGTATTAAAGTGATATTCTGGGAAGCACACGCATGGCGGCGACATAGGGCGGCCAAAATAACAAATCGTCCTAAATTTCCTCTTTATAACTCGGCGTTCATAATATACTGCTTCAGTTTTAATATAGTTCCGTTGAAGTCGAGCCGAAACCATTTTATCCGTTGTCTTATTTTCTGGCGGAGGATAATTATTGAATGATATTCTAGTTACATTTTTTGCGCATAGTTACGAACGTCGATATCTAAGTTCTTCATAGAAAATGTCGGTTCAATTGTCTTAGTACAGACGAAATTTCCCCCTGAATAGGACTGATAGATACTTGTAGTATATTGTCTTTATTATTTAATATTGTAACTTTATTCTACAATAAGCAGTGAAGCAATAGTGATCAACCCATAATGGGTTGTGGTTCATCACAAGCTGTTAAAGTTGGTAGTCACAGTGGTCTGGAAAATAGTTCGAGTAATGGATGGACTAAAGGCAATTTGATGAAAGGTGAGGTAGTAAAACATGAATTGAATTTCACTACGGATTCATAGTAAAACGAACCATTATAGTATGATATATTCCAATATGCAGAAAGTCGAAAAGACGTCTTAACTTAACCGTAAGAAACACCGTTCAGATGTATCATAGACTTATTAATGGCCCTGCCAGCGATTGCCCGTTTTACAGCGGCGAGGATCCCACCAATCACCACGCACACAGTTGTCCCCAATAAAATTTGAATCGATGGATAATCAACTGTGCAATTGAAAGAGCATCCCTACCGATTATCGCGACGATCCAAATTGACCAACCAGTGACGGGTCACGTAGGCAAAATTCATATGTAGGGATTTAAGCTGTGTAATGATATTTCGCAGTTTTTTAATTCTTTTCGATACTTGAACAAATACAAGTTAAATGTGTAATGTCCGACGGCCGAATGATCGATCAGTACTTCATTTCCTAGCTAAATTGCGCAAATATGAAATGTGACAAATATTCTGCTTATGATTGGTCAACGATTATGAAAATTCACATTTTTATTTTTTTTATTTCTACAGCGGCTTTCAGGGACATAATTTGTATAATGACGCAATTAAATTTCCATAATTGTAGCAGCCTACATGGTACATTACTTTATTCGACCAATAAATCACTAATTTCGATGTCACGCCAGGTCGTAAATATTTATAAGCCTTTCTACGCGGGGGTTCTGCTAGTTACCAAAGTTCAAATAGTTTGATTACCTGTTTGCTAAATGTTGTGACATGTTTTTTAATAGTCGTTTGTTACGTCACACATCAATTTTGTGTCAATCGTGAGTATATTCAGTTAATCGACATTCTTGTGCATAGCAATTGTCGAGTACAATATAAATATATTCTTGTTACTTTCGAATTTTAGATGATGGCCTCGTGGAGGCATTGATGGATAATTGATAGTTGTATTGGAGTTTTGTTGAACTCATTGCATGCAGTCCTAAAATGTATTTTTAAAATGCTCCGCAAAGCACATCTTTCTAACTTTTAAATATGTTACCATTGATTTAAATAGTGACAATATTATTTATTTTTAAAAAATCCAATCCGAAAATTGGAAATATTCGAAAATTTTGCTAGGCACACACAAAAAAGTGAAAATGGCGTATATTTACTCCAAAATGTTAGTAAAAGGCCAATTTACTGTGCAATATCACAGGAAAACAGCCATTTTAATATTGTAATAACTAATAATGATCAATTGTAATTTAAGGTCAGCCCACTAGATATTTCATAAGAAAACTCTTACGGCGTATATTCTTTTTGGCGTCCTCCTAGTATCTATTGGTGACCTACTACATAGTTCGTCAAGCTGCTGTACAATCGATTAAAATTTAGGGGAAGTAAAACATAACTACTTCTGACCAATTCAATTTACGTCTAATAAAGAATATAAATTATAAAGTACTGCAAATTTGATATTAACTGAGAAACAAGTATGATTGTGAGTTCAATTGTTTACAAATTCCATTAAATAATAATTTCAACTTTTTCAATATACATAGTACGGTTAGGTAGTGACCTCTAACTCCAGAGACTATAAATTATGAAGCCCTGTCTGTCGTGTAATTATTCTCATCAACGTTGGTAAATATGCTTCAAGGGTCTGTACGAATATGGAACGTCTAGCAATGTTTACCAAGTCAATATTAAAGATGGTGTTAAGCTGGCTGTTTCAGTTTAGACTTTGCGTTCGGGCCCAATGAAAATACATTTATAGTATGTTAAACACTAATCATACCAAAATCGTTATATTAAGCATACCCGCTTTATTAAATACAGGTTTGCTCAGCAGTAAGCGCCGTATTCTGCTTAATCGCATTTGATGTTATTTATAATTATTATATCTTCGTTACCCCGTTTGATTTAAATGCAACGCAAAGATTTTCACGAGTTGTTCAAAGTTTCAGATTCACATCTTTGCCCATCACAATATCAATATTCGTTTCTTGTAACCAATCCAGGTCCACATTTGAAATAATATTTTATTACCCCACGATAAAGTTAACGATAGATTTTACATGGAATTTTTTGTGTTTTCAAAATATTGAATTGAATACCTTATTCGCCCTGTCGCTCACATGCAGCAATGGTTTTAATAAATTACTGGTTTAGGATTTGTCCCCGTTCCCCAAAACAGGTATCATATCGTTTTCGAGTGTTCCCAATGCAATGAATGCCTGTAATGATTCGGATTTTGTCGGTCTTCGTCGGATATATAAACGGCTAAGGATTTGGCGACAGCATGAGGATAATTATATCGAAAATATGCAAGTATTTTGAAATATTTGTTCTAGTCGCAACGTAACGTCAATGATGCGTCAGTTAGTGATACGCAAAAATAATTTACAAACATGTGACTTCTATTTAATATTTGTTAGGATATAGTCGTATATTGTCGTCATGGGCGCGGTGATTACAAACAGTAAAAATATTAAACTTTGTGTTAGATAAAACGATTATACTCTAATTTAGTCAAGAAAAACATGTTTTTCTCCATTATGACATACCTTACGAAATCGCTGCCGATTTCCGTTTTCTTTGTAAGCAATTCATTATTTATTTACTGTGTAAATACTATTACCAGATTCCATTTTATATTCATCAATGAAATTATCACACAAGAGCAATTCTCCGCTATATAGTGAAGGACAATTCTACTTGAGCGTCCTTTGACATTTTTACTATTGTCAATATGAATGACTATGTCGTAATAAAAATCTTTCAAAGCCTAAGCGGCTAATTATGCAGTGAATTATTAAAGTTGCGGAGACACATTTCTCATGTATTACAGAGATTCAGAAATATTATAATATTATTTTGTTTTGTTCCCAAAATGGGGGGTTAACCTGTATACACTGCTAAACGTATCATATGCCGGCCACATAACCGTTTTGCAATTATTTTCCATTCACGTGGTGGCTATTGTGCCCCGATATTTGATGAGGAATTAGAAAACTGTTTGGTAACAATGTAGGAACATTTAATATTTTAAAATAATAGTGACCCATAATCTATAATTCATCAGGAGTCAAAAAGTAAAAAATCCGATTTACAACTGATGAATTGCGGCCTTGGTATTACTTGGATTGTTTGTAGGTTAGTCGAACGTGAATATCCATGCCGTCACTTAATCTCCGTAGATAACCGTTTTAATTAATACCACTGGCTTGGCAATCATAACTGTATAAATTGCTAACCACTCGACCGATCTTGTTCAGATTTTGATTCGGACGAAGTATTTCGGGAAGCAGACGTGATATCAACAAATTCAACAGAAATAATTGGACGTCGAACGTGGAGTTGTGATTCGGACAGTGATAAAAATGGTTATAATACAACATCATCATTACAAAAATCATCCGGCAAAAACGGCACTCCGGCATCAAATGCAAATAATACTGCGACAAACAAAAACAATGTACAAAGTCCGGAATTATATAGAACTCAAAGTCCTGGTAAAACTCCTGGAAATATGGACCTCAAAGAAAGAATTGATATTTTATCACAAAGACGAAGGAGTTTACAATTTGAAATTGGTCGTGATTCGAATACAAGTGACAATTTTGATTATTTACATGCTAATGGTAATGGAAGTCCTATGCTACAAGGTTCGTCCAAGCCGCCTGCTCAAGAATTTCCAAAAGTAAGATTAGGGTTTATTTCTAGCAGTAGTAAAACTCAATGAATAATGATGTACTTTCGATGACGGATGGAATTGAATGTATATAAAGATAAGAATTCGCACAGTAAACAACTTTTCTACATTGCTGCTTGCCACTAAAAAGCACTCAAATGAGCCGACTATTTTACTAGCAAGTTTCAATATATAAGCATGTAAAGGGGTAGTAATTTTTTCAAACGCTCATCGAATCGCCCATTGAAAATTTGGAAAATTACAGTTTGTTTTCAGAGTCAGAATATTCGCATGGCGCACTTCTTTTTTAAAGCATTTTTCGAGTCCGACTCTCAATTGAGTTTTTGAAATAAAAATATTTTTTTCAGAGAAGATCAATATTCCCTCCACCTCCCGATCGCAGTGAAAATCCGTCACCATTTGGAACAAGAGCCAGGTATCGGTATGATCATATTTTGAATATAGTGTGAAATAATTTCGGACACGCTTCTAATTTCTAACCAACAAAAATGTAATTGATTGAATTCTCTCTACTGGACTTTCAATAATTTAAATAAATAACACTATAATTCGTGAAATTGTCGATTGGTATTAGATGCCGTCTTACAGAACAATGAGCAAGCAGAAGTTAGTATACCTTTGCGAACATTGAATTGATTTGTGTTACCACCGTTATATTCGGTAAAAATGAATTCCACACTATGATTTATAATATTCATATGAATTATATTCATTTCTCATTTGGGAGTTTGCACTAAGGGTGATATCGAGAGACCAAACAAAATTTTGAGCTAATTATGATTTGTGTTGTATTTTTATTTGTAAATATACCCAACCCAGCGACACAACCGCATCAATCGCAAAATGCTAGTGTCGATAAAATTGGTTAATTTAGCTATTATGCATGTCGCTAACAATCGCCGCAGATTTATTAAGTTTGGCAAATTATTATTTTTATACGTATTCGTTATTTTATTTCAGATTAACCCTCACAGATAGCCAGAAGGAATTTTTCAAAATGCTTGACGAAAAAATTGCCCAGGTAATAAAAATAAATACGAAATTATGATTATAATTGATGATACTTTATGTAACCACCGACTCTATGTTGCTTTTTATGTGATATTTTTTTTTTTTTTTATATACACAACATATATTATTCTATAGCCTACGACGCACTTTAGCTTAGCATATAGTCATATACCTTGCATAGGTCATGAGCCTACAACAGAAAATCATTATAACAACCGAGGCCATATCTGGCAACAGGCACTAATCATTGGAATTATGTCCGTTCAGATTCGTCGGGTGCATTGAACGTCGCTAACACTTAAGTACACACTTGTGGATTTTCTTACACAATACAATACATTACAAAGTTATCATTATCATAAGATTTTCAATACAAGATTCAATTCAAACGAAGATCTATTGAACCTCATGGTATTGTGCCGTGGCTTTAGTGAGCCACAAAATTAACCAGCGAAAAGTTCGAAATTTGGTTCATTCATATAGAGATTTTTGAATGACTGAATAACCACGCACTTACAGTAAATATACTGATTTTTGAAAAGTACTCTCAGATAGTAACAAATTATTTAAATAAAATGCGAATAAATCGATGTAGGTTATACTGTTATTCATTAAATATTGAAATTAAAAAAACGGGTGTTCGTTAGTCATTTTCGGCTAGGTGTCAAAACAGGAAACTTTACTGTGGATATGTCAGCGAATTTTGATTATGCGTCATAAAAACAGTGATTCATTGTACCTCTGTGAAATTTTTTTTAACACAACTGTGTTCTGGAATGGGTACTTATTCCCTATTTGTCGATTCCGCTGTCAATTAATGGTTGCCTTTAGCTGCTTCCAACATTTATAGACATTGCGAAATTACCATCTAAGTATATTTCTAGCTATATCAATCAAATGTTTCCATGGTGCACTAAATATTTAGGTTTTTATTTGTACATAATAAACTAAAGACAAACAGAGTTAACTGTTCTGAACTATATTTAGAATTTGTACCTAGGTACACGACCAACAATGCGGTAGTGTAACATATACGATCTCAAAAGCAAATAAATTGTATATATGACAGTAATGCCTTATTATTAGGTGATCAACGCCTACGGTATTGGTAACCGTCACAAAACAGTAAGCTCAAATAACATATTCTTTGGAATTTTAAAATCATCCAAAATATGAATGCTGCAATACTGAAATAAATATAAATGAAACAAAATAGTCATGCGTGGCACAGAAATTAATTTTTGAAAAATGTTTAAATTTGGGGTTTAAAAATGCAATTTTGTTATCGAATTTTTTGAAGCTATATATTTTGCATATTTGATGCTGAAGCGCCAGTGCCGTTGCTTATTTTCATCTATGGAGCAGTTCGATATATAATAATAGTGACTTGATATTTAGGCGATTGTTAATTTGGCAGCAATATTACTGATTTTAACACGCATCAGTTGTCCTTTGTCAGAGTATCAAATTATAGCACATTAAAAAAAAAGCGGCACGTGTCATAACCAAATGTTTTTTTTTTATGAAAGGCGTATCGCGTTTTACCAAAGTCAAGCTTTACGCAGGTCTTTAGCAATATTCATCGGTACATGTCTGGCATTGGATCATTATGACATGTACTCTATGTGCACATGACACAATTGGCAATAAGAAATAGCCACTTAGATTACTGTATTTTAGTGCATATTCTAAAAAAATTACCGAAATCACTATACATACCCCTGGTGGATACGGAAATTAAAATTATACAACTTTTATATTGTAGATCCGTAACAATCAGTTTATTAGGTTAAACCTTTTTGTTTTGATATTGCCAGCTGTATTTATGCTTTATGTTTCGGTCGCACCCATATTTTCTTATGTATTGCTATGGCGGCAAGGACGTTTACTAAGATTTACTGTAAGAAAATTCGTCGATTTCAAAATACATTTTTGTGTATTTGAACCTGTTGATCATGCGTGACAAATCGCCATGTCTGGTTGTATATTGAACGTAATAAAAGTGTACCTAAATTATCAAATGTGTCCAATTTGGCTATATAAAAGATATGAATTACGCGGAAAGTATAGTGATTTTTCTACTTTCTCTTTTTATACGCCATTTTATGATGGCATAAAATATTATTGCTCATACAGAAGTTACCTTTAGTTTTATGACATAAAATTGAGACCTTCGGGTTATTGGGCTTGATGTCAGCACAATATAGAGTTTAACAACTGTGTAACGAAAGGTTGTTTACCTTTCATACACTGAAGACTATAATGTTGCAGCAGTCAGTTATTTGCGTAGGAAATTTCTACCATTTGTTGCATTCTGCAGCTGATGAATATTTTCGAATGGGTACCAGGAAAACAAATTTACAAATCTTATTGTGCTATTCATATATACCTAAGAAACTGAGCGTTTTCAATTGACAGTACAAGTGTGATTAACTATTTGAGAGTTTGTTGACGACTTCTTTTCTTATCGAGTACCTTTCACATATTGCCTTGTGGTAAACTGAGATGTACAAGAATCTATTACAAACAAAAAACATAGTAGCGTGGTTATTGGCCTGTATCATTTTATGAGCGTCAACCGGCGGTCATGTTTCAATACTATCACTTTAGACCTTGATGCTGTTGTTGAGTGTTTGGCTAGTCATGTTACAAGACAGAATCTGGTCAACTGTCATGAACTAATGTTTGCCAACAATGGATGGAACACGCTATAATTTACAAATTAAAGCCGTGACTAGAGCAACAGCAAATATCAGAACGATGACTAGGGTTTCTACCAAACGCCAAGAAAATTGAGCGCCAAAATTGTCAGCATTTTTCTGTAAACTTGGGTGGTTTTTAATCGCGGTTTGTAACAAATCATGTGTCTTTAAAATCATTTCTTCGTTGCAAAATTCGAACTGCATATTGTGCTAATACCTTGGTAAATCCAGTTTACTTTATATGTAATCTCCAATGGAAGCGTGCCTTGTAGAAAGCAAACATTATAACGCCCCAATCTGAGCGATCAGCACATGAAAGAGACTGTTTTTGACGTCATAGGGAATATTGATATTATTCGATTGTCCTATTTTTTCATCACTCAAATTCGTTTACTAGATAGTATTCACTACTTATTTTTCAAACCTTTTTATTCTACCAATCGATATTTCTATATGTACTTTTTTCCTATTTTGTTAATGGTATGATTTCACCAGAAGGCTCAACGGCCTTTGAAATACATTGCTTGAAGAATATCAGAATACTCACAAAAACTATTCTATATCGTCGTGAAATGTTGATCGGGTTTCTGTTATATATTGTGAACAATATCCAAACAGGTCACACAAATAATTGTTTCTACTAATATTGAGAAGATTTAGGATTTCCTAAATTTTTTGAGTCAAGCATATAAAATGCATGAATATAATTCTAATATACCGTATGCTGCCTATTTTCACCTAGTTTAAAATTTCTTCGAAAAGTTTAGGACCTAAACTGTTCATATTCGAGTATGATAAACAAATAATACGGTCTATTCAGAATCGGTAGATCATTGAATCATGGTTGGCAATAATAATATGAAATCATAAGTTTCATGTTTCAAGTGAAATCACTATGATGAAATTAAGTTAGTTTTGGTTATGGAATCAAATTGGATCGTTCTAAGATAATTTTATACAATTCTTGGGTTTTGTTTTTTGATGCCTACAAATCTTAACATTCGTGAGTCGACCCTGTCACGTACAATTGTTCATTTTCCTTCAATAAGAAGATTTTACAGCTTTATAAAGTAAACGCATTTTAATAAAGCTTTGTTTGCGTTGATAACTCTTTGTTCGTCCGATTAACTTTACCCATACACTCGATTAGATAGCATGTTCTGTTCTGATTCAGTATAGCTTTATTGAGTTAAAGAACATTCATTTTGTTATTTAAGTTTTGACTATATAACCCTGCTCCTTTGTTTTTTGTTTACGCAATTTTTTTGAAAAAAACATTAAGTTTTTTTTATAATTAAAACGTGATTAAACATCGGCCAATACTTTTGTGGTAATTTACACAGCTGCTTAAATTGGCTGCATGATTGCGGGGGTTGGGGGTGGGGACATCATTTTGTTGTTTTATCTTACCATCTTTTGTGTAATATGGGAACATTACATTTGGTCATCTTTATCCGCCGATCTTTCTGCCAACTCGATGCTCACAGCCCGAGCGCCACTTTCGTGTCCATATATTGCTCTCTTATTTGTACATATTGGAAGAGTTTTCCTGTGTCCGTCTCTTATATATATATATATAATTAGGTATAAAATCAACACGGAAAGCTCGTTATATCGAAATTACTATGTTTCCCTAAGAATTTCAATAAATTGATTTTAACAATTAAGCTGAATAAATTAGCGCGGGAATTCATCTATTTTAACGCATATTTATCTTTGATGTTGACTTTGCAGTGGCAATTTTGCAGCGAATTACTCAATCTAACACTATGGCATAGAAATATGTTTCGTGAAACATTCAAATTTGAATATTCCTTCCCGCACAACATTAGGTATAGTACGATATGTTTTATGTGCACATTGCTCTTTATCTACATAGACTCTTGAGATGCGAATGAGGGTCGCCGAAAAACAACATATTTGTAATATGTCGGTCGTTAGGCGAATAATATCAGACAGTTAGACCACATAACAATACTCCTATGCTTTAATTATTCAATATAATACTCATGGTAACAAAGTTTGAAATCAGCTAAAAAATACGTTATTTTTAATTTGAATATTAAATCTTTTGATGTGACACAAATCGAGTGAAAGTGGTAGGCTACATTTTATTATCCGCCACAAGGCGTTGCTTGAAATTCATTTTCTCAAATATCACAGGTTTGTCACGTTACGTGGCAATTGTTTGACAGGCGCTCCGAATGCTTGTACCTTTGGACTGTATGCCAATAAAAACTAAAAATATCATTGTCAGTTGATAGACTAACCTGCTGCGCGAAAATGAATCTACAGCAATAAACCACCCATGACAAATATTTACGCGTATTTGGTGTAGTCATTTTATTGCCTTGCTGAAAAGTTTTCGTCAAGGACATGTGTTGTAAGCACTTTTCATATAAATTATTATTCAATGGTTTTATATTTCACCCCATTGCTTCCGATGATGCTTTCACGAATTAAGATATTACTAAACTCATAGCATCGATAGCTATGAATGTTTAATTTCTGGGGTATATGGGTCGATTACACAATATATATGTTCCGTGATAAACCTTCCTCTTCTTTAAACGTATTGTTATTCTACCAAAAACTAGATTTCCTAAATAGGGCAAAAACCAGTGCAAAGAAAATATGCTAATGATAAAAAACAAAATTTGAACCGAACTTGTTTGTGAAAATAGACGAAGATTGTACCTAACGCTAAGTTGGTGTGTTACCGTAGGATTTTCAAAACGCCCGTTTCGCAATTTAAGTCGAGACGAGCTATTCCGGAAATAAAATCTTCGTATTAGAAAATTTTATTTACCGATTTATAATTTGAACTCTCCGGATGAAAGTGGCCTGTTTTTCCACTTAACTAGAATTAACTGCTAAAGCATTCGATCCAGAAAAACTCAAATGGATTTTCTTCTTTTCATTGTTTTATGTGAACTCACTCGACTCTACCCGCAAAATCGGACTGGTTGTCAAAACGTCTGTTCTAATGACAGCGAAAACGTGTCGTGGGCTCGCGGCCAAGTTCAAGTTTAGTATTCCATCATTGTAATTCAAGTTTATCCCGTGGATAAGACTATTATCTTTATTTTAGTTTATTACATGATCATGCCGGATAGGATATGTTTACGTTAGTTGTTGATTTTGAGAAAAGCCGCGAACGAGCAAAGAGAAAACTGCGCCATATTTTTCGTCTTTAGAGTACCCCACTCAATTGAGATAAATTACAAATAACCTTTTGTGGTACGTCATCTAGCTATGTTCTAAGTGGATCGAGTCCTCTTGAGCTTGTTTCATCTGTTTTTTACCGAATTGTGACCCTCTTTCGGCATAGCTTCCGCAGTTCACTATTTCAGAAGATGACAGCGGAAACAGCCCCTTGCTCATTTTGAAATATGATGGATTACCTTGTTTATGAAAAGTTAATATACTACTTGACAATAGCGCTGGCAAAATCTATATACATTTTGAAAGTTATGTGTCGATGGTCATCTATTTAAGTTGAGCATTTGAAATTGGGTTTTCATTTTATCCCCTACATTCATCGCGTGTTTAGCCTACGGTAGTCTACTGTTGATCGCGTAACGTTACTCTGATGACAAGGACTTTGTTTAAGCAGGCCTATTCTGTATTAATTCGCACAGTTTTGTAATCCTAAGTTATCGTGGAACGCAAAATCGGCCTTTCAATCCTAATACTAAAGTTTTCTTTGTATTGTTCGAATGTAACAAAAAAACATCCAAAGTATTATTGTCAACGCGCGTGCTGTGCTGGACATTGGATAAGCCAATGTAAACATACGTAAAGGCTACCTCTTTTTCAGCACATACAAAACTTATTATTTACTTATTTCATAACAAACACATCTTTGACAATCTTTCATCACTGAGTTCACGGAAGAATTGAGAAAGGCAAAACAATTCTAGCCTGCATTTAGTTGCTGATAAATTGTTACTAACAGCACATATGATACGTGTATATTACGTACTCTATTGCTTTAGTTTTATTTCAACTCCACAACTTTGATCAATGTGTATTCACCAAAAAGTCTTTTTTAAACACCTATACCAGTGGTTCCCAAACCGGTGGGAGTTGCTGGTGGGAAATAGAATGCCCCTCTAAAAATATACGCACAATAACACAATTATTATATACTACACAATGAAAATCACCATATATATAAGCCTTGAAGCGGAAAAAGATTCCCATTCAATTAATCGAAAATTTGGTAAAATATCACGGTGTTTGCCATGATATTCGATCGATTTTCGTTGCAGACCTGCTAAGGGTTTTGGTGATGTCTATTTTCATATGTCTCTGATATATTGGGTAGACACACGCTCTGATGAACAAATATCTGGCCGGCTCTCTCATTCTGATCAACTTTTAATAAAAGGTAATTATGACTAACGTAAAAAGAAATACAATCATAGTTATCTCGGCTACGTCTCATGTTCATAAAGAAAATTTTTGAGCAACTTCTGCAATGCGTCGTTTGCCCATCTCCAATGGTCCTATGGAGCCTCATCAAATAAAGCAACATATTTCAAATATCCAATTGCTTATCAGTTTGCTAAAAAAATCGCAAAATAAAAGCAAGATGAGATTCGACAGAAATTCAAATAAGTTTAAAGGTTACTGCGTCTTATGCAGTTGTCCTGCGAAAAGCAAGGACTAAAAAGTCCCACGCAATGGTGAGACATTGATGAAATTTTGTCTGGCGGAGTGTGCTGATATTCTGTGGCGTCAAAGACGAACAGGTCTCATTGTCCAATCAATGACATTTAATGTCATTGGTTCAATAACAATGCGCTTTTTCAAAAATCGGTTCAAACATCCAGTTCATCATATCGAAAAAAAAATGTAAACTCTGATGTGTTCTTTGTAATCTTATGCGTTGAATTGCTCTATTCGATGAAGAACACTAGTTTTCTTTACACGTATCGTCAATATCTTGAGATGCTAGATGGCGCAATGAATGTTCGTTCTCGCAGGGTTTCAACTTCTGCACCAATTGCAAAGCCTTTATTATACAGAAAGTCTTACCAATTTAACAAAAAAAATATTCTTGTTAAGAGAGTCAATATGTAGTGGGAAATAATAACTCAGCCTAAATCGTAAGTTGGAAATCAAGATAAAAAGGTTGGGAACCCCTGACCTAGACTCTCAACCTTTTCCCTTGTTACACACACGATATTTTCCTATCTCAATCTACTGTATCTCACTAAGTGCCTCCCGCCCATAGTTACCATGAAATATTGTGAATAAATCCAAGGCCAGCAGTGTTTTTGATATGACTGGAGACTTTGCAATTGCCACATACCTATTATTAGCAGCACTTAGAATCCCACACCCAACCATAATTCGACCGTCGCTTGACTTATACAATTGTAATGGGAATTCGACCGTATTTATGCATTTTTATTATTAAGTGAGTTTAGGTAAACGAATACATTTTGAAGTAAAATCAAATGGCGACACGATACCTTACTGCCTGTTTAATTATAAACATAAATTTCAGAAACTATTTCTTATTATTTGTCAGGGTAAAGATTATTATTCCGAAGACGAAAAGTCTATTTCGTCTCTTGTGTCTCGCAGTGGAAGTGGGAGACTGACACGTATTCTCGCGTCCTTACGACCACAGCATGCCAGGTGACAATGCAACTACATGCCTGCTCGCAACGATATGAATCAGAATAGCCGGATTTGTCAGAGACAAAGTTCTATTGGGGGACGAGGAGCTTGCACTACGAAATATGATTATTTAATAAATCTTTGTGTATACATGAAAAGCACCAGCGACGGTGAAAAAGGCTTGGTAGCCTCATACACAACATGTATTTAGTAGTCTCATCAACACACATTCAACGTTGGCAACCGGAGCAATCATTCGCCATAAATACGATTTATTTGCTTTCCAGTGTTTCGTAACAAAGGCATTGAAATGAAATCCACATGTCATCAAGAAACAATTTATCATTCAATATATTTGCACCATGATACAACAGATACTGGTAATTTGTTACTCAGATAGGTTTGCATCGTATCGAGTATTATCTCCCAAATATTAGGAAGTTTGATACAAATCAGTTTGCTTGTATTCAAGGCCATTCAGTGTAACTTGTCGGGTTGAGCAATTTAATTCGGAGTAATTGATTCTAATATTTTTAAACTAAATTTTTGTAAACAATCAGCATGATTATGGTTTGGTAAAACGTGGACACGTTTAGTGACTTTTCATCACTCAACTAACGCTTTCCTTTCAACAGTGTTCAATATAACTCCAACAGGGTAGGGTGATGACCTGATTATCAAAATTCCGCCTAAATAAATAACCTAGTAATTGAATGAAAACGGATTTGTATCTGGTAATGTATAATATATATATATTTTTTTATTGAGTGTTTTGGAAACCGAAATAGTATATTTTCATTGCGTTATTTTTTCCACCGCACAATCCATGGCTTTTTTCATCTTTTGCTATACTCGAATATTTGCTATATATATTAGACATTTTATATCAGGTATTCGAAATTACATTTGAATCTAGTTTTATAAACTTCAAATTACTATTTAAGGAGGTTCAAAACAAACAAAAAATTCGACTTCCTAGTTTAGCCAAACCACTAAACATCCTCTAGCTCGTTATATTGAGCTATTTATAAAGAATTCGTACTATTGCGGCATAAGTACACTTTTGTTAATGTACTTTTTTAGAACAACAATGTCTGAAAATTTTTATGGTCACCTTTTTTGTTATATTCAGTTGATTTTATATTACGTCATATCCGTAAAATATTTAATCGCACTTGTGACTGAAGTTGCACTGTACTCAAGCACAACTGTTAAATTATTTACATTTTCATATATTTGCCTTTATCCTTCTTTTATCGCACTTGTGAAAATTTTTCGTTGAAATTGCTACTTTATAAAATATAATAATTTTTTTTTGTATTTTTCTTTCACATTCATTTGACACGGATTTTGCCAATCCGAATTCTGCAAATTTCATTTTTCTCATTAATATGATTTGTATTGTCATTGCTCATTTATCATTCAAAAATACGAAAGAATCACTAAATGTCGAGAATGCCCCATCAGTAAGATTACTATTTGAATACAGTAAATTCTGAATTAGTTTTAGTCGATTCAACCATTTGGCTATAGTGTCAGTCGACATTTTTATATGCCAATTTGAGTTGACACAAGGTTACCACATTAGACCTTCATTATTGTTGCTGGTTAAAAATATGATCCCATGTCCAACACCTCATTTAAGAAGTAATCAATTGGCTAGGCTGTGCCAAATTTTCCCATGTCTACAGCTTTTCGGATTGAAGTTAGATTGGTATCATAAAGCCGTTTTTATTTTGAAATCTCCCTATGCCAATGGGCAGGGCAAAACTACATTCTTGCATAACCTACCACTGTAGCCGAAAACAATTTCAAGCGGTAAAAACAACAAAGAAGGCGCTACACTATTATAAACTAAATCTACGCTGACGCTGTTGTTTTTGCATTCTCTTTCATCACTGAAGTATGTTGCAATATATATCATAAATTTTTCTTTAAAAACTCTTTTCCAATCCGTTCGGCGTTGTGCCAACGATATTTGCACTGTGTCACAATTTTAAACGTGATTCATGCTTGATCGAGTATAGTTTATGGTGCTTCTTTTTGATATTCTTTAACGACAATAAATAATACTCGTTTATAAGTATTTGAAATTATATTTGTGCACGCCCATTTGAAACAGCCATGAAACCCAGCAGGAGTTTACATGTTATATGTCAGCCACGGGAAGACTATATTTGAAAAGTTTTGTAATTATTTAGATGGACCGATTGAGGGCCGTGTTAGATCGTTAGATCTCGATTTCAATTCGCGATAAACAATGACGTGGTATGGCAATATAGAAAGAAAACAATGTTTTACTTGGAAGAGTTGACGTACTTCCCGTTTGATTATTTAGGTTTGAGGTTTAATTTCAAGTGGTTTCAGCTGGTTTTAATCAAAGATATGAAATATTTATTGGATTTAGTCCCGTTACTAGAAACTTCAACTTTGATATTGAAGTCATATGGAATTTACTCATAGATAATTAATGTTTGTATTCAAACAGGTTGTCTGCCAAAGTTCAGGTGTTACAGCTATATACATATCACGAATTCTGCTATTCATAATGTTTTAATTATAACCCAATGCATTCACTCCAATTGTTTGAAAACAGTAAGAATTTACAAAGCTTTACAAAAGTATCCGTGCGACTGGAAGACGTTCTAATCCTCGCGTTGTTATATCATTCAATAACTCAGCCCGAAGGAATCAAGATCGCGACCGCAAATTAGTCCTAATAGTAAGAATTGTGTGCAGGTTTGTTACATGCACAGCACGTACGGCTTAAAAATTCCTATTGTGACTGAACTATTTTTGAAGCTCAAATTAGATTTTGGGATAAGGTTGAAAAAAAACAAAATATAATTATTAGATAATATATCTTTCAACCACACAAATCATTTTCTTTCATTATGGCCATTGAACGCTTCACTTAATTTTACGTGACCCGTATGACTGAAAATAAAAAATTGAGTCGGATATTTATGATTGCTTTATTAACGTAATCATACCAGTAAAATGATGGGTAGGAATGTCAGTTTTAACAAGTATTAGGAATCAGTAAAGAAATAAAGAAAAAATACAAAATATCGCAACACATCATCGTATATCATTTAAGTAACAATGACACCACATTGGAGTAACGCATAGATGACAATACTGACGCTGAATTAAAAAGAAACGCACGCTATTCAGTTTCCACATGATGCGCGCTAATTCTCCCCTCGCACTTACTCTCTACAGCAGTGGTTCTTAAACCTTTTTGAGCGCGACCCAAATCTGAGTTTTGATGAATTTTCGCCACCTAAACCCTAACATCGCAAAAATGTATTTGTAATTTTGGTACTTTTTGACTCAAATACAGACAACGATATATTAAAAACCACTGCTCTACTGGAGCGTCTGGTTTAATATTAACTTGGCAATCTGGTACTTATTGAATTTTACAGGCTTCGCGATGTAAAATGAGCCTGCGAGACTGCGACATCTTCGCAAATGCTTCCGCTCTTTGGCATACTCTGGCGGATTATGTCGATAATAAAATTTTCCTCCAGGTTCTCAGACATCAATCGGGCATATAGTTCCAATACTTACACTCAAAGCGAACTTTCACTTCGTAAAGGAATCCTAAAAACATTGGAAATTTTAGGTATTCACCCAAAAATTTGGAACACTATTTTGGAAAATAGTCCAATTCCGCATAAATCAGGATACCATACAATGAAAATGGCACGTGCAGAAGAAATAATAGAGAGATGCTCAAATATATGGACAAGAGATCCAAAACGAAGTACGGATATCTGATCTTTTACATTACCGGTCCGATAGGATACTGTTGTCTTGCCAACTTGGATTGACCATCAGCACGCAACAAGCGTGGATTCTTAATTTTGATCGCATACGTCATCGCATACAAAAAACAAATACCATAGAGAAGTCTTTGTAATAAATAGGTAAAAAAGTAATTGCCCTCTAGCGATAATTACAATCTTTAACCACTTAAATTTTTTCTCCCTTTCCGCCATGGTACAAAAAAATACAACACATAAGACAAAAAAAAGCATAAAACGGTAATTCAGAAAAGTCGGAAATTATTGTATATTTTACCACTATTTTTAATTATTGTGGTTGATTAAAAATTTACCTTGCATTGTTGTTCATATACTTTTCTGAAAATATGTCATCACTATCGAGTTTATCCGCATGAGTTGTTGAACTTGAAGATAGTTGAGTCGTTAACTTTCGTTCTGTGAGTAATGTATAATTAGAATTGGTAAAGTGTGTGCAATTTTACCGCAATAGAATGGTGCAAAGAGCATATATATATATTCATTGAATAGTGTGAAGTGTTTTTTTTTTCACAACATTTTAGTGACAGATTTTCCATTGTTCAGCACGAAATGCTATTTTGCGAAGTGCTTTTTATTTCACCTTTTAAATAAAAAAAAAAAAATCTATGCTGCAATCGTGGAAGGTATTGAGTGGTATCACAAGTTGGTATAGAGTCCCTGCGATTAAATTTAGTTTTGGCACAAAACTTATTGTTTTCCACTTTCGCTTTTGTGATACTGGTCCTAAATCTTTGCCCACCCCAGGTACAGACAAATATTGAAGTTTATAAATTCAACAGAATTAACAAACAGGAGAACGGAAAGGGGGAAATGTAACAACAATAAATATTTTCAGTCTATATATGTTAGGTATACGGTAATTATAGTTGGCAAAATGGTACTCCTGAAGTATGCGCATCAAGATGTCGCACAAACTGAACCCTAACTCTGGTAAACAGGTTCAGGTTGTGCGCCATCTTGGTGCGCATACTTCAGGAGGTCCAGAAAAATTATACTTTCATCCAGGGTAAACAAGTTGATCAAGGGTAAACAAGGGTTTTCACGGGTTTCATGTTATTTGCTGAAAAAAATTACCATTTTAAAACTCTTATGATATTTTTATCTTACGTACTTGAGTCTCGTTTTATAAGATCTGTAGATGAAGTTATTCTCGATTTGGTGACCGAACAAACTGATTTTCTATTTCCGCTTTTCTGATCAGCATAACTGTGCCTTCCTGACATGTTACTTGACCAGTTCTGCAGCGGTAAAGTAAATTATATTATTCGTAATATAAGAGGTAAGTCCCACGGTACTCCTTCGGTGAGAATGTTGCAGAATATTGAATAACACTACTACTAACTGTGTAAAACATGTCAATACCTACAGTGCAGCCAATCAGTACAGCGATTAAGATGATTTTAATAACGGGATCGCAATTTTCTATTGCAACCAATTTTAGAATAGGGGACTTATTTCACAGTCATATTCCACCCATATGAGTGTGGCTTTCTATATTTCGAAAACATTTGAAAAACAGACTTTTTTACTTACGGCCCAAAATGTGATTGTATACAAGCGTACACTTCATACTACAAATCAAATGCGAATCAATAGGCTTTCATTGTTAAAGCAATTGCGAACTGGAAACATACCAATAACTGTCATTTTAAAGATGCTTTCAATATCAAAAGATGTTCTCGTGTATATGAAGCGGCGTATGGATGTAAAGATGAAACATATTATGCCAACGACGTACCTGAGAGTGAAGTAAAGTTTGTTTTCGCACACATCGAATGAACGCCGATCTCACTTCAGAGCTTAGTATGCAATAAAATAGCAAAATGAAGAATCCCTGTTAATATGAATGAATTCTGATGTAAAATTGGAATATTTACATAATTTCTCATCTAAACACGATGAAATCCGGAAAACTAACTTACTTGTAATGAGTTGAATATAGCAAACGCGTATAACAAGCTAACGTGACTTGCAGCTTGTGGTATCAATCCAAAAATCCACGGCACACCCAAGATAGGCATGAGCAGCATCGCCCCTTTCAAACATTTTCTTAATTGAGGAAAATAAACATAGCAGATTATAATTCAAACAATAGTGCAAAAATCATTTTATAGACTGCTGTGCAGAACCTTTATTATTTCGGAGTTTTAGTAGTCTTCAATAAAAATGTACTCGTCAGATAAATGATGTACAATGAAACTTATTTATGTAACTTTATTTATGTAGTCTACTACCTGATATGTTTTTCTTTCTTCTGCTCTGTTGTAGGACGATACATATTAGCTGACTTTGCCGTTTGTGCAATAACCCAGGATACCTTTGCCAAAATTACTGCGTTTATCTGAAATAAGTAGAAACATGTGTTAAATAATTAATCAGTGACATTATGGATTGTTTATGTCTGAATGTCAAACAAGGATGGTAGAGAGAATTTAACGGTGGTTTGCACCGTTAGGATAGATACAAAGTTCAATTAAAAATTATAGTGTACCAAACCAATTAGGACCTCCAGAAGTATGAGCACCAGGATGATGCACAACCTGAACATAGTATGTGTGTACCGGTTAGGATTCAGACTGTGCGATATCCTGGTGCACATACTTCTGGAGCACCAAAAATTACATAGTAGACGGTAAATCAGAACCCAGATTCCACACTGAATGCATCTACCCTATACATTGCGGATACTAATATTTCACATGTTGGTCGAACTTACCAATAGTGTTACTACCGCAGGGGCCGCCATAGCCCAAATCAAATAATTAGCAGTGCTCAACCAGCACCATTGTATAAGATGAACGTCGGGTTGTGCATCCGCAGAATCAAATGCTGAATTTGTCTCAGTTACATTTGGATCATCATTCATATTAGGACAACTTGTTTCTCCAACACCTTGCAGGTAACAGGTAGGATACGGGTGACGCGTAAGACCGCATGCTATTGTAATTCCAGTTATGAAAGCTGGTATCACTAAATAAAAACAATTGATGAGAAAATTTGAAAAATAATATCATCTGCTTGGAGAAAACGCAGTTATATTGTGAGGAGAAATGCCTTTCTGTTTTTTTTTGAGATAGGGCGCATGCTTAAATTTGACAGCAGCTGTATAGCCTACTATGATATGGGCAGTATTTGGTTGAGAAGGGACGTCTCCTAATTGCTAGATTCCCTATTTTTGATACAATCTGATCGAATTTTCAAATCATTATTTTATCAAATGTTGTAGAAACAGCTACGTATCTCGGTAAGTAAATATGTAAGTATATTTGTCGTAATTTTTATTTTATTTAAGAAGAAGCTTTTTAGTAGAAAATAATGGGAATATATGCTATACAAAAGAAGATTGAAGAAAATGCTTTTCAATTATATTATTCAATTATTACTATATTATAAATATAAAAAACACATACCCCATCCCAATACATATCTGATAACATTCATGTATTTCATTGAATGAAAAACGCTAATAACACTCATGTATAAAAGTATTCCTTCACATAACATCCAACAAAATGTTGCCAGGAGAGAAAAGTGAGTCAAAATTGTAACAATGATGCAAGGTAGAACGTTGGTGCTCTGGAATTAACACACAAACAAATCATGGTAACATGGCTTAGCCTTAGATAGATAACTTACATGCGAAATTTATCAATGGTATGTCGGAGTAGAAAATATATACGTATCCCGAAGTGCTCTAGACAGGGGTGGGCAAATAGCGGCGCGCGGGCCGGATCCGGCACACCTGGGCACACTGATGTGTTTCATCCGGCCCACTTGTGTCTGATGAGATTACGACTATAGTCTTTATGGTTATAAATTTCTGGTAAAAATATCGATGAAAATAACGTCGTTTTTCATTTTCCATTTTGAAATAACGTCCAATGACTTCGATTGTTACTTTGGGCTTCTTATTATTATATGGACACCAGCCTAGAGATTTTGTAACCGTTTTTTATTCATAGTTTTTCATATTGAGTTTTGACCCTACGGCCCAGTAACCAAGTTTATATTTTGTAAATGGCCCACTAAGAAAAGTAATTGCCCACCCCTGCTATGGAGTAACATTCAAATGCTAAATTATTATTTGGGTAAAAAAATTATGTTAATGGAAGGTTAGCAGGCACGCTTATGCGTATGCTGGAGCCCTATACACTAACATTCAAATGTTAACTTCAATTCTCTTTCTGGCGAGAGAAAAAATCATGCTAATGGCACGTAAAAAAGCACAGTGACTCACGAAAAATTACTTTTCTTGAAGTACAATAAAAATTAATTTTGAAGTGAACCAAAATTTACCAAGTTCGAGTTAGGTTTTTGGTTTATTTTGTTAATTGAATAAAGAAGTAATTTAACTTTTTAAATACGCTGTAATACATTCAAACTATAGGTAGAGTATGATGCGCAATAAACACGTATATGTGGAATGCAATTTGCGTCATGAGTCAATGGAATAATCAAATATGATTTCATCAGAATTTGAGAATTCATAATTTAATTCTAGATAAACTGAAGATAATTAGTATCCATTTACCAGCACACCTTAGAAAAATAGATCTATTCTGTTTACCTACTGTAAAATAATACCTTTTCTTTCTCAGCAAAGACGACCAGTAATTGTGTAGTATGGAAAATAATGAGAGCAGAAACGAGATGAAAGTGCGCTACCATGCGAGGCGATTTCAGAGTTCGACGAAAAACGATAAAAGTCGTCTATAAAAATGAAAATATTTCACTTGCAAACGAAGCATTTAGTAATATGTAATATATATGAAAGAAAAACTTACAAGAGTGAAAACCAAACAAAACACAGATATTGTTTCCCCGATGTATGAAATGGTTTGCAGCTTTTGCATGTCAGCTTTGATGATCTGTAGAGAAAGACGTAAACAAAGCGCAATGAAAGTTGTTCAAATAAATGACATAATATCTTATTTGTTTATTCATATTATATATGTGCACATTTATATTATTTAATGATATTTATGGTCTATGACCGAAATTCATAACTTGCCAATCAAAGATTAATCAACATTTGAATAGTTTTTACCTTAATTGTTGTTGTTGTTTACTTTTATATTTAAAGTTCAGTAGGAACCGAAATATACTACGAAGTTGCCATAGATACGCCTATTTTTATATTGCTTTCTCCTAAACGGGGAGGCTGTTTGGTAATGGTATCGGTACTAACTCTATAATAATGAAAGTGCATTAAACTAAATTAAGTTTTCATTTTGAATTTGTTTGGTCTCAACACTCCGATTATGCATGAAAAAAACTCGATTTTATTTATTTATGGAGAAACATATCATATTCGACTAGTTACCTACCTTTGGAGGAACAACTTGAAGAAGAATAGCGAAATTTGTTGTGTGATTGCAAAAACAATAAACCAGTTTTTCTACCTTGTCGACCTTTGTAACTTTGCATCCACTTAAACGAAATAATATGTTTTATTAGTTTGTTTAGAACAAGGTTTAGGGTTTGTTTTGTTACAAATTTCCTTGACTAAAACGCGAATAGTTATACACTCCTAGGGTGAAATGTAATGGTGTAAGAGGGCGATATGCAAGAGTAGCACATCATTTGCTACGATATTGTCTGATAATAAAAAATATCGCAAGTGGGGTGAAACAAATTAGTAGTAGAAAGAATATCAAGGATAGCAAAGTGTTTTCTGGCACTCGCTAACGATCTCGTTTTTACAGCGTGCTTATGCTAGTTACTACAACTTTAACGTATAAATCTGACTGGTCCTTTATCTTCGAACAGGTTTTATTATAGTTTTGTTATAACAGGCTGAATATTTGAAATGAGACCAAATGGTTGCTATGGCAACCCGAAAAATAATTTTTAAAAAAGCAACACGAATCTGGCAATGTGAAGTCTCGAAAAATTTTGTTGGAATGGGTCAAAAAACAGTTTTTCAAAATTTATTATTTTCTAGGTTTGTTTATGTTTCAATCACATCTAAAATTCTTGGAACAGTTCAAAAATTACCTATCATCCCATTTCGTTTCCGAGGCTTCATCAACAGCTAGATATCGACATGAAAAATAGAATTTTGAATCTCTTTCTCGAGGATCTGGAATATCATCCTCTTTGTACGGCACAACAAATGTAACTGATGCAGGTAACACCTTTCCTCGTTCCATCACAGATGCCGAAATCACGGGAGATGAATTAATAAACTAAAATATTATTATATTTAATACTCCCAGGTTATCCATCATTAAATAAATGACGAGGAAACTTTTTACAAGTACGTTAAATGATAAACAAAAGTTATAATTGAAAATTTACCTCAATTTCGTTTTGATTTTTTTCCAAACAATCCTCAGTTTTACATTCAGTTTCTGAATATCAATACATTGATGTGAATTAAGATAGAGTAAGAATAAATGCGCACTGTTGAAAATTTTTTTAGTGTTGAAAAATCACCAACACTGAATTTTCAAATTTTTTTTTAAAATTACGACTCTGATTTCGACTTTGCTAACCACACTCGTCGAGTTTAATGTAAAAGATATAAAAAGATTATTATAATCAATATTAGGGAATTTTGATAGATTTCAAAAAAATAGTTATTATACAATATCGAATAAAAGCTATCACCTTTCTTTGCGTTTTCCACTTGAGATATGAGGTGCATAACATTGGGATATCTTGAAACTATAGTTAGAGCTTGTTCTCCGGATTTTTCGCCGATACGATCAAACTTTAATAAGTTGCTTTCATCGACTGAAAACACACAAAATGTTATTCATATCCTTTCCCCCCGATTAAGGCCTTGTATAAGCATCCACAATATGTATGAAGCTGCTATTTTTCGGACGACCGAAATCTTACCGGCATTGTCTACTTAGTTTATTTATTACACCTTAGGTGAGATGGTGGAAATCTGAATCCGAAATGTGTTACTTATATGTTACTTTCTTAAGCTTGCAATTTTTATTAAGCAATGCAGTAGAAACAACTTGAGTTGGCACTGGTTAGCATTGAGATGACAACAGTTGAAAACAGGTAAATCATAAGAGTTAGTCAGTACATGGGCACTGGTCGAGTGAAAATGGAGATTCCTACAAGATATTGGAACTGCTCGTCTTTTAAAGGATGCGAGCCTTGATTAAAGTAAGAATGAATTGAATAGTATCAAAGAATATCTGGTGCAGTTAGAAAACAACAAAATTAGGATAATTTGTGATTCAGTTCCATTGTATTTACCTGTTAATCCGTCATCTTGAATTTCCAAATTTTGAATTGTGCTATGTATATTTTTAGTCTTTATGTCCATGTGAAAAGTTGAATTTTTCCCAGCAGATACTTGAACTCCAATTTGACTAGAAGCTATCTCTCCTAGAACAGTTTCCAGAGTGAAGAGCATATCTGATGGCAATTTATTCGATTTTTCTTTTGATTGCATACTTTCCGTAGCGGCTAAAATAAAAGAAATAAAAACTTAATAAAGAAATAAACTAAATCACTATTTTAAAATGAATTTTTTTTTACTTCGATATCATGAATTATTTTGAACAAAATTCACTGTTTTATTATCCTATAACTCGTTTTTAAAATCATGTAGTACAATATTCGATACCGATCGTTTATTCATCGGCATTTTGTGACTCAAGGCATTTTGGTGGAATCACATATTTCGTCGAATTGAGTTTAATTGCACTGATTCACCGGGTAGTAATGATAAGTCAACACCCCGTAACGACCTTGTTACTCTGTGAGCTATATATTGGGTAATTATGTTAAGTGAAAAATTACTTTCCCGTTGCATGATTTATTGCAAAACGACAAAACATCATGATCGCACGCAATTAACTTTTAGAAAACCTTTTAATGTGCAAAAAGATTGTATTCGTTGATTAATTAAATTTTCAGCACCAGTAATTTTGGCGCTCCGGAAGTATCCGTACCAAAATGACGCACAACCTGAACAACCCTAACCTGGTACACATACTACGTTCAGGTTGTGCGCCATCTTGGTACGAATACTTCCGGAGCGCCAAAATTACTGGTGCTGAAAATTTAATTAATCAACGAATATGTTCTGATATTTTCTGAATTTTACTAATACATATCTGGGATCTTGTTAGATATAAAAATGCGGCAAACCTTATCAAAAGAAACACGTTATGTACTGCTTAAATTTCCGTGCCGTGAATCAGCTTTGAATGCCTTATTAGGCGATCTGTTATTTAAGTAAATGCATGCACATTGGGTTATTTCCGAAACCGATTGTGCGAATTGACAGTTTCCAAGAAAACTTATTAAATATTTATATTATTTATGAAGAGATAATTTCACTGAATAATATGTTTTGACACCTTCGTTGTTTTCCTTCCAAAATAGCTTCTGAAGCCGCGGTCACACAAAAAAGCGTCTGGCATAAATGGCAAACAACTGGCAAAGTAAAATTTGAATGTTGGTGAAAGACTTGCAAAAAATAACGACCAGTTCAAATGATGCTGTTAAGATCGCTTGAATGAATAAATGATTTGAATAATAAAAGATCCCGTTTGGTAAAAAGACACGCGATCACTCTGCGTTCTACTTGCTCAGTAACGTATGGTGTGATGCAGGGCATTCGATTAAATTTAATCCATTCTTAGAACAGTTATGGAACCACTTATCGAAGCAATAAATTTTTATGCTGGTCGGATACTTTATAGCAAATCAGAAATCATGTTCTATGAAAGTCCGTTTCTTTTCTACACACAAATTTTTCACATGGCATATTTTTAGGAATATTTCTCAAAACCGAACTATGCTCTGTACACATACGCAAAGAACTACTGTATCGTAATCATTTTAGTTCTTAATAGTTCCATTTTTTAGTCCTTATGAAATCGACCATATACCCCAAAGGGGTGCCTAAATTTACGTATTCATTCAATAGACTTGCTTACTTTCCACTTTTCCATTGTTATTGTCGTTAACAATGACTTCCTCTTCCTGTAATGTCATCCATACATCAACTCTCTCGTCATCAACAATGTTATCCACAACGTTCATCACGTCTGATATTAAATTTTCTGCACCTGATCGCGACAAGGTTGTATAATTCATAGTCTGAAAATAGATTTGGTATACTTGTTCGTTTTATGCGTACGGCTTTTTGATAGTCGTGTCAGTGATAAATAACCGTCCCTAGTTTTGCCGAGAGACAGATGGAGATAAATTTCTGTTTCATGGGCCCGAGCCGTAAAGTATTTTTTACAACGGAATAGCCGAATTCGTAAAACGCAGAAGTCGAGATACTCGTAACCGCAATGCTAAATCTTCTGGCCAGTGAAAGATTTATTTTGTAAAAACGTGATCAATACAGACAGAAATATGAAATGCTTGACTGGATCTCTTTACAAACCCCAATTTGGAATATTTACGCTTGGAGTGTAATTCCTATTTTCAAATTCATTGATGATTTGTTACAATTGTCATTCTGCAGTGACCCCATTTTTTTTTTAAGAGACGGCAAGTTTATGGAATTTTTTGTCTTGTCTTTTGCAACAATACTTACACACACACCATAAATAACGAAGATTTGGTTGACCGTTCAAACATCAGAGCAATGCTCAAATATATGGAAACGAAGCCGAAAACGAAGTAGTACGTGTATGCAATATGTGACAGTAGACTACCGGTACCGCAGCCTCCAAGACTTCGCCTGACCATCAGAACGCGAATGCGGATCCGCCACAAGAGGTGCAATTTTTAATTTTGATCGCACATAAAAAAAAAACGGTACTCCCGAAGTATGTGAACCAAGATGGCGGACACGGAACGTAGTATGTGTACCAGGTTAGGGTTAAGCCATAATTTGATTCCAATTTACCTTATTTTGGTTCTATTACGTGTTCGAGAACTAGCCAAGTGACTCCCGTAGTATTTGTACCTGAAATTATGGCCTAACCCTAACCTGATACACATACTACGTTTCGGTGTCCGCATTCTTGGTTCACATACTTCGGGAGTACCAAAACAACGAATCTCTTAGAGCCCACATGATTTTTTAAAATAAATATCTTCAATCACTGAAAATTTTAAAGAAATTGGTCCAGTAGTTAATGAGAAAAGCGATTTTCTCATGACAACAAGAACAAGAATACAAAATGACAAAACGATTCATAGGTCCATTTCGTGTCCAATAACCAGAAATCTTTAAACTGGGACAGCAACATAGTGCTGTAATAAAAACGCAAACTGCGTTTACTGACCTTGAGGGCTTGAACTGAATCTACTAAAGTTGATAACACCTTAGTGTCGTTTTTATTTTGGTATTGTATAGTAGCTGCAATCATGTCCATCTTTTCCGCGGCTTCTTCAGCGTTTTTATATGTTATTGTTCCAGAATTCTCCGATTTTAAAATTCTATCTAACGAGAACGAACACTCCGGATCACGACCTGTGATGAAATGCAAGAATTATGTTTTAAATTACGTATTTCACATGGAAAAGATGATAATTACGTCTATATCAATATTTTTCGAATTCGTCTTCGTTTAAACTAAACTTGACCATTTCTAGACAAATTGAATTATTTAGTAACTAATTCGTGTTCGCGATGACAAGTGTTGATACAGTGTGTACAGGTGAAAATACCTTTTCCTTTTTTTAATATAACTCAAGTCCGACATAATATACAGAAATTTGTTTTTCTCAAAAGTAATATTGAAAAATATATATGTTTTTTGAAGCAATCAATTTTAAATAGTGCAAACATAACGATTTCCAATTTAGGAATTTTTTGAATCTCCACTCTACAATAAATTGTTTTCTCATAGTAGGCTACAATGCTGTCTCTAAATAATGCCGCTTTAGCATAAATTTGACGTAACTCAAAACATCTCAGTGGTAGTCTTCAATTTAATTTCTGAGTCAGGTTATCGCTTTGGAGAATTTTATCTTATGCCTAAACTCATATTGTTTATTATTTTCATCTTGATCAAAGGGGTGTTCCCAAAAAAATAAATAAAATGCAGCATCATGGTGTTTACCTAACGGTATTTCACACACGACCAAATCCTGTTCTTTGACGACATTTTCAATGTCATGCGTACACGATACAGTCGGACAGTTTCTTGAATTTCCGGAGATATGAACTTGGCAGAAGACGAAAAACATGTCGTTGTCACATCCATTATCCACAGTTTGAGTATTATTGTTTAATTTTGTTTTTTCGAGAGACGTAAATTGGTCCACAATATTGGCACAACATGAAATGCTGAAAAACAAATTGTCGGTATTTAAAGTGAAAATATCAGCTAAGATTTGGAGAAATTCCTCTTCTTGTAGTCACGTATTTATTACACAATGCTGGAGATAAATTAGGCGCTATATTTATGAGGTCAATATGAACACGTCGCTAATATCACGCCTGTTACACAGAACTGCTTAGTCTTAAAAGAGTTGAACATTCCCCAAAAACGTTTTAAAAAAGAGATTATTTAGAATAAATATTTCCAATTTACCTAATGCACTTCCAATACGCGACATGATTCATGGCTTCAGTAGCCACGACACCTGTTTTTAGTCGAGCGTCATCATGCATGTTGTTGTTAAAACATGAAGACAACAGCATAAAATAGGTTTTTATTGATAATCTACCTTCTAATGCGCTAGCCTAAAAATATGCTGTCGCGACAAAAAGTTGAATCTGGATCAGGTCGAGGGTAAAGATTTCGAAAAATCTTGCGTTCGATTTTAGTATTCAAGACATTATTCATGGTTCAGAAAATTTTTGCCGTTCATAATAAAAACACGAACATATGTATATATTGAATATTTGCCTGAATAATATAAATTTTCCTTACTTTTCGACTGTGTCACAAAATGAAGATTTTCTCAAGTTGATGTCGTGAAATCGAAGCCAGGCTTTTTTGTTACGTGAACGACTACAAGTAAAACAGATAAATATTCGACGTTATAAAAAATTTTTTATTAAAAAGAAGTCACAAACAATGAAATTAAGTTACACTGTCATTTAGTTACAGTTGTGTTTTCACACTGTAATATTAATCTAATGGAGTTTAAAAAGACATGGATTGTGTATTAGTGAACAGTCGTAACTTTGCCAATAACAGAGGTTAGAGATATCGTATAGTTACGATCAATTGCAAATTATTTTTTATACGAATCTCACATTCCTACTCAAGATGAAAAAAATTGAGTAGGCTATGCTGTTAGGATTCTTCTAAACTAGCTATTTTATAGATACAATTAATTGAATGCGTGTACCGCGATTTGCTTGAAGTGGGAGTGAAGTACACTACTCGGGGTACCACGAATTTTGCTTACTTCAACAGCCAGCGAACAATATCGTCCAAATGATTTCCGTCATACAATTGGTAAATTCGACTTCTTGTTCCGTCCACCGCACAAATTTCCCGAACTCCAGAACCGGATTTTACCGGATGTAGAATAACCAGACTCTTGTCGTTAAGTTTGGAATATCCTGCAGCACGTTTAAGAAAACGGTAAATATCTGTCGGGAGACATCCTTTTGCTGAATGCAATGAAAATTAATATGTGCGGGATACACAGCGGGAAATAATTTAGTAGTGTATTCCGTGAATAAAGTGTGATGGATAGAGAATCAGCTCTCTTCATTTTTAAAGTCTCTGAGAACGGTCCAATTGCTACAATCGTCTATTTGGTATTGGACGACAGTCACCGTTTTCGGGGCAACAATACGCTCTAAAATTCAGTAGCACTTTGAATATATGCCGTTATCGCGCAATGGAAAACTAGGGTTAATTTGAAAGTGTCATAATATTAGAGGCAATAACCTCATCGTTCAAAAAACCTTGCACCTTTTGAGGTATTACGACTGCTTGTATTGCGAGTTTTGTTCAAAGAGGAGGGGTGGAAAACACCCCAAAAGTGTAAGTATCGAGAACGGTAACATATTATAAGACCAAAGTAGAAAGTAAACAATGACAAAAGACATTTAGTCCAATATATATAAACAATATACTCTAGTAACCCTAACACGGGTTTCTCGAAAATGTTGTATCCCACGTGGCCCACCTGTCACACTTGCTCCACGTGTCTCAAGTGGGACACATGCCACGATAGGTGGGACTAGTGAGACACAAAATTTTCGAGACACCGCTCTAACACAACCCCCTAACAATAAAATAATTTTTCATTCCCTATTTCAGTTTCTGATTTGCAGGTTTAAGTTAGTATGAAAAATGCATTCAAAATACCCATATTTACACCCCGACAATATTAATCGGCAAAACTTGCGTTGTTCTGCTCTGACCCTTATACCTGTGAGTGACATTGCATGTGGAAATGAAAAGAAACCACTCACGTACCCAGCATTGGAAAGGCGAGGACGGGGTTTTCATTGACAGCAAGAACAACTGATCTTACAACTTTGTCGGACGAAGAATACACTGCCTCGCTCGAGTCTGGTATTCCCAGTTGATAATGAACGTTTTGCCTAGAAAAAAATGTTAGTGCTCAAAATCTATATATATATATATTATAATTTTATTTGCGGTTACGAAAAATTATTTTTCGCATATTTAGAGAGAGTCTTTTAGACAAAACTTCGATGATTTCTCGAAACGTTCAAAACTTTGGTTTTGCAGAATTCGAGCGAACTTGTGTGCAAAATTTTGGGTACTCTCGTAGTACGAGTATGTGTACCAGGTTAGGGTTAGGCCATAATTTTATTCCGATTCTCCTCATTTTAGTTCTATTACGAGTTCGGGGACTGTCTGTGTTAGCCAAGTGAATATACCCCCTGCCCGTAGGTTTCAGTCCCTTTACACAACTTGATGTAAAGTAGGCGAACAAAATTAGTTACCCCCATATTGGTACACTTACTTCTGGAGCGCCTAATTTTAATTGACATGTTTATTGTTTTGCGTGGTTAAAAACAGGTGAGATACACAGTAGTTCAGCCTGAACTTACTTGTTTATAAAGTGAAGACTTCCTCTTGGACAAATCCCGTATGATGATTTGGTGGAGTTGATAAATTTAAGAATTCCATCTCTCCACTCGCACCTGATCAGTTTATCGTTTGCAAGTAAAAGAACAACTGATGGTTCATTGAAAGAAAAAACATTGCGCATTGCTGTGAAGGATTTCTTTGAATCTGGTGTCTTGCTGGATTCTGGAGTTGCTTTGAATTTATATATGTACGTAATATAAACAAGAATTAAAAACTGATTACAATAAATATCGTATCGCAACCTAAAACACTGATGTCTGCCGGTAATAAGTTATGAAGATCGTGGCCAAGCTAACACAAAGTGTTTAATCCTAGCGCGAGTGTCACAGTTCTTGTTTACTGTAGTTGTTAGATCAGAAGACCCAAAATTTGGGATTGGTTATTTATTGAAAACAGAAACTCGACGCTTGAACTATCAATATAGACACAAGTAAAAAGCAAGCGACCCCGAGCCTACCGGGCGAAAAAGAAAGTAAAATATACTGTATTTTGTGTTCCGAGGCTCGTAATGCAAATCAGCATTGAAAAAGAGGTTCGCGTAACAGTATACGGAAATGTGAAAATAATTATTTCACATACACGGACATAGGGATCTTTGCGTATAGGGTGAACTGAAATCACAGAGATAATTTTTTTTGCCATAGAAACTCTTCAATAACGATCCAATTCGATGCTGTGGTCTGGGTGAATGAGTGATGTTTCAACAAAAAATTATTCCGGTCGTTTAATTTTTAGCAAGAGTCTTCATAGAAAAATTAAAACATACATGGTTTTAGTATATAAAGCATAATGGTATAGGAATTTATCCACACAAGGTCGGTCGTGAAAGCAATGGCGTTTTTTTACCGAAAAAGCGTGCGCGCCTTCTATACACTTCACTATCACAATTTTTATTTCCTGATCATGATTTTAGACAATGCACGTTTTTGCTGAACTAATCATTATTAGATCACCGGCATGAATGTAATTTTCTATTGTGTTTTTGATACGATGCGTCAAGATTCAAATACTTTGAATCTTGTATCAAGTGTAAGCTTGGATGATCGCCACGTCCTATAAACTTCCTCCTTTGTATAATTGATGAGCCACAAACAACATTTCCTGTTGCTCATTGCATGAAATTACCAGGAACCGTGTTTGAACCTCCATCAAATGAATATTTCCGTGTACATTACACAAAGCGCAAATTATACAAATACGAGGAGCGAAAATCCGGACCAAACTGGATAGAACCGGTTTGATCATATAGAACTATCTCCGAATAGATATATATTCTGATCCGAAGATACATATTCTAATAGTAGGCAAAGACGATTTAGATTGTTTAAATTCGTCTTAGGTTTCACACTTGGCAATGCCCTCATTTATAATTTATAAACTGTGTGGATAAGAGAGTAAAATTTGACCGATTTTCATATAAATATGCCAAAATAAATAGAAATGTTTTAAAATGAAATAAACCCAAGAAGCGAATTTATTCGGCGAAATTGTTGACCGCAAAATAATCACGATAATCATGAGGTATTATGGAATAATACGTCGGACCAATTCTTTAGCGACAGACTCAATTGAAGAGTAACGCACAGAATCGTCGTAAGTGAGATTCCGACCCCGACCTTTGACCCCGAATTTTTTCTATATTTTACTATTGCAAAATAGTTGATGTTTATTTTGACAGTGTTGCTGCTTGTAGTCGCTCACATACTGGTTTGCATGTTTGCAACGACCATATTTATTAAAAATATTAAACCACGTGACGCCTACAAGTACTTATAGTTGATTTTAGCCTAGTCTATCGCATCGTTTTCGGGACTAAATTTTGATTATTGCAACTAAACTGGACGTCTTCGGAAGACATAGTGGCGATCAAATTATTTGATTGATAGGAACTGACAAATAGCATGAAAATTCACAAAATGAGGCAATTTTTCCAACATGCTTGAATATTTATCTGATCGAGGGAAGTGTCTGATCGGCTCCATAAATTGCAATTGTTACGTCATTGTCGACATATTGCTGAATGGCAATTGTTACAGAAATAAACAAGAAAATCGATACCCAAAGAAACATCTATTAGGGTTGGGTTCAAACTCAGAAAGTAGATCAGATGATCACACGCTAAGATGAAAATTTTCATCAAATGTTTCACATGAAATTTTTGAATTCGGGTTTTCGACTTTTGTATGCTCAAAGATTGCGAAGGAATAAACTATTCAGAATTCTAGAATTGCTTTCAAATTATTCTAAAATGCTGGTTATCCTATTTTAATATAAAAATAGTTTTATATTGTTGATAACAAGAATTCAGATTTTTTAGTGTATACGTTTTATTAAATTTAAGTTACCGGTATATCAATAAAAATATTATTGTCATGATCAAAATTGTAAAATGTTGAGTGGATGAAATAGTCGATTTATATATATCCAGGAAGTGCAATGTTGACGAGATCGTTTATTTGAATGCTAAACTAAGGCTCTCGTTTGGTTACCACCAGGTAGAATATGCCTACCAGTCTTTACATAAATCACCCTCGGGCGCAAAGATTTGAACCGCAACTGGGAGGAGTGTAATCAGTGGTATGATGTCACAATACATCTAATCCTTGGTGCGTAAAGATAAGCGACAGAAAAACTTAATGGACCGCGTTTTTGTCATAATAACTCGCTTGTGGTTGTAACCTCGTGGCTATTTCTTTACTTATTTCGGGACGAAGATCAGTCTATGCTTAACACGTCATACGGGCACAATCCAACAACTCGCTTGTGGCCGTAACTTGATGATTGTTTTCTTACGTATCTCGGGACGAAGATCAATCTATGCTTAACACCTCATACGGCACATTACATTTTGACATTTATTCAAATAGAAAATTACTAGTTTTCTAGAAAATAGTAGCTTCAAGATTCACCACGCTCCTCGAATAAGATTGAAGATTAAGTGCATCAGTAATTTCCATGAACGGTAACACAAAGCAATTTACCCATATTTTCTCGGATCGTGAGGTAGTCAACAAAAAGTCTAATAATATTCGTAAGGCAAAAAGTTCGCGAAATATAATTTACTTTTGTCCGATTACCAATCCATGGCGAGTATGGGAATACTGTAGTTAACCAGTTATTTGTTCCAGATGCTTTGATGATGGAGGAAATCGTAACCGACCAACAGTCACGTGAATCACCCTACGAAAGCTAGGAGTCCAGCACTCCGTACACACATAAATACAATCAACGTTTGGGGAGGAATAGTATATCCGGAAAGCACACCGGCACTGGGAAAATGTTAATAACCCATTCATTGAAGAAGATAAATATCTTACCTTGTATGATACAGTCTTTATATTTATGAGGAGAAACTTCCGACCAGCTTGTCTTTGACGCAAAATTTAATTTGATCATTGCTCCTGGTCTTTCGAAGTACACAAACAAATATTTATCATCGTAAGAGGAAGCAAAAGTTATTACATCATTGTTTTTCAGACTGGTGCATAAGTTCCAAGATGTTTTGATATTCTCCGAAGGAGGATCTCCGAATGACGTCATGTTGTCATCGTAAAATTTATAAGTTTCATAACCTTCCCTACGCTTAGTAACGTAGTAAATTTTTTTACGAAAATGATACATGAAATCGGGAAACACTGTAAATTAAAACAATAACGATCAAAGATGAATTAATAATTTAATTACCAATCATTTATTTTTTTATTCTTCGAATATGGATTACATCTGAAACCTACCGGGGCGGACGTACACGAACACACGTCGGGCGCCAGGCGAACCGATGAAGAAATTTGTACGTATTGTCAAAATTTGAAATTGCCAAAATAGTTGAACAAATTGTCAATAAACTGGTATGAAATTATATTTAATACGAGCTGTTTTATTTTTACATTTGTACAACTTTAACGCTTTATATCATACTCGGTGCAAAAGCTACAATTAAGCTGGGAGAAAATCCAAAATGCTCCCACAAAATATTATATTTTTGAAGGCGGTTAAACGAAAACTGCAATTTGCCTTGAAGGATTATTTGCTTTAAAGGGCACAATTTCCACATTTACAAAAAAGCCGCATCTGAACTTATTGTCATTGAAACAGGATCTTACCATTTTACAAAATTTTATTTTGTTCAATAAATCCGAAAGCTATATGTACAGACTAAAGTTTATAGAAAAAACTAGAGGGAAAAGTGCATCGTACGTTACACCTTTTAGAAATGTTGCATGCTTTGGGTATATAAATGTATATTTGCGTTCAGGTACATTTAAAAAATGGTGTTCCGCATTTATATGTATAATAAGCTTAGAAAATTAACGTTAATATACTCACATAGGTATATTACAAATGCATTCATTATTACAGATGAAATTTGAAGCGAAATTACCTCATCTATAGCAATTAGATCAAATGGTGAATAACAAATGGCTGAGGGCCAGTTTTCACCAACCTACTTACCGAATTCGGATGCATTTCTATCGCAGGTTGGCAAGGGTGTGTTGTACGTAGTATCTTCTTTGAAGTCTTTGCCTAAGCATAAAATGAAACAGTATAACAAAAGGAAATAATTATTTACGTATTTTGAAATTGAATAGTCTTATTTTGAACATTTACTTATTTACGTCTGTTTGCTCTGGTAGGACCAACATTAAATAAATTCTATTTTATTCTTTCATTTTGGGTATAGTGGATTGTTTTTAGCACTTTGATTTTGAGGGAAAAGAAACCCATTTATTTTTCACAACAATTTTTTAAAATAGATTGGTTGAGATATAACGTATGCCTAGCTTTACAGTAGTTTAGTACGCTTGAGAGGCTTCTAGTTTAGTTAGGCTCAGTCGCAGCAAAAATGTGAACGCCTTGACGTGTATTTCTATCTCAATGAAGGTATAAATCCTAGAAAATCAATGTATTTGTTTTATCATTAACATGCTTTCACATTGCAATATATTTGTACATGCATCGGCATAACCTGGTTTCATAATGTTGCAAGCGTTGAAATAATCCTTGATGAATAAATTAAAAATGAACTTACAAGAAGGAATATCACATTTGCTGAACAAGCCAACACCCATGTAACACCAAGGACCACCGGTATATTCCGGGTCAGGATTACGGCAATTGCTATGGTTTCCGATACCGTATTGACGCCTCTCTTCTTTTGTGTTACCCCAAAATTTGCCACCTAAGACCCACCAATTCATGCATGATTTCCCGTCTCGAGAAACGTTAACTTTCCCTCGAAATTCTTGACCGTTACCGGTATAACAATTTTGATTTACCCGTTTCTTGGCGGGGTATTTTCCTTTGCCTAAATATAACAAAAATAGAAAATAAAAAAGATGAAATCATACAAGAAAATAAACCGAACGGATAAAAAATGATTTTATTATACAAAAAATATATAATACTAAGCAAGCATTGAAGTTTGATGGGCTTTGACCACAGATCAAGTGCGACGCATACATGATTCTGCCTGATACTACAGGATGTCAAAAACAGAACCTTTGGAACATCTTCCTGACTAAAGAGAACAATTTTTTGTGAAAAGCGTCATAATTTATTGGAACTTTTGGTACAATCGTACACAAACAGAAATTAAAGCGTTGGTCAAATTTTCTTCATTTCCGTCAAAAAAAATTTATGGGTTCTTTTATGGGTTTTTTATGGGCACCCTGTACAAATTATCACAAAACAGAGTTTGGGTGGAAATCACTCAATTCAACGCTGTAGTATTATATCATGCGATGGGTAAAAGATAGAACGTACAAGACAAGCTCAAAGCTGTGATGTGTTGCAGTTAAAAGACACAAAACAATCACTGTACTCGTTCTAAAAAAACGAAACGAAATCGATAATTAAATGAAAATGAAAAATATCGGAAAAATGCTGGATTGTACTTACTAAACATACAGCAATCGCTATTGTCGCATGAAATCCCTGGCGTTTTCTCGTGAAGCCAGTTGGTTGCAGGAACAACATAGAGTAGCAGAACAAATCCGAAAAACAAAACATATTTGCCATCACCAGAGAGCATCTCTGATTTAAATATTTGAGATTACTTTAAGTTCATTTTGTATACACTAATAACAAAATCTGCAAAATGAGTTCAAACACGAAATTGGCAAATATTCGTGATATATATATTTTAATTATATCAACCGAAGTGTATTTTTCAAAACATTCGGCTGAAAATTAATGAGCACGTGCGCCATTTTTCATTTCAGCTAAATGCATTTGAAATCATTTAAAAATAGTCTTCACATAAAACTTGATTGGCAGTACAGGGCGTACAGGGCGTAGCAGCCCCAAAAATCAAAACCGCAGTCTATATGCAGTCAAATAGTCTTTCACAAATGAGGCCATTCGAATGGCGACTGGGTCCTAATACCCATCGAATTGGGTCCTTATATCCATCTCACAATATATTGAAATACAGATATAGATACTATCTATAATATATATAATAACCTTTTTTCATATTTTCACAAACGAGAAATTTTCACACAAAAAAAATAAAAACTACTAACTAAGTTTACAACATCTTTTTAACATTTCCATATATTGTACCCTGTCTACTGCATGACATCTCAATAATATCAATTGTATGTCATAAAATCATAAACAATGATACCCGAAGGATATGGTAATAAAACAATAATGTACCTATTTCTAAAAGCGATTTAGCTTCAAACACATCATTAACAACTCTCATAAGAGCGATCTTAATATATGTATATACTAATTCTACCGGCATTCTTCATATGAGAATGCATCACCAGAAAACTTTGCTAAATAGAAATCAATTTTAGTGATTGTCAAGAATATCGCGTATGCGCCAGTAGTGTCATCTATGTTGTTGAATTAGAATGACTTAATATATCCTGTTGTTAATGCTATTCAAGAGATGCTCCAGAGCGAAAATTCCTAGGAATGTGTAATCTTCAAAACCCAATACTTTCTGGAGATTCTTAAATAGTAATTTCCATACATAAAAGATTCCATGATATAGAGATATATCTATATTAAAAACCAACCTTTGAAGCCTACGAATGCGACAAAAAAATCATTATAATATTCTTCTATTGACCTTCTCTGAAAATATCCCTCGATCTACCAGCCTGCACGTTTTCTCGCACGCTATGGCTTCAATGCTCTGTCTTGTATAGAGTGCATCGGAAATTGCGCATGGGCTTACGCATAATCATATTTTCCATATTTAAGGACCAGTAATTGTGTTTTTTTTGCAGTGGTCTTATAATTCAGGGAATATGGTCATCAATACGATTCCATAAATCAGGATACGTCCGAGTAGAATGCTTCACAAACTGACTGCCTTTTCAATAATTATATGGATACATCATGCTTTATAGTGTTTATACAATATTTGAAATTATGTGAAAATAGCACAAAGCTTAAGTAGTATCACGGGGGATATACTGAATGCTAATTTTCAACACTAAAAATTGAGTCTAAACTGTGAATTAAAACATGATTTCTTTGCAAAATACCGATATTCTTTATTATATGAATGATTTCATTCATTCGCATATTTATATCAGTTGCGGATAGCGGTCACGTGATAGCTGGTATCAACACTTTGAATTAGTTAAGCATCGTTGTATAACTGCGGAAAGCTTCCCAATTGACAGTCAAAGCCACCAACGTTTCTGTACGCTAGCTGTATTCCGCTAGAAAAGCATTCAGCAATGACTTTGATGAGCGTCATCAGGAAAATTAATTTGAATTTTTGTTATCGAATATGCAAATTTTTCTGACTCCATTCATTGTATATGCACGCATTTCGAGAATGTCACCTTGACATAATAAACAGTATCATAAGTTACAGAAGCATCCATGCCTCTAAAATAACGAAAAACAAACGGCAATTTAGCATTAACTCACATATCTCGACATCTAATTTCGTTGTAAACAGTGGGAAAATCGCTGTTACTGACGTATCTTGCAATTCAATTCGGGTAAAGAACAAGTACGGGGAAAGTGATTAAAGGCGTTTTAGGTCATGCTCGACTTGAGATCATGCTTAGCAAAGTAACCTTATTATCATTCGAATAAATGGTGGTTAACTTATAACAAGCGACTTCGAGGGATTACGGGGATCAAATTGCCTGATCATTTGCTGGTTAACGATCCTGTTTGATATAATTTTCGACAACTAACTAAAAATTGCGATCCGAAAATATTAGGGCGCTGACGTTTTACATATTACTTTTATGGAGTGCGTTGCCTTTACTGCAGCACCAAAAACTTTCTTATCCCAGTGATATATTTACATTCTATTGAATTTCAATTCAAGTATGATACCGGACAGCAATAAGTGACTTCAAAAATCTGGCAACGCTAATTCGATAAATAGACTGCCCTAAGTTGACTTTTGTAAATCACCTAAAATCTACTTGAACAAATTGAATATACTGTCTGTTCTCGAATTTCAGCCTTTTACTAGCTTTTCTGTGATTGTTTTTCGTTTCCACCACTACAATTCGAAATTTTATCGCATTCGAAAAAATTGTTTAAAAAATTAAAAACAAAAAGCTAATTTAAACCAACAGAAACATCATCGCGCCGTTACTGATATTTCAAATGCTATATTACTTTGAATTGAATTTTCGTTCCTGAGTAGACCGAGAGAAAAACAAGCGTGTCGCGGGGCTATTTAAATTAATAAGAGCTCAGTTGTGTTCGTATATCATTAATTTTTTAAAGTTTAGAAGTACTTTTTTCTGCCACTCGATATTATTACATCGAGGTATTAACTTTTGGAAGCTTCGGAGGAGCAGTTTGGTAATCGGTGCACATATCCTAAGATCACATGATAAGTCTCAAAGCTGCCGATATAGTATTGTCATCCACATGTTTATGGCTCTGCGAATATATATTTTCTGGCAGAAATCAAAAGTAAAAACGACAGCGAGAATCGACAACGAAATACAGCAAAGACGGAACCTCGTTCCATCTCATTTACTCACAAGGCTCATCCATGACATTAAGTTAAGCAGAGGTAGACATTGGAAAATTGAATCTAAGAGTGAGCTCAAAGACAGACTAGACATGCATAATTCAGGAAAAAAATAAACGTCATAACGAATGCCCGCAGACCAATTGTCCAACTCAATGATGTTGACGTAATAATGACGACATTTGTGTCGCTGGAATATTTGTGAAATAACAGAACTATTTTTTGAAAAGGAACAACAAGCGACTAATACGTCATAATGGTCAAGGAGATGCCTATCGCGTACCATCAATAATTTTGTTGATAGGTCTTCCGTCTCGGGTCAAGATATCGTAGTCTAGGAAGATTGTGGATTGCTTCACAACACTTTCAAAATACCGAAGCTCTCGACATTCATTCTCGCCGCACCATTCGATTTCATTTTTTGAAACATAAATATTGTTTTTTGGGGGAATGCGGTTTAAAAATACATGAACTAGTTACAGAGTGCATTAGATAATACCGAATAGTCAGGATGTTCCGTCATATATTTCGAACTAAGATCAATGTATAGGCTTTTTAATATGGGAAATAGTTGTATCGGGCCAATAAATATTGTCCAAACGGGAATATTTTACAGTTTAAACTCTTATCAAACGAATCAGAGAAGTTTTATTTTAAAATTGTCCTGCAATTTTAGAGATTTTTTTACTTTAGACTGACATCTAATTCAATTTGCATTAACCAGCATTAATAAATCGAACTTCGAATCGCTCAGAATACAGACATTCACAAAACTTACATTTATGGTACAGAAATCTGGTCGCCGTGCGTCGAGTGATTTTTCGAAGTGTGTAAAAGTATGACCCCAGTCAAATTCATTCGCTATACCGTACACTTCCCAACTTGAACAGAGCAACCATCTATAACGCGCTAGTCCTGATAATATCTATGAAAGTCTTTGACGGCCCTAAAAAAGTTTCTGCAGTACCTTCTCTATCTGATGCATCTCAAACTACGAATGACGTATTTTGCGACGCGATGAATGTATCATTCGATTTTGACATCGTCTTGCTAATGGCGCCACTATTGCTTTATACTCGTTTATGGTTCAATGATATTCTCACATAATAGATTTTAGATCATGTTTGTTCGCTTTTGCATAGTCGAGTATGGCCATCGAATGACTATGCTGTTCATAAGTGGCCCATATCAATGTTTTACGTGACTGGTAGAATATCGAATCCATTAATTCCGACGCCATTATTTAATAATAAGTGGCAAATATCACTCCTTGACGCGACTTAAAAATCTGACAATTTAATCTACATTCTAAGGTTATTGAATACGGCAACGAATACATGGCACTTTCATGTTCCGATTTACGTCAAGTATGTTTTTCAATGAAGTATTATACGAGGTCAATGGGTTTCGATATATTGGTGGTTTACTCATATGAAATATATACTGTTGTACACTCAAACACGACCAATCGTGAACTCGTCCTGAAAATTATCTTACGAATACCATATCTGATGCAATAACCAAAATTGGATGATTGCAACACTTTTAAATATATATATATATATAACGTATAAATACCACGTCTGAATTTCGGAGCAAGAGCCAACGGTTAATCAATAATACTTCCCGATTATTTAACCCGATATTTGAAATTAAATGACGTTATGTCTGACGTTTTTCAAAATTGCATTCATCTTTTTGTCGGAAATATTTTTTTTATTAAAGCAACTCGCTGCATGTATACTAGAACATCGAAGAACCTTTTTACACATCCGGGCGACAAAGCACCCCTCCAGCCCTGGGTAGCGTTTATTTGAACAATCTGAACGATATTAATTATCCCGAACTCGACTGACTGTTAGACAGAAGATAGTTTCCATTTCTTCGTAGTCTAGAACAGCGTTTCCCAACCTTTTTTGGTCGCGGACTAATTCTCACCGGCGAAAACCTTTGCGGACTCAAGGTGCGTTTATCGCAACCGTACTCTGCGTGAAGAAGCAATAAAACCAAACACAACGAAATTTGAACGAATTTAAAAATCGCAAATTCGCCGCAATTACGCGTCCGTTAAAAGAGCCGACTTTTTTAGTGTATAATGACCTTTTCTGTCGCACTATATTCAATCCATGACAACGACGAGAATTTAAAATGTTTTACTATTTCAATTGTGTTCATGGTAATTCGCGGTTGCGTCGACTTGCCATGCCATAGCTATCTGCTAACATATTGCCCGATTATATTTAGTTTTGATACATATTTTTAGAGATCTTGCAAATTTGTTATCGTCGTTAGAAAAATCCTACTATCTGCTATAAATGTCCAGAAAGTACAACTTGATTTAGTACTTATTGAAAATATATTTAAAGTATATATATATTAATAAATCAAAAAGACATATTCACCGCCTTCCCACCCACCTTGCAATGTCTGAAGAAGCGTTTTTAATAGGTCGCGTACAATCATAAAACAAAAGTTACGGTGTTCTCCGTTTTATTTTTAGTATTTGTATTGCCGCTTTTCAATTAAGAAAATTTGGGTTGCCACCATGACACCTACTAAAAAAAAAAATTATTTCTCGTTGTTCGGACTCACACCAACGAAACACCACGTGTGTGCTCGTGTTTTCGTCGGAAATTCGCAAGTGGGTTGTGAAATCCAATCGTTTTGACCTGGCGCGTCACCTGTTACCAAATTTTCGAATAGTGAATAGCTATTCTAATAGTTGAATATATGACCGGCCCTACTCAGTAACTAGTAATAATTTACTTGATTAATGTTATGTGAACAAACTTGCTTTTTACGTTTTATGTGAATTTTAACGGAAATCGTAACTTGGCTGATAGTTAACCTTCGCAAAAACGTTTGCGGCCCGCAGTGAATTTCTGTCTCGTTGCGGACTCATTCAAACGCTTCGCGGACTCATTTGAGACCGCGGACTCGGGTTGGGAAACACTGGTCTAGAATCAAAATTGTATCTAGGAAGTCTTACAGACGCCAAGGTTTTCTAGTCAAACTTCCATGATTTTCAAACTCCTCAGTTACGAAGGAATGAACCATGGCCCCGTTTGCAACACTGATAAATAGAATATTCAAACCAGCTCTCTCTCGACACCACTTGACTAGATATTAAATATACAGAGCAATGCATCTTTTATTTTGCAATTTCGATGTTTTATAATAAGCACGGTCATCCGATAACCTGTTTTCACCACAATCGGAATAAATCAACAACAAAAAAACTAAACAACGGAACATTGAAAAAAAACTTCCAACTAACAAAATGAACGAGTGAACATAATTACTATCATTCAGATTTGAATGAACAAATGAAAAAACAATCGGTAGTTAAACGAACTAGTACGTTTAACCGCAATCAGGTGTGTATCCAGGAATTTTCAAGGGGGTCTTAAATTATATTTGCCAAGTTTGATCGAAACAGCTTGGGGGTTTAGAAAGCGTTTCTATCTACAAAAAATGCTATGCATGATACCGAAAAATAACGCACCATGGCAGCAAATGATTACCGCAACCATATACATCGTTCCATAATCAGTATACTGAAAATTAATATTTGTCTAAATCAGCGATTCTTAATCATGGTGATCCTTCTAAATTAGGAAATTACCCCAGAAGAGGAATTTCTCCTAATAGTATATATATATATAATTATGATCGTCTAATTGCCACAAAGGGGGTTTTCAAAACAAATATTGAAATTGGTTATATTCTGTTTAGTAAATTTATGATTTTAAAAATAATTTTGAATATTTTCATTTGACAATTTGCCATATATCAGTTAAAATCTGATGATTAGGCAAAAATAGACCTAATTCAACTGTGAACCTGGAAAATCAATCAAAACGATGTTTTTTTCAACTATTCTACATTACTAAATTCAAATAAAATATTATTCAATCTATTTTCCCGTAGAACACTATATCAAAATAATTCAAGCGTCATAACGCTTCAATTATAAAAAAATATGATTGTTTACTTTTGATTTCGACAGATACATAACATGATTGTTTTTAATTTAGAATACGCAGTTGGAAATAAAGATGTTCAGTTTTTAGTTGGCAACTCAGCAACAAAAGTTGAAAAAGTTTGCGAACACAAAGATATTTTGAAAATTTTGATTCTAAATCAGGGGACATTTCTTTCAATTCATTCAAGTTTGTTTATTTTCTGAAGTGAGAATTGGGAGTATAAATTGCGATTAAATCATAAAAAAAAACATTTGCAGACACGATGGCAAACTTCATTTTTTACATAACTACATAACACCACAAAACAAGGACAATGCATCGTTACGCTATTCACAAAAGCCCTAACATGTTGGAAATGCCCAGTTCCCCAAATCACTAATCTTTATGTTTTCTCTTAATTCGACTGTGTTCCTGGAGTCGCAGTGCATTACATTTGATGAATCCACCTGCGTCGATTGGATCGTAATCTCCTTGAACATCCATACTGAATAAAAGATAAAAACATTTAAAAACGAAAGTTGAGAACATTTTCAATTGACGCAGATATAATATCACCATGTTTTGATATGATTTTTCAATAAGAATAATCGGTTGCTGTAGAATTGAAAAGCTGCGCCCATTTTGGGTATAGTGAGATTTTGAAATTTTAGTTCTCTTGCAAGTGTAATTGGGGTTTTAGTGCTCGAAAATATACTATTACCAACACACAAGATTAAGTAAAAATTTATGCACAATTTCAAGCATCTGAAACGAATAGCTGGGTAACTATCTCCATACCCGAAATGGCCTGACAACTGGACGAGAGGCCGTGGTTCGCCATAAGATTAAGTCGTCTTTTCCCAACCCATGATTAAAAATATGAAATCCTGACCTATGTCTAGGAGAAATTCTTGTGTTGCGTCTCCAATTGACGCCATCCTAAGGCCACTCCTAATCCACTTTCGCACCTATACCTATGTCTCTAAAATACCATATTACAGATTATCAATACAAATGTAACATACCTGACCAACTCCTCATTATACAGAGAGATTGGTGACTCTCTTCCAAGAACATAGACAGATCCTTTATATAATTTTAAATACACAGTCCCTTTAACATTCTCTTGACTTTTATCGATGCAAAATCGAGTGAATTCACACTCTGGGCTGTACCACATACCTGTAGAAGGCAAAATTAAATATTAGCAAAGTATCTTACCAAAAAAGCCCTGTTTGACGACGTCTTTCTGCCAGTTTGCTGATAAACTGGACCGGCCGATATTATATCGACTTTTTCACTAATGACATGGCATACACGTTTTGTGAATTTAGATGGTCGTGATTAGCGTTTCTTTACCGTGCTACCACTATGTCAACCGGTATCCAATAGTGTGGAAAATCGACTTGTGTCGAGTTTCTAAAATGCATGAAACCTTGGCTGAGTACCAGACTCGCGTCCCGACATCTCACTCAAATAGCGAAGTAAAAGTAAATAATTTGGAAATTTTGAATAACAAGGATTACTTCATTACTCACCGTTATAGACTTGATGACTGAATTGTACTGCTAAACCTTGTTTAATTTTAAGTAATTCTTTATCCATTGTGAAAATCTCAATGTCATCGTGAGCCTCCCATAAAATTGTCCCCGCAGGAGTCTCGTAACAGCCTCGAGATTTCATCCCAATGAATCGATTTTCGACAATGTCTATCCGACCGACTCCATGCGCTCCACTGGAAATGAATTGTAGAAGTTATAACAGCTTACAGTTACAGTATTGTTCATACGGGAGGGTTAGCGAGGAATGTCACCAATTTTGAGTGAAGCAAAGTTGGTGATCCTTATTACAAATATATTGTTTTTTTAAATACTGAAAAAATTCACCAAGATAGTTTCTCCCTCAGAATTTGTACAAACTACGACCCGCTGGCCAAACCCGGTCGTTGAGTAATTCAATTTGGCCCGCCTGATGTTGTCACAACCAAACTTGAACCAAATTTCGATGTTTCAGATAAAAATTAGCTCAAGGAATTTGTTGAGATCGCGATTAAATTTAGTTTTGGCACGAGGCTTATTGTTTTCCATTTTTGCTTTTGTAACACTGTAAATATTGTTTATAAATTTGACTTACATGGCCCGCCAGTATAGTTGGGACACCTTAATTTTAACAATATGAAATAGTAGAAACAAAAATTGCCAAGTACCCGACTTTGTTCAAATACGTGTACAATTCAAGAGGGTCGGTTTTCACGATATTTTCTGTGACGTTGACAACTTTAGTAGGAACTCCTTTATCGAATGTAATAGCAAGTTTCACTGGAGTATCTGGAGCTTTCTCAGCAGCAGCTGTCATCTGCCACATATCCGATTCTGCTTCTGTTGCAGGATTTTCCAGCATTCCGGATTCATAACTAAAAGTTGAATTATATTATACTAATTAGTTATTATTCAAGGTAAGCAGAGAAACGACGGGCCAATATATTGACTACACTACGGTATTTGCGGTATTATTGTTCGCAATTGTCTTTACCATGGGAATAATCTTAGTACTAGTCCAGCGTTAAATTAAGTACAAAAGTTCTATATTAGATTGATTTTTAAATTTGGATTAGACTAATTTGAAATCAAAGTTTGTATTCAATTTGTATAGTAATAATTTTTGCAAATGAGATTTGGCTAACGATTTTGTATTGTTTAAATATAACGCCTCTGCTTAAATTGACGTTTCAACGAAAACTCGCTTTTTCCAACAACAGCTTATTTTCATATTAATGGAATTGTACCTTATATGCATTAAGTTGTCATCAATGCTCCACAATTTTGATTTCGATCTTGAAAGTGGAATTTGATTTTGTTCTGCATATTCAATGAGATCTTTTCGACCTTTGAACCTAAGGTAGAATTCAGGAAGTCGCCAGGGAGCTAAGATCTTTACGCCAGGAAGTAAAGCGTAACAACCAAGTTCGAATCTGATCTGATCATTTCCCTGTAAATATGTGTAAGGCATTGAAAACATTACAACTAAGTATAGCAAAAACAATTCAACTTGAAGGGGTATTAGAATTGAGCAAAAAAATAAATTCCACTTAATCAGGTTTTGGAGCCCAAGGCGCATTCATCTTCTCAACCGCGATAAATCTGAAATTATTTATCTGATCATAATGGAAAGTTAAATGGACAAAGACTATAAGCTGAATTAAAGATAGGATAGGATTTGCATATTTATCCCAAGGTAGAGGAAAGGGAATAAGACGGCTTAATCATGTCGCGAACTAAGGTTACCAGTCCATGTCGGGTATGGGATTGGTATTCAGTCATTTGTTTCAGATGCATGAACTTGATGGTGGAGTAAGTCTTGCTCCTATATATACTTAAAGCGTCTGACAAGTCTGGTTAAAATGCGACAAGATTCTGAATGATACATTGTACAGAAACAAGAGGACATATAGTTTGCAACATACCTTCCCGGTTGCTCCGTGTGAAATAAACTGCGCGTTTTCCTTCTTTGCAATTTCCACCATGTTCCTTGCAATGCAGGGTCTCGCAAGCGCTGTTCCAAGCAAGTATCGGTTTTCGTATTTTGCACTTGCTTGGACACCAGGCCATATGTGATTCGTAACGAACTCATTTCGGCAATCCACAACGTACATCTGTTTGGTATTTGAATAATATTATATTCATTATTGTCAATCGATAAACTCAAATGTGGACAAAGAATTATACGTTTAAAGAATTTAGGTTGAGCGATATTCATGGAAGCACAATAGCTCTTTACGTGGGCTCTTATGCAGGTACAAATACATTATTTTGAAGTAAATTAGCTGTGATTTGGCTGTAATTCTGTTGACTTTTTATTATTGAATGTTACGAATAAACAAATTCACGAAAATCGGTTAAAAACAAATTAAATTACATTTTCTTTATTGAAGACTCGGGGCCACAGAGTGGTGAAGGTATTTAGAAGGGGTCATGGATAATGGAAGTTAGGAGGTCACACGAATGGCGATTGGGAGTATTATATTTCCCGATTTGTGAAGTTTTATATTTTATTCAAAAGGGTGTTGACAAAAATTCAGAAAGTCGGAATAGTTTTTTTTTTAAATGTGCATATTTTAGAATAAAGTCTTGTGCCAAATTACAAACATTTCATCATTTATTATAACTCTATAAATTACACCATTCTTGTATACCAATGGAACAGACGGATTCAGGGCGCATATATCAACATATTTACTTCAGTCGGATCCGGCTAAGCTAATTGAATCAATACTATCATTTTAGGGTAATAATATAAAAACGTTGATACGCAAGCTTCGTGATCTTTTATAACGCACGTTTTCTATTCAAAGATAACACATAATGGGTCTGGCCACAACAAGACAGAATTCCGTCTGTGGCCACGCAGACACGTAACCCATTTTGTTACAATAATATTTATTTTAAAGCTTTACTTGAAAAGCAATCTAACCTTCTTGGCGCCCAGAAGAAGAGCTTTCTTTTCAGCCTCCACAAAATCACAATCTTGACCTACATTTGCCTGAACAGAGAAGATCAAAGGTTTGAAAATTTAATATCTCCTATCTGAAAAGACGGGGCTCCCGAAGTATGCGAACCAAGATGGCGGACATCGGAATGTAATATGTGTACTAGGTTAGGGTTAGGCCATAATTTTAGGTAGAAATACTACGGGAGGCTCTTGGCTAGTCTTCGAACTGATAATAGGACTAAAATAAGGAAAATTGGAAAGAAATAATCGCCTAACCCTAACCTGTTACCCATGTTACGTTCCGATGTCCGCCATCTTGGTTCGCATACTTCGGGAGCACCGAAAAGACTAATGAATCAACATGACATGTCATTTTGGTGTCTTAAACAGTGTTGGACAGGCTTAAGACCCTTTTCAAAGAATCGAAGTGACACTATCCTTTTGAGGTAATGATTCGATTCGAATTCGAGAAGGGCATGGTACTTGATGAGACTCCGGAATGATTGGGACAAAATTACACTGTACAATACGATATACCACGTCGTTCAATGTTGCAGCAATGACCCGAAATAGATGCTGTTGGTAAATGTTATCAATACATGAATGAAATCTAGTTTTATTGATCAGTTTCATGCAAGCTTTCTTTAATAAACTATCAAGAATGATTGATAAATTGATTTTTTTAGAGTTTTCGTAAAAAGTTTTGACTTATTTTATCATTATTGAAAATTTGCAATCGCAAGTTCGCGAATCCAGAGAATTCAGATGTTCGACTCTGAATCCTGATTCCTGCGAGTTCAACAATACGACTCCGGCTGCATAAACTTCGACTCCTGGCATATTTCCGTTGCTATAATAATTCATTAGAGAAGTGCAAACAAGTGCTTACCAAAAATCCAACAACGTCATAGTTTTGTTGCTTTAGCCACACAAGTATGCAAGAAGTATCCAATCCTCCACTATATGCCAGAACAACAGTACCTTTGCACGAGTCACCAGAATCACCCATTGTTATTTTGTTTAATAGATCGACAGACAGATGTATAATTTAAAATTATTTAGGATCAATTCCTACAAAAGCATATATAGAAAATAATTTTAATATTTGATGAAATAAAAAAGGTTATTACGAAATGGGCGCAACATAAATTTATCTGGAAACGCCCTCTTGGCATACACGATATAAACGAGATGTTAAGATCTATCAAAATATTCGAGTTCTTTCCAGCTGTAACCTCCTGAATATTGCGTTAGCAATAGCTCTCCCTTATGATTTAATCACGCTATAGAATTTCCACTCCTTGAAATAAATATGAAAATCCTGTTGGTATGGTGTGCTACATGTTCTGTGATACAAGATAAGTGAACAGGCTCACCGTGGAAAGCGACGCTTCAGAAAACAACAAATGTTTTCTCATGATATTGAACAAACATGGGGATCGATTGATCGATCGTCATTTTGAAGCGGTCATTTACCAATAATAAAAGCACAGGCCGGTAAATTGGTTATTAGATTTGCGAATTATTGTAATTGCAAAATGAAGCAATCAATTTTTGGTTCCTCCGAAGGATGTGAAGTTGTGAACTAAGGTGGCGGACACCGGAACGTAGTATGTGTACCAGGTTAGAGCATAATTTCAGGTACAAATATTACGGGAGTCCTTTGGATAGTCCCCGAACTCGTAATAGAACTAAAATAAGGAAAATTGGGATAAAATTATGGCCTAACCTTAACCTGGTACACATACTACCTTCCGGTGTTCGCCATCTTGGCTAGATTCTCAAATCCAATAAAAAATATTCTGAATTATTTCTAAAATTAATACTATACAATATCGAATAAATTTCTAGGGTATTCGGATATTCGATTCGTTAAAAATGCGTTCAAAACAGGGAGTCACAGAGAAATCACACTCTTAGGTAAAACAAAAATATTCATTCAGATTATATTCCGAGCTATTGTCCGCTGAGTACCGACGTCCTTATGGAGACATATTGCTATAGTAAAGTGCAGGAGTGTGCGAACTGCGGCCCGCAGAGAAGTGCCCATTTTGAATGGTGTGCCCGCGAAACAAGTTTTTAGTTTAGTTGATCTTGTACGTGCGAGCAATTATAATATATTTGCGTCGCAAAGCCTATACCAGTACCTAAGCATCACTTTCAAATTAGCAAAAATTGTAAGCAAAACACACAACGTTATAAACACGTGTTTCTAGCTCGGTGTGAAATTAAATTTGTATAACAGCTTTATTTAGGAATATTAAGTGTTTTAAGTCGCTATTTCTGCAAGGACCCCTAACAATGCTGTAGGATCAATAGCAAAATGAAACAATTTTTCGTACTTGCAACTATTAGAAAGGCTATCTTGAATAAAAATGCGACCAGCGGCTTCAGCTAGTTACTTGTATCTGGCCCTCCTATCTATCAGCTATAATAAGTTTTAAGTCCTTTTTTACGGAACTTTGCTCAATGCACGGTCACTGACTAAAAAACAAAGGAGATTTATCACTGAGTGATGTTACGGGCGACCAGTCGATGCCAGTCTTGCTTGGTTAAGCCGTTGTTCCACCTATGAACACGAAGGTGCACCAAACAAAATTTATTCATTTCTTTTAAAAACCCTCGTCCATATAATTCCTTCATTGTTGTTTTATATTGAAATCCAGATATGAGATTTGACTAAATCAGAAATTTGAATTCCTAATTAATATTTAAATGATCGCCAAAAGGTTAAGCTTGTCTCATATGTTGCACTAACGTAGCAATATTAAAATATTGTAAAAGGTATTTATTTTCATTATAAATCTGTATGGAATTACAATAGCCGTTGTAGTAAAATAATATTTTAACAGTATGCCATGGCTTATGTTGCAATATAACATTTAATAATTAATGTCAGTTGCGGTATAAATGTGAAATTCCATCTCTTCAGTAGAAAATAACGGAAATCAAATAGAATATATGGACACGCGATTACAGTATCGGACATATATTGGTCGAACGGAATATGTTTGCTTTTGTAACCACATAGGCCCTCTACTTGATTTTTGACTGATGCTCGGCAAATCGATTGATTTAGAATGACATTATTCTTCAATATCTTTGTCTACCGTTTAAACAAATCATTCAAATTATTCGTGGGCGCCTGGTTGTGCAGAGCCTAGTCCGGAGTGTATGACGTGTACATAAAAGATAAAACCGTGAATGGTTTCAATTTTAGTTTGACATGTACATTTTAATGTCATAATAAAAATATACAAATATTCCAGCATTCTGGCTAGAGATCTCCAAAACAAGGCCATCATTTAGAAGATAATAATAATGGCCGATTATATCTCTGATAAAATTGATCGGGAATTCAAACTGGAATTTTATTTTTATTTTAGGCCATCATTTAGAATTAAAAAATACGATAAGTTGCAGAACAGAAGATAATAATAATGGCCGATTATATGTCTGATAAAATTGATCGGGAATTCAAACTGGAATTTTATTTTATTTTTTTCCGTATGCCAACAATTATGAACCAATTATGAACTGATACGTGGATATTTATATAACTTACAGTGAAGCTATAACAAGTCTAAAGTTCTTATTATACGCAACATACTCGTCCTGGACATGTTACAATACCAGGTTATAAAGTCAAACATAGCGCACTTGCAGTGTGTATTACAAGAATACATGAGCCTGGGGGTATTACATATTTTAAAACTATTTGTTCGTGTAAAACACTAGCAGAATATATTCCGCCTCGAAATGCTTGTAAATACAGCGTAGTACTACTTACCGGTAAGCAGTTCTGAATTTTTGCCAACGTTTTTTTCTCGGACAGCGGGAAATTTCCCACGAGATACCAAAGCTGATTCAAGAATTATTACAGCTAATATTTACATATTACCCTGCGCATTTAGTTGAACTATTTTAAACATCAAAAACAGCCGATCGTATCTTTATGCCAAAACGAGCTAAAAATAAAACATTGAACAATGTATCTACCAACTCATCCTTCGAGCGAGACAACTAAAAACAGTCTTATAGCCAAAGAATGAACCGACTGGAAATATTTCAATATGTGGCGTGGTTTATTTATAGGACCAATCGCATGTTTGACGATATGTAGTAACAATGTAACTGAAATAATTTAGACGTGACTTGAGTTACACCTATCGAGTGTTTGCGGCTGAGATGATACAGCTATCGAGACAGGTACAGGAGAGAATTTTACATTAAAAAGTTTAATGAGCTAGCAGTGGCTCTGACATGAAGTCTATAACAGCTTAGTATCGCAACTAAATTACTTGACGAGTGACGATAGAAAAGATTGTTTGTAAGACTTGCTGGTTGCTACCTCGTATTAAACACAAAAATATTATCATTAAAACATTTCTGCTACGTTATATTATTATTCACACGGTACTCCCGTAGTGTGTGTACCAGGCTAGGATTAGGCCATACTTTTATTCCTATTTTCTATATTTAAGTTCTATGACGAGTTCGGGGACTGTCTGTGTTAGCCAAGTGAATATACCCCCTGCCCATAGGCTCCCGTCCCTTTACACAACTTGATGTAAAATAGGCGAACAAAATTAGTTACCTCCATATTGGTACATACACTTCTGGAGCGCCGATCACATTACGTTGCCGAATTAAAACTGCACATTGCTGAACTGATACGACGAAAACTAATATAGCTGATTAGAACTATAATCTAAATATAGTCTCTTTTTTGAATCTTTCTGTCGCTCGATAATTCGTTCGAACCCAAATCCAATTTATTGATTTCTGTCTGAGGTAAAGAACTAGTAAAATTGCGAACGTGGTGTCTAACGTTTGTAGTACAAGTCTGATATCGTGATCAAAATAGTCACGTTAGAAAAAGGTTATTTTATCGAATGAAACGTTTCATCATACAGAACGGTGTCTGGATTTACCGCGCTTTTGCATGACGCAATTCCAGGATCAGCCAGACGGCTTGAATACACGTCCCGTCAAAACAATGTCTGTCGCCAGTGATTCTATAAATAGCAGTAAACACCAATGGCTTTATGCCAGGCTGCTTTCGGAGCAGGTGGTTGTGTTGTCAGTTGTCACCGCACCAAAATCAACTGGTTTTTCACAAGAGGAATATTGTTAATCTTGCCATTCAGAGAGAAATAGGGGTATTAGAACAAGTTTAAATTTAATATATACATTCGTCAGTTAAGACAAAACGCATTGAATTATTACCGAGAATATCGGTTGGAAACCGAAGACTTATCGATCGATAGTTAGGGGATCCCCCAAAACAGAAACTGCAGTTTCGATTCATCCGCTCTTGTAACTTGCGCACTGCGCATCGCACACACACACTCGGCGGGTTTCAAAATTCTCTCGCTTTACAAAAATCTAGATCACTATATCAATAATTGATTGATAACTCGCTAATTATATACGACATAATTATACGACATAATTCGCCCAAAATCAATAGGCTTCTGGTCCGAGATAAGATGAATGCACATGCAAAATCTGGAGCAGATTCAATCTCGCTTCCGTGAGATATCGCGTGCATCTAACAGACACACCGACAGACAGACATACATACAGACAAATACCTATCAATATACTTACCGATCTTAAGATCGATAAGTAATAACTATTCAAATTACTTCTGTAATTTGAAATAAAATAGGAAACAGCACACGTGTATTATCAGCTTCGAAACAAGCGAGCGTGGTTATCGATATACAGTATAGTAATTACACCATTCATAAAATACGTGTTTTAGACCAGTTTGACTATGGTCGGACAACCTAGCTCGGGGTGGTCCAAAGTTGTCGGCTTCGGGGCCGCTTCCGTGAAAGTAAGTGATTTCGCACATCGATAACATTTTCAAATCAAGATCTTAACTTAGGAAAATGCTCATTGCTCTTAAGATTCTGAAATGCCCTTTTAAATTATATTCTTTTGTCACCGACACAACTTGCCGATATATCAAGCAAGCATTTTGGTATTTTCTCTCCCACATCCAGTTTATACCTTACAAATAACTGCAAGTTGATTGATTACCAAATGTGAGGTACAGGAGG